CCCTCGCCAGACCCTGCTTTTGGGTGGGTGACGAGTCTTCCACGCTTACTGCATTGGGCAACAGTGCCCAGCCCTGAATCCAGGTGCCAAGGAGCCAGTTCAGTTCAACAATACTTTAGGAGTTTCCTAGAGCCTAATAGCTACTTTAATTATCTTCTTTATAAGCTATTATTTTTGTTCCTCTACTTATAAGAGCTTAATAGAGATTGTAATGATCACTACCTATGGTCTAGTCAGCTTCGTCACGGATATGGCTGTATGCAGCGACCTAGTGGGCCGCGAAGGAAGCGTCCCGAGCCAATTATTTAGGATATGGGTATAGCCAGTCACGATGGGAGCGCGAAGTCTTGTCTGCGCTCCAGCAAAGGAGCGATGGGAACGTCGAACGCTCCTAGCGGACTAGGTGTCACAGGATTCCTGTTCCTGTATCCGGGCCACGGATCCGAGCGGCCACGCAGGCCACGTATGCGTACGTCATGTATATGCCATGTCCCGGACCTCTGCACCGAACCTTCACTGGGCTAGCATCTGCATAAGACATGGTCGCATGCCCACACGCTAGATAGGTAGTCTTGCTCTCTTCGTGCGATATCATATGTATGTGCAGGCTGACCAGACCTTGCCGTGGTGCCCGTCACACTAGGAGCGACAGAAACAGTTATTGGACAGCAACAGCTACAGGCTCGAATAGGCATAGACTAACTAGGTGATACTGCATTAGTTGAGGCATAAGATGAAGCTTGAATTGGCTGTCTGAACCGTATTTTTTATATGTGTGTTGCTTAAAGAACTGAGGACTTCGAGACCTTCGCCAGGCCCTGCTTTTAGGTAGGTAACGAGCTTCCGCGCTTACTGCATTAGGCAACAGTGCCCAGCCCCTGAATCTAGGTGCCAAGGGGCCAGTTTAGCTCAATAACAATCTTTGCTCCTAGCGCTCCTAGAGATAATGGAGAGGAAGATGTATATAGTCTACGATCTTTAGGCCTATGGGTAATACCGGAAGGCATCATGTATAGTAGCCTCGCTGCAAAGGTCTGTGCGCGCGTACCTCGCCATGTGTGACGAATTTCAAGCCCCAACTTCTGAAAGGGACTCCTGAAGGTTATACTTGACAACAGGGTGAGGTTCGGTGAAGCCAAAGGGTTCACAAGAAGCAATGTCCAAGGGTACTGAATCTTGCACTTGAGTTGCTTACTGGAGAACTCCCCGTGTCCTCCAGAACGAGTGACTATACACTGACATGATTCTTAGAGTGCTCGCGGTGCTATGCCTTCGATCGCGCCGAGCACCTTGCATGCTGCAATCTGCTCGTCTGTCTTGGCGTTATAGCACTCTAGCTTCATCCTAACTGGTCTGGTTTGCTTCCTTAAGTGATTGGCTCGGGCGTTCCTTGCGCCCCGCATGCGGCCTTCTGGCATGCGGCCTGTTATTAGTTAATCGTGACAAGTTGCGTATATAAATCTTATGTCACGGAACCATAGTAGGTCTGGGAAGATAACTGCGTTGCTCTATGAAGAGGAAAGGAAGCTATGGATGGATGAACCTGAAGCTAAGTGCAATGTGCCACGTGACCTAGGGATCGGCGGTCCAGTGCCGTGACATCTTACACAGTTACTACCCATGACACTACTATATCTATCTCTAGGCATAAAATGCTATGCTAGTGCTGGGGTTTGGGTTACATTCTATATAGATCAGATAAGGCAAGCCCACTGAAGTAGGTCTTATGTAGCAGCAGGTGCACTACTCCTCTTAGTCAGTATATAGCTCTACCTTGCCATGCAGGGTTTTCCTATGGCTACATATAGCCTATAAAGTTCTAATTCCTTATACGATCTTGGCAATACTACTAGACCTCCAACTATTATCTATTACTACTTAAAATAATGAAATCGCATCTCCTTTTCGCATTACGATGCTCAATTCGACTTTTTATAGCTTTAGAGAGCTTTTTATGTAACGGGCTGGGCCCGGTGCGAGCCTCGGCGACTCTCAGCAAATACCAAGACCCCTGATGAGGCTATTCCCACTCGCCCCACAGCACACCGAACCTTCTAGCAACGCGCTCAGACCAGCGCGCCTACGAGGATAAGTATGCTTGCGAGCTACCAGAGTCTGTCGTCTCTCCTTTTCTTCTCCAAGTTCAGTGTACTCGTAGAGTCGTCATCAGCTAGTTGCAATATACTACCTGAGACCGTTACATTTTAGCAATTCATTCCAACTTGAATTAATCAAGCACGGCGTGAACTACTAATTTAGGCACCACTCGCCAAGAATCATTATCATTATTATTCCTATACTACTGTCACGGCGATTGCGCCGTGCCTGCTAGGACCCACGGGTGGAACCCGGCATGTGGAAAGCACGGGCCCCTGTGGGTTAAATATTCTGCACCTCGCTGCCGCGAGATCTGTTCGTAGCTCCTCGAGCTACGTCTTGACAATCAAGCCTGCCCGTACCTGACGGAATAGAGCTTAGACTGTAGTTTAGCCCGAATACAATTGTCATTGGATTGTCCGCCTGTCCCGCCGTGACAATACCATTGTAGTTAGTTAGTGACTTCCTAGGCCCAGCTAGCCTTCTAGGCCTTATTGAGAGCCTCTGTAGAGTTCTTGCCTTAGGCGCTATTCCGTCAGGTACGAGGAGGCTTGAATGTCAAGACGTAATGTGACGAATCTCAAAGCACCAACTTCTGAAAGGGACTCCTGAAGGTTATACTTGACAACAGGGTGAGGTTCGGTGAAGCCAAAGGGTTCACAACAAGCGATGTCCAAGGGTACCGACAATCCTGCACTTGAATTGCTTACTGGAGAACTCCCAGAGTCCTCCAGAACGAGTGACTATATACTAGATACATTTTGGTCGCTCTCTCATGCTTTCTAGAGCCACCTAGAGCAAATTCTCTGCGGTGCTCTCGAGAGCCTCTTAGAGCGTCCTCTGATTGGCCTTGCACTGGTGCTCTCTCATGCTCCTGAGAGCTCTCTGGAGCACCTCCAGGGCTCGTTCCGATTGGTCCTAAGTGATTGGCTCGGAACGTCCTACGTTCTCCACTGGCTTTTGCAAGTAAGCCGCCGCTGTTAGCTCTCGTTGGTTCATTTGGGACACGTAGCTCAAGGAGCTACGAACAGAACTTGTGGCAGCGAGATGCAGGATCTTCAACCCACGAGGGCCCGTGCTTTCCACGGGCCACACCCAAAGGTCCTGGCAGGCGCAGCGCAATCGTCGTGACATATAAATTTTTATTTGCAATTTATAGAGGCATCTAGTTTCCATCTCAAATTACCTAGAACAGTTAACTTATTTTACATCGGTTGAATTCAATCATTACTATAAGCGCCAACTACTATATGCGCTAAGCTAGTTTGGAAGCCTTATAACAACCTCCTAAGCTAATTCATGTGCTGATATAAGAGTACTTGGAGGTAGCTGAAAGCTTAGCACTTTGTGGGGCAGCACTCCCCGCTGTGCATGATGGCCCTTGTGAACTACTGTAACAACTGGGAAACTTTCTCAAGGAACACTTTTCAGGCTCTGCTAGCTCGCAGCAGCTTCACTGAAAGTGGAGAGTCATCACAGTAGCTCCCAAACAAAACTCAATCTCATCTCGCACCTCGTCATGCCAGACATAGCAGACGTCATCGCCGAAGAGATCGCGCGTCGCACCGACGACATCTCGTCCATCAACCAACGCATCCACTCGAACCCTGAGCTCGCCTACGAAGAACACCAAGCCCACGACGCATTCGTCTCAGCCCTCCATACTCTCGGTTTCGCCATCACCCCGCACGCCTACGGCCTGCCCACCGCCTTTTCTGCTGACTTCGGCAGCGGCGGTCGATTGGTCGTCTTCAACGCAGAGTATGATGCCTTACCAGGAATCGGGCACGCCTGCGGGCACAACCTGATCGCCTCAGCTTCATTCACCGCCTTCCTCGGCGCCGCCGCAGCGCTCAAAGCCTCCAACCAGCCAGGCCGCGTCCGCCTACTCGGCACCCCCGCCGAAGAAGGTGGCGGCGGCAAGCTCAAGCTCATCGCGGCAGGCGCGTATCGCGGCGCCGCCGCCAGCCTCATGGTGCACCCGGGGCCGGGCCACAAACTACCCCCATCCGTCCGCGGCGTGTCCTTTGTGCGCATGCTCGCCAACGTCAAGATGCAAGTCCACTTTACCGGGCGCGAGGCGCACGCCGCCATCGCGCCCTGGGACGGCGTCAACGCGCTCGATGCCGTGTGCCTGTCGTATAATGCCATCAGCATGCTGCGCCAGCAGATCCGACCGTACGAGCGCATTCATGGGGTGTTCCGCTCCGCCGGGGACAGGCCCAACGTCACGCCTGCGGACTGCACGGTGGAGTACTACGTGCGGAGCGCGACGCGGGCCGAGGCGGAGGCGTTGTGGCAGCGGGTGAGGAGGTGTTTTGAGGGCGCTGCGGTCGCGACCGGGTGCGAGATGCGGGTCGAGCCACTCAATTCGTACGCTGATGTCCGGCCGAGCAGGGCGCTGTGTGAGGCGTATGTGGACGCCATGCCACAAGGGACGGTGGCGATGGATGAGCCTGCGGACATCCTGGCGGGGAGTACGGATATGGGAGATGTGTGCTATGAATGTCCCGGATTCCATGGCGTGTTTGGTATTGGCACGAAAGAGGGCGAGGCGAATCACACGAAGGGGTTTACTGCTGCCGCCGGGACCCAGGACGCATATGAGCGGGCGGTGGAGTGTGGAATGGGCATGGCTCGGGTGGCATGGAAAGTCCTGTCGGACGATGAGTTTGCGGAGCGAGTGCAGAAGGAGTGGGAGGAGGATATAGGGTTGGCCGCTGAGGGCAAGGAAGCTCTCCGTGAAGATATGAGGTTGAGGATGAAGTGAGAAAAGGGGAGACGGGTTAGAGGGATGAGGGTTAGGGTTGAAGCTTATCTCCTGCCAGATGATTTTCTTCGCTTACTACAGAAACATGACTAGCTATTGCTAAACTAGTAGCATTTTATTGAGATTCAAATTACTACTCAATCAATAGACTAATGTGACAGAAAGCGCGTTCTGGACTCATGCTGTCACGGATTCCCCGTTCCTGTTGTCATGGTTATGTCATATGCTTGCGGTTATGCACACGTCATGGGGTTTGATCATACGTCTATGGTCATGCTTACGCATAGGCCTCTGCTCCAGTACTTAAGATCTGGTTGCACGCCCATTCCTGTCATTTAGCTCTTGCTCTCGTTGTAGCAATATCGATCTTGTATGTGCGAGCTGACCAGACCTTGGGTGGTGCCGTCACAACAGCTTAGTTAGCTATCTATACCTTTCTTTTCGCTATAGTAGGTAGATTCAGGACTTTAGACTAGTATATAGGAGATAGAGGTTTTTAGTCCAGCCTTATAGGCATAGTTTTCCTTTGAAACTAGTGGTAGTAGATCTGGCGAGCCTTAGGGCATAGTAGTTGTCACGGCGGGACAGGCGCACAATCCAATGACAATTGTATTCGGGCTAAACTACAGTCTAAGCTCTATTCCGTCAGGTACGGGCAGGCTTGATTGTCAAGACGTAGCTCGAGGAGCTACGAACAGATCTCGCGGCAGCGAGGTGCAGAATATTTAACCCACAGGGGCCCGTGCTTTCCACATGCCGGGTTCCACCCGTGGGTCCTAGCAGGCACGGCGCAATCGCCGTGACAGGTATAGGGCCCTGAACTGGGCTCTACTCACCGTACAACCGGCCGACCACCGGCCAAAACTTGACAAAAGGGTACTAGAAAGGCATGAGGGCCTGACAAAGGCCGAGAGCTCTCTACTAACCCCGGCTCAGACTGGGGCTATAGGCCTTAAGGACTTCTTCTTCCAGGCCAGGGTCTCTCGAATACCTACTCCCTACTGCGAATGCGGCCAGAGCAGGGAAATAGTGGAATACTTGGCTGTGTAGTGCCGCCAACTACTGAAGCTAAGGACCTAGCCAGCTATAGAGATATGCTCATAGAGAGACCTATATAAGGCTCTCGACAAGTGAGGAAACAAAGAGAGAAGGCTTGTAAGGAAAGTAATTAGGTAGCTACTATAGCCTGGGTGGCTCCTGGAGTATAGGATAGCTGTATGGCTAGAACTAGGCTAGTTTAATAGCTCAGTTATCTATCTACACCTTTTTTTCGCTATAGTAGGTAGATTCAGGACTTCAGACTAGTATATAGGAGACAGAGGTTTTTAGTCCAGCCTTGCAGACATGGTTTTCCTTTGTAATTAGTGGTAGAGGGTCCGGCGAGTCTTAGGGCATAGCGGTATTGGAATAATAATAAAAAATAATATAAGAAGAGCAATTAAGTAGTAGTAGTATAATCGGAGTTACGCAAAAGTTTGATACTATTATGTATATAGTAAGATCAGCTATAATGCCCGCACTATCAAATGGCTATAGAAGCATCTGATCCAGCTGTTTCTAATATAATGTAGCTTGAACCTAGCCTATAATTCTCCACTCCAGTGGTGGGCGGGCGACTACCCAAGTGGAGTCGACTGCCTCCTGTCAAAAAAAATACCCGAGAAACCCAGTCAGCAGCGAGCGACAAGCGGTCAATCTCGACCCCCACCAAGCCAAACAATCGCGCCTGAAGCTCTGAAACCGTCCTCTTGAAATAACACACTGATTCTCATCCTGAACCGCGCAAGCCTGGCGCCGGCCGCGCAAGTGATTTCGTCATCAGACCAACTCAACCAAAGTTTACGCGACGTCTGCTTGTGCTCTCCCGCCCACAATGCCTCGCAACCCACCAAATACCGTCGGGATATCCCGCGCAACCCTTCCCAGTCCCTTCCTCCGCAAAGCCGCCGTCATCTCTTTTCTCCCTGCCCTCCCGCTGTGCATAGTGCACGGCGTCCTCTCGCACGACGTTGTCCCCGCGCTGGGGCTGATCCCACTTTTCTTTTCTGCGGTCGTGTCGATCTTCCTGCTGCTGGTCGGGCGTCGTCGGCGTCGGGCTTTACCTGAAGCGAAGGGGAAGGGACGGCAAACGGGCGGTGTTGATGAAGATCTCGAGGGGTCGGTTGTCGGTCGTGGTGGGGATGTGAGTGAGCGTGAGGTTGTTGAAGGAGCGGAGCGAGAACCGAGTGGGATTGAGGCTGACGTTGACGGCGAGGATGAGGAGGAGAGCCTTGGCCATTCGGTGCTCACACATCGCATTGTGGTGTTTGTCGCTGATGTTGTCTTCGCGTCTGCGTTGATGGTCGTCCTGGTGTTCACGTGGATTCGGACGGGACGCGCGGGGGACAGGCGGCCTCAGTTGGCGATGCTTGCGGCGTACAGCACCGTGCCATTGTTGGTCAACTTGTGAGTCGACTCTGCATCAGGTAGGCTAAAGTGTAGCTGACATTCGACAGCCTTATTCACCTGTACCTCGCTGCTCGCGAATTTGCCACCGGTATGGCCATCTCCGGCCTAATCGAGTACACAGCATGGCGGGCTGTGCCTTCGGACTGCCCGCACTGCGGCAGCCGACTCCGGCCGGATTCGTTGCCGCCTATTCCATGGTACGAGACCGTCTCCAGGCCCAAAGTCTCGCTTCCCCAGATCAAGGCACCGTCAATTCCTCGGCCAGCGCTCCCAGCCTTTAAGATGCCCAAGTTCTCCGCGCTGAAGTGCCGCGTGTGGAAGGGGCCCAACTGGATGCGGGGACAGAATCAAGAGTACGCCAGATTGTTTGTTGATGAGCAACAGAACGAGCACGACCGTTACAGTGACGATCCGGACGGGCCGTTCGGGGAACAATCTGGTAGCACCACGGTGGTCCCCAAGGGGTCGTCGGCTGCTCCTCCGGTGGAGGAGATCGTGGTGGGAAAGAAGGAGAGACGGGGCAAGAGCTCGAGTCCGGCGCTATTTGGGCAGAATGATGATGCTTCCTGGCCGTGAGCTGCAAGCGTCCCGAGCATGTCTCACGGAGACCCTGACCACAGATTTCTGCCGGAAGGTTGGCGCCTTTCTGTTTGGTTCTGGAATTGCCCGGTGTTCGCAGACCGAGATACCCACTGGCAGTCTTTATATTTGTCTTTCACGGGCTTATACACAGGCCTCTTGGCTCTGACTTCTGTTGCCTTTCTATCTTCGCGGCTTCGAGCTGGTTATTTTGCATTGTTTCCTCTCGGTGATACTCACCTCGTACAAGCTCTTTCTCAAGCCACGATGCGTACTGTGCTGCAAGAGATCGGCGACCGATAGGCCATGGCGAGCTCAGCTACCTATCCAACATCCAATATGATCGCTTTTCCAGCCGAGGGAAGCTCTGCTACCTAGCCAATCGTCAAGCCAATTATATATTGCGATGGTAGGCATGCTCGGTGAGGGATTGGCTAATAGACTACGGGGCCCGGAGCCCAACGCTGCCTTGCGACCCACAACTGCATGAAGGTTACCTTGGGGCTGCAAAATAGGACACCGAGACAGAAGATGGGTAACTACAGTAACAGAAGCCTACTTTATGTTCCGTGGCCAAACGCCACACCCCGCATGCTTATCCTGAGATCGAGATGTTGCGTTGGCACGTGTGGAATCGAAGCCTTTCGAGTGGCACGTTGACGAAAGTACGGAATGCAAATGCCCCGGCTCGGTGTGCTACCATCGTGAGACACTTCAGACGGGACAGGCACTGCTCCACGCTCTCTTGATGTATATATTATACGATGACATCCGTATCATTAATCCTCACCCCAGACGTCTCAATCTTTCATCTGTCATTGTATCTCGGTGTTGACCATGCAATCAATCCACTGCCTTCTTCTTTCGCTCCTGCCTACAGCTCTCGCTGTTCTCAATGGCCACTGCTCCGGCACCGCAACGGGCGTATACAAGACACAAGGCATCTGCGTCAAGACGTCAACTTGCTCGTCGTATGGCGGGTCGACCATCAACGGCGGATGTCCCAACGACCCGGCCGACGTCAAATGCTGCGTGATGTACGAGTGTTACGGCGACGAGTCGATGTGCCAATGGACAAACACTTTCTGCGATGGGCCGTTTCGATCAGGTGAGCTCATCTAGGCCAGTCTTTAGACGGTGTTTCAGCGCTCAAGCGACGTTTCAAGCTCCAATACCTAGGACAGGTGCTGATCGACTCTTCCAAATAGGATACTGCCCGGGAGGAAGCAACTATAAATGCTGTGATTTTCCCTAAATCACCTTTATGAGTGGTTTGGGAAGACCGTTCATGTATGTCGGCCGTCCGAGCAGAGAGAGACATGCCGAGGACTCAACGTTTCTACCATCCATGTTTTCAGGAATTGGTCTCCTCAGTTTGTGTGAGTGATTGGTCCTTGGTCCTCATAGACGGATATCATGATGAAAATGAAGCGCTCGTCCCCGAATCTCGTGCTTTGCAATTCTGCCTTTGACCAGACCGAAAGTTATGTTCCCTTACGCAATGGCTTTTGTTAATGGTCGCCATTGACAACCTTTGTGCGATAACCTTGGGTTTGAGTCGTCTGACCCTTCGAGTTCTGACTTGTCCAATTCAGACTCGTCTAGAACCCAAATGCGGCCAAGCTGTTCTCTATAAAATAGTTGATCCCCTCGGCCCGCCAGCTGTCCATCTCGACATAGCTGCCCCTGTCCGACCACACGAGGTTCTGGCCCACTCCGCCGCCGATGCTGGCATTGTACACAGGCCAGACCGCTCCACCCTGCAGGTCAAGGCCGTTTCCGTTAGGATCCTGGCTCGTGATGAAGTTGACCCAGGCGGTCGACATGGTCTTGGCCAGCGCGACCAGCCTCTCAGTGTTTTTGGCAAACGGGTTCTCCCCGTAGCCGTCGCCGCGTGTATTGTCGAAGACGAAGGCCACTTCCTGAAAGTGAGTGGCGCCGATGTAGCCGGGGAGACCGGGCAGCACCACATCGAAGCGGAAGCTCCAGGAGGGAATGCCCTGCGTTGCAAACGCAAGGCTCGCCCGCCGTCGCTGATACTGCATCTTGCTGTACGGGGCTGGGTGTGAGTGTGTCTTGTTGCTTGGACAGCGTGGGACATAAGTAAGGTACTCACAAGTCACCAAACAGGGCGGCTGCACGGCGGTACTGCGCGCCCATGGTCTTGGCTACAGCGTCGCCGGCCTGAATTATGAGCCACTTGTCCAGACTCGGGACACCGACGGCCTGGATGTTGGGATACAAGGACATCAATTCGTCCACTATCTCCTCGACCGTCTTGCCAGCGGTCTTCTTGACCTTGGGCCCCACGATAGACGCTATTGCGGCTTGCATCTCTTCGTCAGTGTTGATAGGACCGCCGCCGTTGATGCCGTTTCCGGTGTTGAAGGCCGACCCTTCATCCGTGTTGGCGCCTATCAGCACGCGCACCTTTGGGAAGCGACCCTCGGCCAGCTGCTTGGACGGGTAGTCGGCGATGAAATCGCCGTCCAGCACGGGTGGCCAGGGGTTGGCAGCTGTGCCGTTCAAGGCCCGATGCAGGTCCTCCAATGGGAGTGTTCGCAGGCAGTCGAGCGACGCCCGAGTTCCGAGCTTGCGGGCGCAGGTGGTGTTGCGCACGAGAGTGTCGTACGTTTCCTGCATGGCATCGGTGGCGTTGAGACCGCCGGCATATCGCCCGATGAAGCCGCCATATCCGGACTGGGCAATGACGCCGCGGAAGAGACCATCGTCGCGCCCGCCATAAGCCAGTGTTTGCGCGCTCATGCTTTCGGCGCCCGAGCTCTCGCCCCAGATGGTCACCTTATCAGGCGCACCCCCGAATGCCGCGATGTTCTCGTACACCCAGCGCAGAGCGAGCCGCTGGTCCTTGAAGCCCAGGTTGGTTACTCCTGCCGCCAGTGCTTCCTTGCCCTGGGGGAACCCGAAGGCACTCAGGCGGTAGTTGAGGGACACGCCAAGCATAGGCGTCCCTTGCTCGACGCTGTTCTGCACGATGAAGGAGAGGTTGTATCGCCTGTCTGCCGAGCCGCCCATGAACTGAAGAGAAGATGGATCTCATGTCAGATGAGCTTTGGGCCAATTCCCATTCCACGGGAGGAAGGCGGACAGAAACTCACCAAACCACCACCGTGAATCCAGACGACCACTGGAAGCCCATCAGTGTCGGCAATACCGGCTGGCCGGACGACGTTGAGGTACAGGCAGTCCTCCGACATTTCATAGCCGACATTGTCGCCGCCGTAGCCGATGCAGTGCGGCGGATATGCGGTGGCATTCCGCACGCCATCCCAGGACGAGTTGAGAGGCTGCGAGACGGCGAACCGGGGTGGTGTTTGGGCATAGGGCATGCCCAGGAAAAAGTCCTGGTTGTACTCTGTCGAATGGATGCCAGCGTAGGACCCGTTCCTGACCTTGGCGACCGGAGCGGAACCCTGCTGTTGTGACGGCAAAGCGTCGGCAATGGAGGCATACCAGCAAAGGCCGACGGACAGCAGTAAAGAACTAAGCCAGCGCGCCATGGCGTCGACCACGATAGAAGAAGACGGCGGTTGTCTGCACCTCGGCCAGATGTCTGGGCTCCTTGTACGTCGAGGCGACGATTACAACTCCGTTCCCGCTTGCGGTCACGGCAACTCATACCCTATCAAGGCAGTGACGGGGACAGCGGCCTTGATCTATAAAATGACACGGCCATTGCCCTCAATCGGCCCTACGTCGGTCAGTCTCCTTGGTAGCGGGTCTTCGACAATGGCACGAAGTAACCATGGATCAGTCCGGCCACGGCAGTTTGTAGCGTTTGCCGGGACGCTAATACCATGTTTTGGCAAGTTTGCGGCTTCGGGCTGGGCCGTGGCACACTGCCGGATCGTCCAGTTCATGGGGCCCTTGACCGGCGAGGTGGGCCGGGGCGGGCAACAGGAGCGGTAGGGAAAACGTTGCCCGGATCAACGACGGTTAATACCGAGGCGCGCCCAATGTGAATGGAGCCTTCGAACCTTGTGGTAGCAAGTTATGGATCGCATCCGCTTGTCGTCTGCGGGGTGCAGCAAGTCCGGGGGTGGAGATGGGGGCACCCGGGCAGCTGGGTACCGTAGCGGCGTAGCTAAGGTACCTACGTGACCTTGAATCGCCGAAAACGAATTCAAGAAGAGCCTGAGGATAAACTTTTGGCCCTGAACGGTTGGTCGTTTGGATTCGGTATGATTCTTACCGTGTAAATGAGGTCGGAGCGGGCATGTCATTTGCTGTGTGGAGTCTTGAAGCGGGATCGCACACTACCATGGCACCATGTAGTTCGCCGGCCCAAGTGAATATGATGATGATGGCTGACTCCGCGTTCTGAGAACAATCAACGTCAACCACGTTCGGACCGATAAGACATCCCAAGCTGTGTCATAGGCACAAGGGAATTGGTGTCTCTAGCGGTGGCAGGGTTGCGCAAGGGGCTCTGAGTCACGTCGCTCATCTGTTGTTCATATTGAAGCGCGCCGCCACGTCGCCGTCGAGCTGATTGACTGCGACTCATTGAAGTGCGAGCGCTGTCCCGACGAGATCCCGTATCACAAAGACCAAGTCCGGGCGCAGAATCTGCTCGATGCTCAACACTACACCGATTTGCGGGATTCTGAATGTCGAAATAAAGTCGAATTAAAAAAGGAGCAAGCCGAGCCGGATGTGGAGGGGGCCTTCATCGAAATGACCACTTGAGGTCCAGAGACGGGCTGATTCGCGAGTCCTTGCCGGGTCTCCGTCGCGGCTGACCTTATGGCGGTGTTACACCAGTCCGAATTCTGGTTCGGAATTGACGTGTTGGCCTTATTGAGCGGACATAAAATTACTTGACGAGGCGGTTTTGAATTCTGGTGTCAGCCTGTCGATCTACTTGGTTACTAGGCAACAGTGATGTGGGTTGATTGCCGCGGCTTGACCGGCCAACAGCAATCCGCGTGTGGAAGCACGGTGGCAGACCGCGTCGCCGGTATATGTGGTGAGCCTTTGGACGGAAGCAAGAGATGAACGATTCGGGAGTGACTTTGGTGGCTGATTGGTGTTGGAAAGGGGGGCCGATTTTCTCGAAATCGTGGCTGTGCAGGGGAAGGCCCCACGTTCAGCCACTGCACGCTGCTGAACGAATGACCCAGCCCCCTGACTTTCGACCAAGGCCAAGTTCAAAGTCATCCGCACCTCGAAACAGGCAACCCATCATATGGCGGCCCACAGCTGCTCGTCACGCTTCCACAGCGCCATTTCTCCCGCTGAGGAGAACCTGGCCGCTTTTCTTTCCCAGATGGACACTTCCGAGTTTGGTTGATGTCCGCCGCTCGCTTTCTCGTGTTTCCCAACCCAACAGTTTCGGCTCCAAGCAGGCCGGAATGCCCTTCTACGCCAACACGCCCGAGTCCCGGCTGGGCCGCTCCGACTCCAAGAACCCGTCGACAACATGCAGAGGCATCACCTCGAGCGGACGTCCATGCCGGCGCCCGATCGCCACACCGGGCCCCCCTTCGAACAGCTCGCGCCTAAAGCCGTCGAGCGTCCGCACCGATGACCCGACCGACGAGAATCTGTACTGCTGGCAGCACAAGGACCAGGCGAGTGCCTCGGCGAAGTCGAGCCCGGGCCCTAGGATGTCCCACACGCCAGTTCTCGAGGAACGAACGAGTTTGGACACGCTAGCCGACCGCTTGGGCCTCATCCGCACTTGGTCTGACAAGCTCCAACCGCCCCCGAAGGGATCCGGACGGTCTAATGGCAATGGAAATGGGAAGCGTTCAGCCAAGATGGCACGCCCGAAGCCGAGAAAGGAGGCCACATTCTGCTTCTGCTTCCGCATCCCCGTCGACGAGATCGGTCCCCCTCCGCGTCCAAGGCCACACCCAATTCAGCCCACCTCTGTGTCCACTCCGTCCAGACCTAGCGAAAAGAAACCCTCCGGCCAATATCTGTCGCCCTCCCCGTCCCCTGGCCGCCGGGCCCTCCGAACCTCGGAAGCCTCCCAAACCGCACACTTCATGTCCTTGATCCCACCAGACACTTCCCCGCAGACCGCCTCCCAGCTCCTCGCCGAGTTCGCCAAACCAGTCTCGCAGCAAGACGAGCCCGGCTACATCTACATCTTCTGGCTCACATCCGAGGCCCAACCAGCTACCCCGCCGGCCGAAGCAGCCCGCTCGTTGCTCGCGCCGCCCTCCACACCAGCTACCCGCAGCAGAGCAGGAGGCAGGCGACCCAGCGACGTGCTCGCCTCGTTCGCCACAATCGCCGACGACGAGGATGGCTCTTTGCCGTCCGACAGTGGTCACAGCAAGGCCAGGGGCATGAAGAAGAAAAGGAAGATCCTTCTCAAAATAGGCCGCGCCACAAACGTCCAGCGCCGCCTCAACGAATGGCAGCGCCAGTGCGGGTACAACCTCTCGCTAATCCGCTACTACCCCTATATTCCCTCCTCCCCGTCCTCGCGTATCCCCAGCCCGACTCCAAGCCCTAGACGGGGTGATGGTGACGACGGGGAGGTAATGCCGCGAAAGATGCCGCACTCGCACAAGGTCGAGAGACTGGTGCATATCGAATTGGCCGGCCGCGGACTGAGGGTGGCTGACCGGGAGAGATGTGAGGCCTGCGGGCGGGAGCATCGCGAGTGGTTCGAGGTGAAGGCGTCGCGGGAGGCGGTGAAGGCGGTGGACGAGGTTGTGAGGAGGTGGGTGGAGTGGGATGAAGGGTTTGTTTGGTAATGGGCTGATGTTTAGCTCGTGGGAACATGAAATCGATGCGTTGGGTGGTAACTACGGTACGCGTTGTGGTTGGCTGTAAAAGGAGTTTGAGCATGGCATTGGCGTTTGCTGATTGGTGCTGTTGCGGGAATCGGCAGGTCTTGACACATCACCTCAATTCAGTCTTAATTGTCTCTTGGGCTTCGTCAAACGTGAGTGCGGAACCTCTTGTGTGATGACTGTCCGTCCCTTGTGAACCCGAAGTAACAATTCATGGATATACAGAGACTTTGGCCGCCAGAACCTTCGCAGCGGAACTACCCAACCACAAAGAGTGGTACGCCCAACACATAAAGCAACTCAGAAACGCCATACACCGCCCATGATCCCCGTTTGTAAAGTATAGAAATGGCAGACAAGACCACATCTATCAAGGAGCAGACACCGCCGGGGCGAAGTTAAACCCCACAATGCCATCAGCCAACACTTCCTCGCCCCTCCGCATCGACACCCGCCGCCCAATGATGCCGTTGTTGCCCACGTTGAGGGATAAGGCTGCTCCGAGGGGCATATCGACGCCTTGGGTGATATTGTATGGGGTGTGGCGCAGCGTGAACTGCTTCATCACGCCTGCGTCGCCGAGGGGCTCCGTGAGATCGCCTGTTGTGCTTTGCGGAATAGCCATGTTAGATAGAGCCTGAGTGTGTGCGGGGAGGGAGGATTTCGTTTCGATGGCCTTACTGGATTGACACCAATATTGGTTCGTCAAGTGCTGGGTGGTTGGCGTGCTGAAAGCGGACGTGCGTGGCATGGCAGCTGGATGGGGAGGTAGGGTTGAGAAAGAGCAGGTTGCCGAGCGGGAGGTGGCCTTGTGGTGAGGGAGAGAAGAAGTCGACGCGGGCGCCGATGCGAGGAGCCACTGAGGGAGTTTGTTCGCCGCACATGTTGCTGGTTATCCCTGCGCGTGGTTCTCTGTGTTGCTTGATTCGGTTGACGGGTAAAACGTGTCAAAACCGATTTGAGATCGGCCTGCAGAGGGACCACTGGGGACAAGATGGCTCTCAGTTTGGAGATTGGACATTTATATCACTCGTTGAGGCAGTCTCAGGGATATCCTCCTCGTCCAGACCACGCGATGGCCATGATTAGAAGGAGGATCGTCAAGGTACCTGACCAGCAGCCAGTCGTCAACCACAAGAAGCAGCCAATCGGGGCGCTGAAACGGGCCAGAATTTGCCGCTTTCGGTCATTTCAGGCACCTTGGCGCCGCGTGAGCACGGGCCAGTGGGCCCATGTTAGGCCCCTTTGAGCAGGTTTGCGCGGGTAAAGTGCAGGCACCTCGACGGAACACATGACGCGTGTCAAGACGTCGAATGCAGCCCGAGACAACTTGCTCGCAGGAACCTTGACGAGCACGTTTCGCAGATTCTATCGCATCTAAAGCCCTTAAACTTGCTTCCGTGACTGGCTGTCAAAATGGTCAGCCTCAACACTGTTTGGCAATACCTGGCCCTGCAGTCGCCATTGCAATTGCACTCCACCATGATGTCAGGCGACAGCTTCAATCTCATAAAAATGGGCGTCACAACCTTCGCCCTCCCCGCCCTGCCATACGCCTACGACGCGCTCGAGCCGCACATCTCGGCCCAAATTATGGAGCTGCACCACGGCAAACACCACCAAACCTACGTGACCAATCTCAACAAGGCCCTCGAATCCCACATCGCTGCCGTCGCGGCTGGCGATGTTGCCGCCCAGATTGCCCTGCAGCAGGTCATCAAGTTCAACGGCGGCGGGCATATCAATCACTCGCTGTTCTGGCAGAACCTCGCGCCAGCGGGGAGCGACGAGACGAAGCTGGAGCAGGCCAAGGAATTGGTGGCGGCGATTGAGAGGACGTGGGGGGGTTTTGATACGTTCAAGAATGCCTTCTCGACGGCGTTGCTGGAAATTCAGGGAAGTGGTTGGGGTTGGCTCACCCGGGAAGCTGGCAGTGGGGGGGGGCTACGCATCGTAACGACCAAGGACCAAGACCCCGTCGTTGGGGGTGATGTTGTCATCTTTGGGGTGGATATGTGGGAGCATGCTTATTACCTTCAGGTTGGTAGCCGTTTTCTGAGTTTTTTGAATCGAGCATCGGCTAACATGTCGACCTCAGTACATGAACGGGAAGGCTGCTTATGTCGAGAATATCTGGAACGTCATCAACTGGAAAACGGCCGAAGACCGGTTTTTAGGGAGGTCCGAGGAAAAGAACGAGCTGTAATCAAGCGTTGGCACACTTCGATGTCCTGGATACCTGAATACGACTGTTTCATGTGCGCGATGTCTGCTCACGCCTGAATTCCAGCCCTGGGCAATGCATTTGATTAATTATCTCACGCATACAGCAGCAGCCAACATGCCAGATCTGTCTCACAGCCACGAGGTATCTCGTTTGCCAGCTGACAGCAGCATCAGAAACCTCCTGTAGCTTCTCCGTGTAACGGGACGGGTGCGTTTACACCGGCTCGCCACCGGCACGGTAGCCTGCATATACCAGCCGTTGCAGGAACCAGCAAACATCTCCTTACCACCGAAACTCTCAGCAGGAGGTGTCTGGTCAAGCCCCAGCTAGAAACGAATTCCCATCGAGGTTTCATATTCAGCCACGATCACCAGCCGTTGAAGTACTTATCGTTCTTTATGGTTGACCTGCGGCATGGCCATCCAAGTTGATTAGCGAGTCTAGCATAGTCTAGATCAGAGCATCGAAGTAGCTCGTTCATCTCTGTGACTAGCCAAGCCCACGGAGAAAGCAGACATCTTGCTGCGGCTAGGATCGCAATGTGCTTAGGCAAGCGGCCGGGCAAATTCCTCCGTGTACACGACTCCGTTTGGATCCGTTCCCACCCGCAACTGGGTGACACAGCTCATATAACGCTCCCATCAGAGGCAACTGCAATCTGTCATGACACCCCTTCGGCACGGGATTTTTTGGTCAACCTGGTTCGGAATTGCCAGAACCCTCCAAACTCCATCTATCAGTGGCAGCACGCGGTTGTGTAAGAAAGCAGATCGACGCAGCTGCAGACAGATGTAGCATGGTCAAGGTTGCTGAAGGATGCCATCTCCAACAAGCAAGCATCCGTTTCTACTTCGTTTGCAGTTCAAGTGCTTCTCCCTCCCAATCCGGGTCCACTGCCACGGTCTGCCAGGAGTCGATGTTGGGGCACCATGACACCTACGGGAGCACCAACCGGGATTGCCTCGGCAGCAGCGGATCAACCGGTCATTGAAGGAATGAGGATGTCCGGGTGGGCGAGTGCAAACAGATTCTCTGTGGAGCTCACGGCTGCTGAAACCCAGGGGTGACAGCCATATTGCAAAAGGCCTCCGATGCAAGAGTATACGAGAAGCCAGAGAGGTATAAGAGGGAGTCTTTGGGTATCTTCAGTCCTTCGTTGTTCCTCCACTGGTTGTGCATTTAAGTGCTGTTTTCTGGGTTGGTCACACTCGTATTGCACCTTGAGAAAAACTCACCGTCGTCATGCCAAAGCTCTTTCATCCGCTGGCTCTCCTGAGCCTGAGGTATGACCACTGCATGCTGGGACATGAAAGTTGAGGCTAATGGAACCCAGCACGGCCATCGTTCGTGCTTCGGGTCATGACATTCAAGGTTCTGCTGATTCCTTGTATGTTCAGCCCGGCACTACCAGGACTGTCACCGTGACCCGAGTATCCACCGTCCATGCCGGCAAGAGTTCCTGCGACGTGGTTTATGTCCCCACTACAGTCACGGTTTACACAGGGTGCTCGCCCGCTTCGGGTGTCTCGAGCGTGTCCGGTTTCCCGAATACCAATCAGAGCGGCCTCGGTCCTTGGTTGAATGCCACTGTAACGAACTCTCCGTGCACGCACGGCCTCCCGACTTCGACTGCTTTGACAACCCCTGAGAGCATGTCGGCGTCACTCGGCTGGAACCAAACCGCGCTCACCTCTCGTCCCACACTAAGTGGGACAGCTGGGACAACCGTCCAGACAGCTGATCCCATCGGCACCTCTTCTTTCTTCTGGAGCAACTCAAGCCGAAGCTCGACTACCGACCAAGTCTCAACAAGCACTCTCACGCTCACACTGACGTCCTCCATTGTGGTCACTGTGAACTCGACTCTGTCTCCAGGCCCCACCGCCCCAAACTCCGTTTACGGTACAGGAACTGGCCACCTTGGGAATGCTTCCACGAGTGCCTCCATGTCGACGGCCTACAAGCCCAGTCTAACCTACCAGACGACGGCTTCAGGTATGTTGACACAGACTGAACCGGGTTGACGGGAGCTAATCCGTTCCGTCAGACCATTCAACCTCGACTACTCACCACACCACTCGGACTGCAACTCATACCACGAAGCGCTCGTCGATCATCCCCAGCACACGATCGAAGACTAAGACGTCCACGTTCCTTGTGTCAAGCAACCCCTCTACTCGCAACCCCATCCCTTCGTCCTCCACCCCAATCACCCTCTCCTCAATCGAGATCACCACAGAGACGAACGATGCCATATTCACGACAACGTCCCATCTCGGCTCTTCCACCCACCCAGTGTCCAACGCAACCCCATCGTCCGCCTCCAACGGATGGAACAACACCAGGACCGACACCGCCACCTTCGCATCCCCCTCGTCAACAACCGTGGGCGTCAGCGGAGACCAATACGGAGGATACACCTACGGCCCTCCATTGTCCACTTCTGCCTCGAGCAGCGAGACTGGCGTCAGCAGCGTCGATCCCATCAGTGGGACCAGCACTAAAGCTAGCGTCAGCCACACTGTTTCAAATATCACTCAGCTGAGCACCTTCTCAACTCACACCATTGGCGCGAGCATTACCGGCACTGCTGGTGTGGCCACGGCTTCGCAGGCTGATGGGGGTTATGGTTACTACGGGGGCTACTACTAAGAAATGGCATTCAAGTGGCGTGGCTTTGAGGCATGGGCGAATCACATACAAGACTGTGGTCAAAAGGAAATGCTTCAGGGCTCGGGTAAAAGGAGGAGAGGTGGAGGGACGACGGTGTGAGAGGGGGATCACTTGCAACACAATTCTTGTGTGTAGTTAGTAGACGTCTTGTAGCTAGATCCCAGTGAAATTTGAAGAGTAAGGTGCCTAAACATCCTTCTGACAACATAAACCCGTCCGGGTCACGCATTTGGTCTCCATATTGAGTCAGACACTTGATTCATTGGTTACCGTCTCGGAGGAGAGCCGGGGGATGCGAGCTCCTCGGCCCTATTTCCCCTCATGTGGCGTGTAAATTGGGAGCTGAACGATAAATGAGCAGTGATCCGACTAATGGCAGAGCTCCGCATACCCAGATCCCGGGATCCCGCATCTCTCAGCTCCAGCTACCTCGGCTGTCTCCCTCAGCCACAGCTGAGACGTCAGAACGGTTACACACCCACACACGTACCGCCAGAGGTTTGGCTACTAGTAGCTATAAAGGGACGTAGAGAGTCATCTCAGGATGTCCACCACACATCATCTCACCCCAGACACCTCGGCCAACTACCAGATCAACAAATCCTGAACTATCATAATCGATGATGAAGCCCATCCTCCTCCCCATCCTCGCCGCTACAGCGGCAGCAACCGATCTCCTTCTCCCTCTCTACCAGTACCCGGCTAACAATGGCGGTGCCTGGTCGCCCATCGAGCAAGCCATGACCGCCAACCCCTCCCTGACCTTCAAGGTCATCATCAACCCGAACAACGGGCCCGGCGGTCCCGGCCAAGGCATCGACGACCCGCAATACGCCGCAGGCACCAAGGCGCTCGCCTCGCACCCCAACGCCCAGCTGATCGGCTACGTGCACACGTCGACTGACTGGGGCGCCACGCGGTGCAACGTCCCGTGGCCATCTATCACTGCCGACATCAAGCGCTGGGCTACGTGGCCGGCTCGCGGCGTCGCCATCAAAGGCATCTTCATCGACGAGGCGCCCGTCAACACGGCTAACGACTGCGTGGCCTACATGCGCAACCTGACTACCTTTCTCCGCACCGACCCTGACGTGGTGCGCGCGTTCGGCACGAACAAACCCATCATCGTCTTCAACCCGGGCGGCGTCGGCGCGCTGCAGCCGTACTACGACCTGCAGCCGGACCTGATCGTCGCGCTCGAGACGTGCTTCGTCGTGCCGGCCCGGGCCGGCGGCGGCGGGACGTATGACGACCAGTGCTCGCCCGCGGGCGGGTACGAGCGGTACGATCACGACGGGGTGGGCAGCTCGCTGGATAACGTCGTGTTCCCGTCCGTGGGGAGAGCGAATGCTGCCAGGACGGCGGTGCTGGTGCATGGGTTTCACGACTTCAATGGGCCGGCGGCCAACATGAGTGCTACGGTGGGCGTTCTGGGCCAGTTGATTCGCGGAGTGGTGCAGAGGAAGATCGGGGCGACCTTCTTCAACACGGCGGGGTATCACACTTTCACAGATGGACCGGCATCCATTGGCGCTGCAGCAAGTGCGTTGAGAGCGGCAAATGGTGCCTAATCATGTAGTTGAATGGATAGGCTGGTTCGTACGGACAGATGCCATACAACAACTCAATGACAAAGCTGGCCGAGAGATAGGCGTAAATACACTACCTAGACAGAGGCGACTTGATGCCTTAGCAAGCAGTAGCCCTACTTTTGTAGCACTCTAGCACGCCGTTGTTGTTGTCGACGAGAGTGTCTGTGTAAGGCGAAGCGTCAGTTAAGGTACAAGGGATGAGGACTTTAGGTAGCACCGACTGAGATCAAAAATGGCCGTCGGCCAGTTGGCTTGAGCCGCACCCGTTCCAGGATTGCATTGACAGTACATGAGCGACGGCGGAGCGTCGACAATCAGTCCATTGTCGGGCTTGCCGTTAGTGCAGTTGATGCACTGGTCGCCAAGGTGCGGTCTAGTCGATCTCAGTCAGCTATATCTGCTCTTCTGGCCAAGGTACCTGGTCAGAATCATAAACCCAGGCGTCCCTACCCAGCGCCCGTTGGATCCTCCTGCAACCTGCCGTAGTTGTTCCTGAGACAGTTGTTCAGATCAAGCTTGGAGCACTTCAGCTGCCCGAAGATGTTCTTGCAGTTGGCGGTCAGCGTCCTGCCGCTGACCTTAACCGACTTCTCATCGCAGGAAGCAATGAAGTTGGCGCTGAGTGCTCCAGTTGCACCGAGTCCAAGAACCAGAACGGAGAGGATGGGCTTCATCGTGAGGGCGACTTTGAAGCTGAGAACCGGAATTGCTTGCAGTCGGCCGTTTTGTTGTAGAAAGTTACAAGAACCTCCGGTGACCAGGTCCCAATCCGGGAAAGCCGGTGCTCAAGGGATTGTTATAAGCACGGCCACAGAGCGGTCGGCCCTCTGCTCTCGTCCGCAGACCACGTGTGTCTGGAGTCGAACCTGATGATGAAAGATGGAATCGCGCCTCAGACAGAGGGAACGTAACGCAAGGTTGCAATCATGTGCCAGGAAGGGCCAATGTTATTAAATCGACATTAGAACTGTCGAATGTCAGCTTGGCTTGCGCGAGTCAACCAGGTTCCGGCTCTGTGGAAGGTTCAGGGACAGAAGCTTGGTGGCAGACTTGAAGGCAGCGTGCAGCCGGAACTGTCATGATATCCGCCCTATCCGCCCAGCCGTGACCGAGCAATAACTTCCGATATTGGACCTAAATATAGGTGTTTTTATCTTAAGTTTTGACAAGTTAATAAACGGCGTCCGGGTAATCAATTTGCAGATCTGAGTCGATTGGCTGCCGATATCTTGGAGATCCGGGACACGGCACGATCAAACCTTTTGGGAAAACAACGAGCTTTTCGACCGCACCGCACTGTTGCTGCCACATGAGCCGCGCTTTTTGGAGCGAGAATTGTAGGCCCAGTGATTTGGGGAACTCAACCTACAGTGACAGAAAAGGTACCTCACGGTCTTCCTGCCAGTTCAGCCGCGGAACTTCAGTGGTCTCGCCTTGAGCGGAAGTGTCCCGATGAGCCTAGAGATTGCCTAGAATGGACACGATGCGAAGATATGGACCAACCCAGTGAGTCGATCCAGGGGATCCAAAGACAATGGTGTCACTGTGCCAGCTTGCTGGTACCATCGACCCAGTATGAGAGACAACCTTAACTGCACCCACCGAAAGGACTACCTCTTCGGCTTAGTATCCGCCGTGAAGCTGTTGTTCCGCGGAGTGCTGGCTTCATAATACCAGAGCCGGCCTCTTTAGTCCGAGTTCAAGGCGACCCAGTTTCAAAGCCCATGTGCTCCAGCTGACGGCTTCGTCTCTTGCGGGATTCTTGATCAGGTCATCCGTTTCAGCGTCGAGCTCATCGAGTCCTGGTGTCTTCTGCCGCCGCGAAGGAGCAGCGAGTCTAGGAATCTCATTTAGGGACCCTCCTGCGTGAGTTCCGGTAGAGGGGAAAAGGAACCGTGACGCGCAGGTGCACCGTTTGCTCTACCAAGCTCATGGACAGGAGTCGCGGAGCAACTGTGTCCGAAGCAACAGGGGGATGCCGTGACTCAAGAAACCGCGTGTGTTCAACCCCAAAACTTGGTATGGTGCCCGTGAGGTACGAAGCCGCTTGAGCGTGCATTGGTGGCTGGTCCCGATTCCTGAGCCACAGCCGGGAGATAGCCGGGCGGCCTCGGCCATAATCGTCACTCAGGATTCGACTCATGCACGTGGATGAGGCACATGTGACATAGTCGACTTTGAGTCCACCAAAGGCAGAAACTCGCAGCAGTGTGAACTCAGAAATCGGGAATTCAACGGCTGGTCCTTTCCGAGTTTGCCAGCTTGGACCGTTGAACTGGCCTAAGAGAACGGACGAACGATTCAGGGTTGACAATTACAGCGCTTTAATAGAAGCGGCAACTGATGGCTACCACCGGCTGGCTTTGTTTTCTGACATTGGGTACCCCGAATCTTACCAGTCAGTTTGAAGGGGCAACACGAATTACCATACTTGCTCATCACATGGCTATGTGCGGTCGTGTGCCCAAGTTGAAGTGATTTTCGAAATGAGACTCAGTTGGTTGAGTGGAGTCCATGTGTCTCCATAACGTCGGCCCGTTCGCAGCTGGCGTCTTTTGTTGATTGTCAACGCCATTTCAGTTCACCACCTAAGCTAGTTACCGTTCAGACAGGACAAAAGCATCCCCAAGTTTCACAACCATGGAAAGTGCCTTGACAAACAGAACCACGGTCCGACAAGATCAAGTACCTTTCTTGGACTACCCGTCCCGGAACAGAGATGATATCAAGCGCCGGCAATGTCTGATCTACCTGATCCCGGGCAACCCCGGACTCATCGCTTACTACGAGCCCTTCATGAAAATGCTCAGGCAACTCCTTGACGAGACTGAAGAGAAACACGGCTGCTGCCACGCCTTCCATATATACGGGCGGAATCTACTAGGTTTCGACGACGGGGACCACAAACCGGCGTTTGGGACGACGACGTCGTCAAGCATCAAGACTGAACCCTTCACGCTCGAAGACCAGATCCGCAGCTGCTACGACCAGGTCCAACAAATCAGCACCTCCACTTTATCTCACGGCAGATCCTTCTCCTCGGTGATCCTCATCGGCCACTCCGTCGGGGCCTACATCACCCTCGAACTCTTCCACCGCGCCGCCACCGCTCTATTCAACACTGCCAATCCTACCCCAAGAAAAAACCCCCTCCACTCCGCCATCCTCCTCTTCCCCACAATTTCTCACATCGCCCGGTCCCGCAGCGGCCAAAAACTCGACCTGATCCGACGCACCCGCTTCCTCGACCAATCCGCCCACCACCTCGCCAAGTTCTTCGTGGACCTGCTGCCGCAGTGGCTACTGAGCGCCATTGTTCGCCGCCTGCTAGGCTTCCCGCCCCATGCGGCGGCCGCCACGGTGCGGTTCCTGGCGAGCGGCGACGGTATTTGGCAGGCGCTGCACATGGGCAAGGACGAGATGGCCACGATTGGGGACTCGGAGGGGAGGTGGGGGCAGGGGATGTGGGAGGAGGTGAGGGAGGTGGAGGAGGAGATCGGGGAATTGTTGGAAAAGACGGCTCGAGTTGCTGGTGGTAATGAGGGAAGAAGGAAGGGGGAATCGAACGCAGAGGAGGAGGTTGAGGGAGATGGGAACTTGAATTGGGATAAGGCGAAGAGGAGGGCGAGGTTTTTCATTTATTTTGCAGAGAAGGATCATTGGGTTGCGGACGAATGTAGGGACGAGTTTATTGAGAGGAGAAGGAGGGAGGGAAGGGGCGGCACGAGAGTCGTGGTGGATGAAACGGGGATTCCGCATGCTTTTTGCATCCGTAAGTGTGCGTCCTGTTTTCGATTGAGGGCTACAATTGTGTCGTGTGGTGGCTGGTCCGCTGACTGAAAATGAATGTAGACCACAGCGAGTCGGTGGCGGAGAAGGTGAAGGTCTGGATTGAAGATATTGCCGGCCTTGAATAAGGCGAGTGCACCAGCATCTCCATGCCACCACGGCCCATCGAATCCGATGGGAAGGGTCACGGCATCGGTACCCGACCTCCCACAGCAGCCGTTCCTTCACTCATCTCGCCGTGTCCAAGGCCCTGCGCGGAAATGTTCCGTCCTGGGCTTGTTGTGGGAACCGTACAGCTGCCGATGTCCCCGGACGGGGTTGATTACCGATGGTCCTGGGTTGACCTGGCTGATTCCCAATTCAACTCTCTTATGGAAGCTCATGAAAGGAGACGCCGTAGCCAGGTAGGCCGGCTCAGCTGCGCAGAGCAGGAGTATTCGATATGTACTCCCCAGAACCCTTGACATTTCACCCGCTTCAAGCGTGTCTGCCGAGCGCTCTGGGCCTGCAGACAGCGCAACATCTCAGAGAGAGTTTACGATCGACCCAATTGCGTGGCTGGTGGAGCGAGCCCAAGCCCGGGAGGGCGGTTGCCGGTTGCACCAAATTTAGGCACCTGAATTCTCTGTCGCGAGATTGGTCAAGAATGATCCACCAGACGACACAACTTCAAGCCTCAGGTCTCGACTTCAGGAAAATGCTGGTCCTCACAACTGGGAAGTACCCAAGAGGTAAGCTCGAGGACTTTCGGCGAAGTGCAGCGTTGTTAATTGCCCCGTGAGGATGAAGAAATAGCAATCAATCGCAGTTGGGGTATCCTATCGAAAACGCCGTGAGCCTTCACCCCCTAAGTAACGCAACCCATCCAGCTGTGTGTTGGAGAGGGGTCGCTGCGGCCCTGAGGTGCCATCGACATCGCCCGCTTGCCTGGCTTCCTCGTCTCCGACCCTAGTCCTCCCCGTAGCTGTCCTGTAATGCCGCTGAGGCGTCCATCCTTGATCCATGCCGCTCGCCCCCAATAGGTGTCCCGACTGCGGGATTTGATCTGCTTTCGCGCTGTCGGCTTCGCCGTGTCTTTGTAGGGGACTTGCTTGATGAAATGGCCGCTCATCCCACAACCCGGACATGGCCAACGCCAGCGTCGAGCACTCCAAGGCAGCGGCCGGCGACTTGTGATGCAATGAAGACCCAGAAGCGGGCCTCCTCTGGGACGGTTCCGGATCAAACTCTTCTAATGTTATGGTCGTGGTGATTTTTCCAAGCTTTAAGCGCTCGGGGAATGCTAATGGCGGTCCTGCCGCGGCTGCTGATTCCCTGATGTCGGGCCGTGGAGCGGTAATGTTCGCGTATGGTGGAGTCCTCAAGCCACCTGCCACCGCTCTTGATCTCTTCCGTGCGCCGTCCACGTAGTTGCAAATGAAGAAGAACAGAAGAAATGACTGGATGACCCTGCAATTCCTGGGTTAGCTTCCCGTTCCTACAGTGGCGGGCAACCTTGGTTCGCCTTACATTAGGACTACCATGAGGCATACACTGGCTATCTCGTCAGATGCCGAGCCGAAGGTCGAGGGATAGTCGACCAGGCCGCAGATGAGATCCACCAGTAGCATGCCCGTCGCGGTGGCCACCCCAAGGAAGATCACGCCGTCAACGAGCAGGTGGATGTTAGTTGGGATTCCGCCATCTCGGAGGAGCCACGCGGCAACGAGCTCGGCCGAGGTCCAGAGCGTGATTACGGGACACTGTCAAGCGTAGCGTCAGCCAAGCTGGGATCCAGAAGGCATGCGGAGGGAAACAGAACAGACCACCACAAGGACAGGCACAAGCCGGTCGCGGGCGTACAATGGACCTGGTCGCCCGGCGGCGACGCCCGCGATGATGGCCGTGACCGAGAGCGCGACCGCCAAGGAAATACCTCTGAGGATGAGGCAAGTGACAAAAACACTCCTGCCGAGGCCGTGATAGTTGGTCAGTCTCCACTGCCGTAGCTCCTTCAGAGAGGGTCTTGCTGCCGGCAGTGGCAGGGAATCTAGCCATGCTTCGACGAGGGGATCGTAAGGAGGAGGCGGCCGGGACGGCGGCGATCGCAGATTGATCCCCAACATCGAGTGGGACGGACCGCGCCTAGGAGGGAGCGGGGAGAGCTGGGACGACTCGTTGGCGATTGCTGATGGCCAGCATGTCGAGTCCTTCCCAAGGCAGGCCTCAAGGACGATGGTTGAAAGGCAATGACGGCGGAAGGATCGGCCTCGGGAAAAAACCCCTCGCCAGGCTGGGAAACTGGTGTCCAGCTGCAGACACTGGTTGGGCCGAGAGAGAGAACTGACCGATCGGTGGAATGGGAATGAGCCTATACAGTGGACCAGCCGCGTCAACTGCAAGGAATGCGGCATCCGCTCATCACCGCATCATATTCCAGGACACTGTCGCTCGTGAACACCGCTGGTCGGCTGACGTTGTCAAAACATGATGGAAACCCAGAATCGCCAGGCGATGTTTTCCACGTCTTTTTTGAACGGGACTTGAAGCTCCTCAAGCAACCCGGATCCCGGGGATATGCCGGGGGTGTTGAGGCTTTCAGTTTTGGACTGGCCGCGACCGTCCGTAGCTTTAGGCACCCGTATAACGGCCCCTGTCGTTGTCAGAACTGCCACAATCCGAAACGTGCGTTTATTAAACGCTCCCACTTCCCTTCAATGGCATGGAAACAGCTCCCCAGAATTGTGAAAACCTAGCCTACGAGCCACAAATATGGCTCCGACAAAAGTTCAACAAAACCGACCATCTTGCTCTTTTCCGGAATCCCACCAGGCTCCCTTTTCAACCCAGAACTTCTCTTCGTCTGCTCGATGAAGGAAAAGAGCGATAACTGCAGCAACCCGGCCCTACCTTTCGGCTCTTCCATGCCATATCTGTCGATTGCCATGTTTTCGAAGCCGGGGCGGTCAGCATTGTCGGTCCCGAATCCTTTATCGGACCGAACCCTAGTGGGTTCCGCTTTGGCCCGATGACCACGCGATGTTGCGCTGTGTGATCTTCTCGATCCGGCCCGTTGTGTGAGGCTCCAGAGGCTGCATGCTGTTATTTGAGCCGCGTGGTCCAGGCAAGGCCCACAGGTCAACAGATCGGCCCAGATACCGTAGTCGTTGCCACCGTACTGGCGACAAATCTTCAAAGATTTATCTTGTATGGTCAATCCAGAAATGTCATCCTTTACGTTGAGCCTGTCTGTTGTAGGCTTAAGACTGTCCTGGCTGGGCGCATTGAGGTACAATGTGGACGAGAGAGTACGGACTACAATAGCCGCTGTGCAATACTGAGTCGATCCTGTCGAAGATGTTGGCGCTACGGATATCTCATGATCGATTGCGTCTTGACCTTGCTGACGACCAAAATTGCCTAGCGGTGTTACTCGTCGGGGTTTCCAAAATCGCCACCCGACCAAGGACGAGTATGTGTACGGATCCGTAAGTAATCGAAAATGAGGTTTTGGTTGTTTCCGCACCAGATCTGGTGTACGGTAAGGTATCGAACTTCCGCGCTAACAAACACACCAAAAGTGGAATTATGAGCCAGTCACGTGTGTCTTGCCGGATGCCTGGAGGGGCAGTGACGTCAATCACTGGACCAATTGTGAGCATTAATTAGGTCTGTACTCAGTGATTGAGAAAGTCACAGTGTCGACTAGACCGAGGTCAAATGCAACAATACCCAATAACCTATTCCATTACACTTAACCAGGTCCTTCTTTAGTCTAGCATCCGGGTAGCGAGGTAGGACTGTGCTGCTCGTTTGGCAATATTACAACCCCGGCTTTCTGCCTTACTGCCTGAAGGTCGTCAGGCCGCTATCGGTTATCGAAATCAAATTAAAAAAATATCGCCCCACCAACTCGCACCTCCCCCACTTTCCAAGGCTCTGATACCAACCCACCAAAGGCGCCGCTGCTTTCGCCTTCCACATCTCATCCTCGGCCTGGGACAAGGACAACGAAGGGATTGTGCGATTCGCAGCTTTGGCCATTCATCCTGACGCCTTTTTGTCGCCGGATCTTTTTACTCTTAGCTAGCACCCATAATCCGCCACCATGCCGTCCGCATCCAAGGAAAAGCGCCTTGCGAAACGCGCCGCTGAGGGGAAAGAGAAGAAGACTGTCGCCTCACGGTCCAAGGCCAACTCCAAGAACGCTAGCGCTGCCGCGTCCGATGGCGACGAGACTCCCCCGATCCAGCTCGATGCCAATGGAAACCCGATCGAGGCCGACGAGCCCGCCACCAAGGCTGAAAAGATGGACGAGGTCAAGCGTTTAGCCGAGCAGATGGACAAGCACGGCCTCTCGGATCGCGTCACCACCGGTGTCCTCGCATCGACCCCAACCAGCAAGGACGTCAAGGTTACCAGCGTAAATCTGACATTCCACGGCCGGGTGCTCATCACGGATTCCATTCTCGAACTCACTTTGGGCCGGCGGTACGGCTTGTTGGGCGAGAACGGCTGTGGCAAGAGTACGTTGCTGAAGGCTATCGCCGCTCGCGAGTACCCGATCCCCGAGCACGTCGACATCTATCTCCTGAACGAGGGTGCCCCTCCCACCGACCTGGGCGCTTTGGAATGGGTCGTCAGGGAAGCCGAGCTGGAAATGGAGCGCTTAGACAAGTTGGCCGAGAAACTGCTTGAGGAGGAAGGGCCCGAGTCTCCGGTCCTCATGGATCTCTACGATGTAGGCAGATACTGCTTCCTGAATTGCCACTTTTGTGACGGCCGGCGCTAACGGAAAATCCCAGCACATGGAGAAGATGGACCCCTCGACGTTTGCTACTCGAGCGTCCCTGATATTGACGGGTCTGGGTTTCAATAAGCACACCATCCACAAGAAGACGAAGGACATGTCCGGTGGCTGGAGAATGCGCGTTGCCCTTGGCAAGGCCCTCTTTGTCAAGCCGACCCTCCTGCTCCTCGACGACCCGACCGCCCATTTGGACCTTGAGGCCTGCGTGTGGCTTGAGGAATACCTCAAGAAGTGGGAACGCACCCTTGTCCTGGTGTCTCACTCGCAAGATTTCCTCAACGGTGTCTGCACAAACATGATTGACATGCGGATGAAGAAGCTGTTGTACTATGGTGGTAACTACGACTCGTACGTCAAGACCAGAGCCGAGCAGGAGACGAACCAGATGAAGGCCTACCAGAAGCAGCAAGACGAAATTGCCCACATCAAGAAGTTCATCGCCAGCGCGGGTACTTACGCCAACCTGGTCCGGCAGGCCAAGTCCCGCCAAAAGATCCTCGACAAGATGGAGGCCGACGGCTTCATTCAGCCAGTTGTTCCTGACAGGGTCTTCACTTTCCGCTTTGCCGACGTCGAGAAGCTGCCGCCCCCGGTCCTATCTTTCGACGGCGTGACCTTCTCCTACTCGGGAGACCCCAAGGATGACCTGTACCGCAACATTGACCTCGGTTTTGACATGGACTCGCGTACCGCCCTTGTCGGGCCCAACGGTGTGGGCAAGTCTACGCTTCTGCGTTTGATGACGGGCAAGCTGTCCCCTACGGCCGGTACCGTGACGAGGCACACGCATTTGAAGTTGGGCCTCTACTCGCAGCACTCGGCCGAGCAGCTAGACCTCACCAAGTCGGCGCTCGACTTTGTCCGGGAAAAGTACGCTCACAAGTCGCAGGACTACCAGTACTGGAGACAGCAGCTTGGCCGCTATGGCCTGACTGGCGAAGCCCAGACGTCGCTGATTGGTACCTTGTCCGACGGCCAAAGGAGCCGTATCGTCTTTGCCCTGCTGGCTATCGAAGGGCCCAACATGCTGCTCCTAGACGAGCCTACAAACGGTCTGGACATTCCCACCATCGACAGTTTGGCGGACGCCATCAACGCCTTTAGCGGTGGTGTCATTGTTGTCAGCCACGATTTCCGGTAAGCTTCCGCTGGCTGTTCTTCGGATAATACTGACCTTTTTCCAGGTTGCTGGACAAGATTGCCAAGCAGATTCTGGTCTGCGAGAACCGGACGATCAGGCAATGGGACGGTTCGATTGCCGACTACAAAAACTACCTTCGGAAGAAAATGATTTCGGCAGGCGCGGTTTGAAGTGATTGAAAAGGACGATTTACATACACAGAGGCGTATAACGACGGCAGGGTTGAATCGAGGCCGCCGAGCTCCGTGTGCGCGGTGCTGCGGACAAGAAGGACCAATTTACTTCAGGTGGCGCCGCACTTCGTGCAGATAGCGCCCTAGGGCATTAGGGAAAAAGGGAGATTGGATGGGTATTGGGATGGCGTTTGCGCAGCCATGGTGTGTTTTGGCACGGGATAGACTGTGACCCTCCGCCTTGTGTTACGCGCTTCCGCCACTCATTAGACGTATGTATCTTGGTTGATGATAGAGACTGAGAATGACGGAACGGGAAATGGAGCATGTTGTTTCAGTCATCCAGTCTTTCATGTGGTAACGTTTAACGACTAAGCCCTGCTCGAGTTTGGGCAGCGTGGAGTGTGAACTGTTAGAAACCACGCAACCTAGAAACCTCTCCAAACCGGTGTGGATCCCAGGCCCGAGGGCATTCGCAACGAAGTGATTCCATTGTTCTTTGACCCCACACAGAGTATCCGTATAGCACACACGACTTCCTCGCTTTGAGTGCGAGGAATTCCTACCTGCAGTCGGTTTCTAAATATCATCGCACCCAAACGCCGGAGACCCCAGTGGCAGCCACTGTGACTCTTCTCGGAGGTCTTCGAGTTGTGGTTTCACCGTTTTACCGACAGCGGGACAAACGGGACAGAACCGTCCATGCTTTTGATGCACCTTCCAGCTTCCAGCCCCAGCGAGCCCCAAGCCCCGGCGGGTAATTGGCATGAGCCGTTCCGGACCGGCAGGGGAGGGTGTGTCCAATTGACTCTATGTTAGTGCATCCAGTCGCATTTTGACTGCCATATTGTCACACGTTCAGGCAACTTAAGATTCAGATTTTACTGTGCTCAGTGTTAGGGCTTGATGTGATTTAAAAAACTCCCAAACATAATAATTTTTCGTTCAGAACACTAAAGCGTGGGCAAAATGGCGTTGCCAATTCCTCAGGTCTGGCTAGACACTAACTCTAGGCAGGGGTTGACGTAGGAAGGAGCTACACTCTGGCTGGGTGGCACCCGCTTTGCTCAATCGGGGAGCCTGTGGATCGCTGATGGATCACCTCTTCGCGAGGTGCGAGGAAGCGGGTGTCAAATGGGCATTTTGGGAAAGACTTTGCACGGCACACCACCGCAGCGCAGCAAAGCAGATGTGGCCAAAAACAAGAAGCGTGGCCCAGACTCCAGCCTGACAAGCCCACGCTCGGCTCATGGAATCCAACCACCAAAACCTGTCCCCTTCGCTCTCTCCTCCTCGCATCTCCATCATCACCACTTCCATCGTTCCATCCCACCCAACCATCGCCGACAGTGCCAGCGTCCAACTTTCAGGGGCCCAAGCCCGCTTTCCTTGATTGACGTTATTCGGTGATTCACCTGTATCGTGCCAGTGCAGCTGCGTCTCTTGCGCGGCCAACACCACGAAAATACATATCGCGTCGATTCCGTGTTTGCCGGCCGACCTCGCCATCCGTGTGGCTTCTCCGCAGAATCCCGACAACCGCGATTTTCCCTCGATCACCGTAGAGACTCAGGGGTCCTCTCTGTATCTGGACGGCGGCATCTCCTCTCCCAGCGCCGCGGAGCCCCTTCAAGAGTGCACAACGAGCGCAATTGTCCCGCGTTAACTCGACCACACCGCGGTGCAACTAGATTAGGTGCCCTGATTCCGCCGAGATCCGCGCCGGCGGAGCTCTCGATGGGCTCGCATAGACTGTAAAATCAACGGAGTAACCCGCAGCATCACTGGCTGATCTTAAGTGGACACCTCACCAGCTTACAATGGACCACTTTTCGACAGTGCTGCAGCGACCGCGTCAATTCGACGAAGACGGCAGCAATGGCGCCGTCAGCGAGGATCGAGGCCCACGCGGGGGCCTGCGCGACATCCTGAACCCCGTGAGCTCGACGACACAGATTCCGGGGCCAGGAACATCCAGGGCGCCTGCGCCGCCTCGACCACATTCGTCATTCAGTTTGCGGTCTCCAACCCAACAAGCTGACTATCACCACCCTGGATCCTACGCTGCCTCGCCATCAACAGTGGGAAGCCAGGCACCCGTCTCCCGCTCCATTCTCAACAACCCGTACGGGGCTGCAACAGCGCCCTCACTGCCGCCGTCCTTGCAACCTCCGCCGAGCATTGCCTCGACAACACCGTCTGGCCTGCAGCACCCATCTCGATCACCAGTACACGCGCCGCCGATCTACTATTCATCAGAAACCCGAGATCGCGAGCCGATACGCGAGCAACCGACATCAAGCGGTTTCTACGATCCGACTACCGACACCAATCGCGGGCGTGAACGCAGGGTTTCGGAGACTGGCTCCTGGCGTTCCGCTACGCAAAACTCTCCGCCAAAGGTAAGCAAGCAATTTCAGTTTTAGGGCAACGCTCCAACGCCATTGCCAGGCACCAAGTCATTTCGATCTTGCTTTGTTTCCCAGTCCATCCCTAGCTCCATCTACCTCCGTATTGATCATCAGATTACTCCCTCCACCTCCTTATTGCCCATTTCCAATCAGCCGGCACAATCAATACCGACCCTATTTTTCCCTCTTCCACACGCTGCGAGGCGCGACACTCCGAGCTTTTTGGCTGCAGCCATTCCTTTTGGCTTATAAAGTCGCCTTCACTAACGCGAAATACTTCCCCACTCCACGTTAGGCCCGCGAGCCCTACAGTTACTCGCAACCATCCTCCGAATACTACAGCACCGGTAATCACGCATCCCCGACGGTACCCTACCGACCGCGGAGTCCTGTGATGCATCAGCCTTCCTCGCTTGGGGGGTCCACCAGCCCGTCTGCAAGACCGCCCGCGATCCCGTCACCAAGCATGAGGCATCTCGCCATGCCCAGCGCGGCCACTAACGGCGGGGCATCAGCTGTCCTGCCGGCACTAGCACGGACCGAATCCCCTGCACCTTCCTCTAAAGCTCCGACAGCTAGTGTGAGTTCTCCATCAAACCCTCAAGTTTGCTTGGCCGCCTAACATTTCGTCCAGACCCCCAGCCGTGCAGCTGGTGTGATGTCTTTCTCGAACATTCTCTCAAGCTCCGAGCCTCTCTCTAAACCTCGACCGATATCTCCCGTCGCCGGCGACGGGCTAAGCCTCTCAGTCAAGCCGGAGAAACCCGATAGGGCGGACAAGACAGAGAAGGAGAGGAGAGTGGCGCGCAAGGGCATCAAGCCACCACGCATTTCCGATATCAGGAGCACCGAATCAACCCCCAAGATACCCCGTCGCCCAGCGTTGCCCAAGCTTGAAACCCCTTCTTCGGTGCGGATTCCTCCCAAGCGGTTGCCTAATGGTCTTCCAAAGCACAAGGTCTTCTCCGCCGAGAAGGAGAAAAAGATCCGAGAGCTGATGGAACAAGTCGACTTCGAGGACGTTGACGAAACCGACTTCGAGGACGAGCTCTATGCCTGGAAGGAGCGCGCCCAGCGTCGCCGAGAGGAAATGAATCGCCGAGATGTGACCCACCGGCAGGCCCGGCGGGCCGATTTTGCTCACATGGAAGCTGAGAAGCTCCAAGCGCAAGCCGACTATGGCAAGGCGCGGTATTACGAGATACACTACGAGGAAGCGTTGCAGGAGGTCCGAGAACAGGAGGTGTTCGCCGAGAAGGAGCGCAAGAAAGATATGCAGCGTAAGAGGCGACGCGAGAAGTCGATGGCTACGACTATGGACCAGAGAGCCGCTGCGCTCGCTCGAGCTTCTGCTGCCCAGGACGAGGCCGAGCGCCAGAAGTACATGCGTGAGGCTGAGCGTGCAAACAAGAAAGTACAGCAGACCAAGTACATCTTGCAAAAGGGCCTCAAGGGACCTGCTCGCAACATTGGTCCCATCGAACCGAATCTCGAGGGCGGCACCATGGCGACCTTCTCCGCCGAGAATATGGAACCCGGAAAGGCCAAAGGCAAGGCCCGTTCAGGTTCCAGGCTCAAGAAGTCAAAGGAGCAGAAACAAGCGGAGAAGGAGGCTGCCGAAGCAGCCCAAGCAGCTCTGGATGCCGGCGAGGAGCTTCCTAGCAGGGAAGAGACTGCCAAGATACGCATCAAGTTCAGTAAATCCAAGGCCGCCAGGGAGGATACAGACAAGGAGAACAAAGAACCCAAGGAGGCCAAGGACAAGGAAAGGGCCGTTGAGGAGCCCAAAGACGCGCTCGAGACCAAGTTCCAGTCCAAGGGATTCATCCAGATCTATGACCAGATCTGGCGCGACCTCGCCAGGAAGGATGTCAACAAGGTCTTTAGGCTGGCAACCGACTCTTACTCGACAAAAGCATCCAATCTCAAGAAAACGGCCATCCTCGCGTCCAAGGAAGCGAAGCGATGGCAGCTGCGGACGAACAAAGGCACCAAGGATTTGCAGGCCCGTGCCAAACGCGTCATGCGCGACATGATGGGCTTCTGGAAGCGCAACGAGCGTGAAGAGCGTGACCTCCGCAAGGCCGCTGAGAAGCAGGAGCTCGAGAACGCGCGCAAGGAAGAGGCGGACCGCGAAGCTGCCCGGCAGAAGCGAAAGCTCAACTTCCTCATCTCTCAGACCGAGCTGTACTCTCACTTCATCGGCAAGAAGATCAAGACGAACGAAGTCGAGCGTAGCACCGATCATCCCGATGAGGCCACCGAAGATAAGGATGCCATCCCCGAGCACACTCTGAACATCGTGGAGCCCTCAGGACCTGTCGGGGCCAAGGTCACCAACTTTGAGAGTCTTGACTTTGATGCGGCTGATGACTCGGTCCTTCAGGCCGCTGCCATGGCCAATGCGCAGAACGCCATCGCTGAGGCGCAAAAGAAGGCCCGCGAATTCAACAAGGATACTAACCTCGATGAGGACGGCGAGATGAATTTTCAGAACCCCACTGGCATGGGCGATGTCGAGATTGAGCAGCCAAAGCTTCTCAATTGTCAGCTCAAGGAATATCAGCTTAAGGGCCTCAACTGGCTGGCCAACCTTTACGAGCAGGGCATCAACGGCATTCTCGCCGACGAAATGGGTCTCGGCAAGACTGTGCAGTCCATCTCCGTCATGGCCTACCTGGCTGAGCGGTACGATATCTGGGGCCCCTTCCTCGTCGTGGCTCCCGCATCGACGTTGCACAACTGGCAGCAGGAGATCACGAAATTCGTACCCGAGTTCAAGGTCCTGCCTTATTGGGGTACCGCGACGGACCGCAAAGTACTTCGGAAGTTCTGGGACCGCAAGCATACGACATACAAGAAGGACGCACCCTTCCATGTCATGATTACGTCTTATCAACTTGTCGTCTCCGATGTTGCTTACTTCCAGAAGATGAAGTGGCAGTACATGATCCTCGACGAAGCCCAGGCCATCAAGAGCTCCCAGAGCTCGCGCTGGAAATGCCTTTTGGGCTTCCATTGCCGGAACAGGTTGCTGCTCACGGGTACGCCGATCCAGAACAACATGCAAGAGCTGTGGGCGCTTCTGCACTTCATCATGCCGTCCCTGTTCGACTCCCACGACGAGTTCAGCGAATGGTTTTCCAAGGACATTGAGTCGCACGCGCAGAGCAACACGAAGCTTAACGAGGACCAACTCAAGCGTCTCCACATGATTCTGAAGCCTTTCATGCTTCGCCGCGTCAAGAAGCACGTGCAGAAGGAACTTGGCGACAAGATCGAGTTGGACGTGTTCTGCGACCTCACGTACCGACAGCGGGCCATGTACGCGAATCTGCGCAACCAGATCAGCATTATGGATTTGATCGAGAAGGCGACGCTCGGCGACGATGACTCGGCCAGTCTTATGAACCTCGTCATGCAGTTCCGGAAGGTCTGCAACCACCCAGACTTGTTTGAACGCGCTGATACTTCTTCCCCCTTCTCCTGCGGCTACTTTGCCGAGACCGCTTCATTCGTTCGGGAAGGGAACAATGTAATTGTTGGTTACTCGACGCGCAGCATGATCGACTACGAGCTGCCTAGGCTCGTCTGGCGCGAGGGAGGACGTTTGTACAATGCCGGGCCCGACAACCTGACCGCCGGGTTCCGAAACAAGTACCTGGATCACATGATGAATATTTGGACGCCCGACAACATTCGCGACAGCCTTGGGGGCTCCGACAACTTCACGTGGCTCCGCTTTGCCGACGTTAGCGCGCAGGAGGTCTACCGCGCCAGCCACAAGGACGTCTTTGCTCGTGCAGTGGACATGGTAGCACAGAAGAACCGACTGGGAGATATCAAGGTCGTGTACAGCGAGCCCGAGGACCAGAACTGGACTCCTGCACACGCCCTTTTCCAGATTGCGAAGCGAGAGGACCGCAAGCCTCTCGCCGAGGTTACCGTCGATGGTGTCCTTGGAAGCCTGATGAACGTTGCCCGTTCTACGTTCTATGATCTGGGCCTTGGACGGCTTGAGCAGGCTGCTCGCGCTCGTGCGACAGCTCCCCCGATTGAGGTTCTTTGTGACAGTCGTGGCTCCGTCATTGAACGTGAAAATGTGCTGTTCAACGCCCCTATGCGCAAGGCGCTGTACGGTCCTACACCGGTAGAGGCGAAGGCCTTCGTCACGCAAAACGTCCCGCCCGAATTCTACCCCGCTCCTCCCCTGCTGCCGGCCCCGGACAACGAGAAACAGCGGTTCACGAACATCACGGTGCCATCGATGCGTCGCTTCGTCACCGACTCTGGCAAGCTTGCCAAACTCGACGAGCTTCTGCGGGAGCTAAAGGAAGGTGGCCACCGTGTGCTCCTGTACTTCCAGATGACTCGCATGATCGATCTCATGGAAGAGTATCTCACCTACCGCAACTACAAGTACTGCCGTCTAGATGGTTCCACCAAGCTCGAAGACAGACGCGACACGGTCGCCGACTTCCAGACCCGGCCCGAAATTTTTATCTTCCTCCTCTCCACTCGCGCCGGTGGTCTCGGCATCAACCTCACATCGGCCGACACCGTCATCTTCTACGACTCGGACTGGAACCCGACCATCGACTCGCAGGCCATGGACCGTGCGCACCGCCTCGGCCAGACCAAACAAGTAACAGTCTACCGCCTCATCACGCGCGGCACTATTGAGGAGCGCATCCGCAAGCGCGCGATGCAAAAGGAGGAGGTGCAGCGCGTCGTCATCACGGGCGGGTCCTCGGCGGCGGGCGGCGGCGTCGACTTCTCGGGCCGTAGGGCGCCCGAGAACCGCAACCGCGACATCGCCATGTGGCTCGCCGACGACGAGCAGGCCGAGATGATTGAGCGGCGCGAGAAGGAGCTGCTCGAGAGCGGCGAGTACGATAAGATTCAGAAGAAGCGGAGCGGCAAGCGCAAGCGCGCAGGCGAAGGGGCCACTGCCGCGGCCGTCAGTCTGGATGAGATGTACCATGAGGGTGAGCCAGCTCTTTCCTTTTGCGACTTTTTCCACCCTCTTCCCCTTTTTCTGTTAGCTCTCGAGGAAAGCGATCAAAAAAGGACAATGGCTAATTGCAGCAATCTTGCATTTTGTACAGGCGAGGGTCATTTCGACGATAACAAGGGTTCGGGCACTGCGACTCCCACTGCCGAGGATGCCCGCGCCGGCAAGCGCAAGAAGACGGGTGGCAGCAAGAAGGCCAAGACGACGAAGCAACGGCTGGCGATCGCTGACGGCGAGATCGATATCTAAACCTGTCCTGAGCGGATGGATTTAGTAATGAAGAGGGTATATTACTGTCGCTTTTTTGTCGAAAGCATGTCAGATGCCTGGATAATTTCCTAGTGCGTGTATTTTTAGGACGACGACGAATGCGGCCGAGGGGGCGAGGTTGTTAGTATTCCGGTACTGTTTGGCATACAACGACTCTTCACCAGGGATCAGGCACGGGGGAGGCCGAAAAGCGGTGCGCACGCTCTCTTCCTTTGCTAAGGACGGGTATGGACAAATCGTTTGGGGCTTTATGGCGCGTGTTTGGGCTGAGAAAGACAGGGCAAGAAAGGGACGGGAACGGGATACATACAGCACGGCGACGGCGACGGCGACTGGCGGATCGGCTGCGAGCGCCTAATTTCTTTGTGTCTTTAGCTTCTCTACCTGCGCTTAATGGACGCTGAATAGACCTCACGTTGGACTTAGCCTGCTTGTAGCCCCCGTGATGTGTGTCATGGTGGAATTGTGCCGGAATGGTGCTCGATGGATGATGAATGCTGACTCTCTCCACCAGCTGCCTTTCCACACTTCCCTCTCCCAGGCAGTCCAAGATAGTAACGAAGGCTGGAATGTAAAGCCGTAAGGCTCTAGTGGGTGCGTCAGGTCTCTGAGTCACCCACAAGGTTTCTCCACTTCAGCCAAGGACCATTGTAGCAGTAACTCAAATGTGACTCCATCCATTGTAATGTCCGGTACACTGGACCAGACCCTCTAAGCGATGTAAGGTGTATTTCCATCAGCTGAAAAGACCATACGCAGCAGTGTCCTTCCGAAAGTAACCTCTGGTTCCTGTGCCCTGCCAAGCATGCCGATGTAAAAGATGTCATCGAGTGTGGGATCAAGTGCTGACGGAAGAGTCCGACAGTTCTGGGCCAAGGAGCGTTACGATGGAGCTTGACGATCGTCTGCGGTTAGAGGATGAGGCAGAGCCATCGCCTGGCAGTCCAGTCTCACTTAGATCCAAATTGTTACCAGAAGTGGCTGGCACAGGCGGCGAGGCGAGCGAGTATGTTTCGGATAGAACCTTTTTTGTGATGTGGAAGGATGCAGTATCGGTGCCGGATGAGCTGGCTGTGGTTGGTCTGGCGTCATTTGGTTGGTCGGCTGATGATCGGTGTTCCGTGATAGAAGCGGCTTCGTTCAACTTCACCCCTGCGCTGTTCCGGATCCGTGAACCGCGTCGGTATGTCCTCCGCAGCCCGACGTGCTGCTGGACCTTGCCTATGTCTCCAGAGCGTCCAGGTCGGAGCCTGCGTCGGGGTGTGCCAGTACCGTCTGCTTGTTCTCTGCACCGTTTTCCTGTTTGATATCTTGACCATCGACGTTGGTCCACGATAATGGGAACGACGAGGACGAGGAATCGGTGGGCTCGACGGGAGGAGACGCTCCATCAACTTCGTCCAAGTCCCGGCCACGCTTCTGGGGCTCCGGCGCGGCAGCAATTCTGCGCAGGCCGGTGAAGCCCGTACGCGCGGTGAAAAATGCGGCGAGGCCCATGCTCCAGAGAAAGAGGCCGATGCTGGTTGTGATGCCGAGCGCAGGAACGAGGATGAAGATGGCAATCATGGTCCAGAAGACGCTGAAGAGCAGAGCGGCCGTGGCGGCCAAGAAGATGAGGAAGCAGAGGAAGCTTAAAAAAAGAAAGACGGGCATGACGGAGACGACTGCTTGAACCACGATGAAGCTCTGTGCATCTGGGGTCAATGAACAAGTCCACGTCTCGCAGCACCTTAATCGAGGGGTTGGCAGGCACTTACAAAAAGGAGTGGGCGTTCCGCTGCAAAGTCTTGAACTCTCGCGTAGACCTTCTGCCGGGACTCGGGAGGGACAAGACGGTCGAGCTGGCGTTGTCCAAAGTTGACCAGACTGGTCGCAGCTGTGAGGAGGGACATGGCTGCGGTGAAAATGCTGTGTTAAGTGTTTCGACGTCAAGTGCAATTGGTTTGAAGGTCTGATGTCAATGCGTTGGATTTCAGAAGCAGAAAGCTGGGCGACAAGGAGACGAGGGGAAGGGAGTGTGTCTCCCGATCGCATCGCGACTGCTCACACGGAAGCAATGAACTGTGGACTACTAGGTATGACGTGGAAGGGAGGATCGTGCAGTCGCAGGAGCCCTTGTGCCAAGGGCTTGGCGTGCCGCGAAATGCCCCGCATTTCCGCCCTGCTGCATGACTCGCATGTGTCGAACAAGGAGAGTGGAGCAGAGATCTGAGGCTGCAAACTTCAAACCCAAACTCCAGCCAGATTCGACACAGAGCCGCTGACCGATAAGATACCTCACTCCTTCACTTGGCCAGATTCTTAATCTCTTGAGGCCAAGAAACAAGGTTTCATGCAGGGATTTTTTTCCCCATGGAAACATATTCCATCTCTGAATGTCCGGGCAACCAGCAAAGTCGACAGTACTACCCCCAACAGGCTGCCTTGCGGAAAACTGGAAACTGCCAGATACAAGAGCACCTTCCCTTCCAATTTTTTATGACATGTCCTTGATTCCAAGTCAGGTTTATCTCGATACATAGGTTAATATTACCCTATATTCTTAAAAGGCAATTGCCAATCTCATGCCGGAGGCGTGCTGGTGGGATTTTGCAATAGTTTTGACCGCGAGTGCGACACAGCTGATGACCACGGCTCAGGGGTCACTGAGACTCATAAAACAACGGTACCTGGGCTTGCCAAAGCAATTGAGTTGATACACACAACGATTGGAAGCAGCCTAGTTCTTGGGGAGGATGCCCTTTACTACAAGGGCGAAGGTATACATCTGGGTATGAGGTATCGTTCATTGCCCATGCGATGATGTTTGAAGCTGCACACACTGCACTTGATGCAGGAATCACTTGATCTCCTTGTTATAACTATGCCTTTTCAATTTTTCTTCATAATTCGGCACATACCGTGACACCTGACCGTTCCGTACCCGTCCTCGTCAGAGCTCAGGAGCTCTAGTGCGCTTCCTTGGATGCCCGAGAATCTGATATCCTTGTCGTCCAGGATGGGTTTGTTATGTCTGCTCCCTTGACACAATAAGAACTTCCAGATTTGAAACTTATTGAAGCCTGCCTCCTGTGACCTCAAAGATCATCTGCACGGTTGGTGTCCACTGGCTTCCATAGCCCCCATCTGATGTCCTGTGCTTCGAAGTTTGAGCTGCGCCCTGACCCAATGAGACCGCCATCTTCATTTTCAAACAATGTTGAAGTGTCTGTCGTCCTGATGAAGGCTTTCACAATTGCCCACTCACTTTGCGTGCTTGCGTGTGACCTTGGAGGAGCGTCTCTTACACTAGGCCGTTAAAGGAGCTGTGAAGCACTTAAATAACTTGTCTAACTTCCTCAATTCTGGGAGCCATCACAACGTCATTCCCAAATAACGCAGTCTTTTCCGCCTATTCACAGCTTAGAGAAGCCTCGTACAGAGAAACAATCCGATCCCTCTCACGTGTCTCCGGCCTTACATCGCTCTGTCCGGCTTAGCAACTGAACGACCTCTCCTGAGCTCCCCTCTGCCAATCCCTGCGGCTTCTGTCTCTCACTCTCTGAAAATGTGCAGGCAATACTAGAACAGGTATTCTTTCCCTGGCGTTAAATGCTCTGAGATGGTTGTTATCCATCACAAGCGAGCCGAAAACAGAATGAACAGAGGCAGGCGTCTGCGCCAGGAGGTTGCATGACCCACTGGGACACAGATCAGCACACCAGGATGGAATGCGAAAACATCACGATGAGTGAGTGCAAAAGTGGTTCAAACACATGGACGATGCCTGGGACACCGTTCTCATTCGCATGGCAAAACCATACCCAAGCCTCCAACTCTGGCTTATGGAGAAGAAAGACTTGGAGAAGGCATATATCGAAAGGCGGCTTAGTCAGTGGCACCAAGTTTCCAAGACCAACATCGACATTTACAAGCCGTGTTCCGACTACATTCAAGAGACCATTAGCAGCATAGCAGAGAATCTCAACCGGCGGAACGAGCTATCGAGCCTTCAGCGCCCTCTCCAAAACACCCGGCCCGGACAAAGCACCCAAGCCAGCAACGCAAGTAGTTGAGGTAGTTGTTCCTTGTTCATACTCGCGCTCTTGCTTTGGGTCCTGCTCATAATGCCAGGGTGGCAGCGGCAGTAGCAAGATTCTGGCAGTCAAATATCCGACCCGGATCTAGAAGCGGCAGTTCAGAAGGTCATGCGCAAGGGGGTAAGGGGAATAGCGGCACTTTCAAGCGTAAAAAGAGCGGCAAATTGCACGGAAGACTGAGGGTTCTTCTAACTACAACTACTACAATTCCGGTTACTACAGAAGTGCGGAGAGATGGGTTGGACGAGTTGATTTGGCGGCGCATGAAATCAACGAGGCTGGGATTACCGTCGATTCGAGGGGGCTAGACGTAGAGTTCGTCCCTGGGTTGCAGTCCACATGTTAAACGCTGGCTGTTTAGAGAAGGCCCAAAAATGTCCAGTTTTCCATAATTACATGCTCTCGTAACGTATCTGATTAACCTCATGATTACCTGTAGGTACCTATGTACCCGGCAGTCCATAGTGGGCCTTGAAAGTCAACGAGCCCATGAAAAAAAGACAAAGACAATAAAGTGAAAATATGGCTGTGGTGCGGAGATACCGCCCACCTACTTGTTTGTCTGAGAACCGGTCGCCGCTCGACAAACCTCCAACCTTATCATACATTTCACTGCAACCTACACCATTTTCGTCATGCATACTGGTCACACAGTCTACTTTGCTTGCGTGATATGCTTTGAAGTCACCAAGCAGTACGGAGTACTCCATAGAACAAACCTACTAAGATGCAGCTTTGAACTATGACTTGTCAGAGTCTCTGCGCTGGAATGACATCTCTCAAAGTGCGAACATCGTGACTGCCATGTTGCTTGCTTTGTGAAAGAAGTGTTATAGCGAGTCGGGTCTTCCAACGGCATGATGACATATAAGGCAGCGACGCATGCTCCCGGTACCAAGCGTCCAGCTTATATCTGCGATCTACCACCAGATATAAGACCCGTGCTCGTTCTCTCCCAAGATACTGTTCAACACTACTCACATGTGGACCGTGCCAACCTATATATTCCCCATTCAGCAGCGCGCCAAGCTCTAGCAGTTCAGAACAACGTACAGTACTGAGTTACATGTGACTCTCGACATCCATCATCATCACCATCTTGACTTCGGCACCCCCGAGCCTGGAAGTTTCGGCCGCCGACATGTGCAGAGATTATGACGTCCAGTTTCAATGCGGTTGTACCACCGGGTATAGAGACATATGCAGAATGGCGCTGAGACGCCGAGGAAATGGTAGCTGGCTCTGCTCCGTAATCTACCTACTACAACCCCGACGAACGGAGCGAGAGCGCCATGGAGTGCACCATAGCCAGATCTGAGTGCCACACGAAAAATTCATCAAGAGTTCCTGGCCAGTATGGGAATAGAAGTGGAAATTCTATTGGGATGACGCAGCCCAGCATTGCGATGCAGATCTCATTCAAGAAGTGGAGTCCTGGAAAAAGGGCGTCGACGCCTCGCTGAAGGGGGTGAGAGAAGCGTGCTTGGCAGAGCGCGCGGTAATGGAGCTGGAATCACACAAAATCTATGAGCTTTACCAGCAAGAATTCGACAAGCACTGGCAAGAAGCAGATTGCCTGCTCGCAACAGAATGGCACGCCAGAGGCCTTCTAAGGTGGACACCCACCAGCCTAAACCACCACGGCCGCTCAGTACACGGAAGATGCCAGCTGGCTACAGGGACAGGTTGAGTCAAGTTCCCACAACAGCGGCAGCTCTCAAAGAAAGAGAAGCAGGTCCCCCGGCAAGGGGAGCAGCCCCGGCAGCAAGCACAAGTGAAGTGCTGAGTGGTGAGAGTGCTGCCGACGCTCTGGTTATCGAGGCTTCAGGTGGGTGAGCTGGTATCGCCGACTCAAGAGGGCAGACGTGGACGGGCATGCCACTGGAAAGCTGCCAGGTAAGACATGAAGCTGGGCTTCTGGGGGCATCCAGGGAGGGGGGTCTTACAACCATAGCATCCAGGTAACAGGCACATTTACTACTCTGACATGAATGGTGCTATACAGCGTGAGGCTCCTTCAGCTTGAAATTGGGAGTTGGGACGGATATCCTAGTTAAGTTGCGAAACTTGAGGCTTGGAAGAGCGAGTGTCAGTATATCATGCACCTACTAAAAAGCCAGAAAGCTAGACGCGGGCACCGGGTTGCAAGACGCCGAGCGTCTGGATGGCTCAGACCCGGGTAGGTATGATTATCCTGGCTTATTACTCAACAACGAAGTAATGTTGCTCCCTACAGCTGGTTGCCAGACTTGAATATACCTTGGTATCAGTATTCATATTAGACTTCAGTTGCTCCCATTAATCAGGGCGCCACCTCCCTCCCTGTCTTTGCACTCTCTCTGGCGGCCTCAATAATCCTCAGTACCTGGGCGGCCTGCGTCGCCGGCACAGGGATGTCCTCCTCCTTTCCGTTCTCGACCGCCTTGGCAAACAGCTCGTAGAACTTGAGGTACGTCTCTGGTTCGACAGTTGGGCAGACGTGGTCCTCAACCGACCCGTTTTCCCCCAGAAGTGACAAGCGCCCAAACCTCGACTCATCCTCCCTCCCAAACTGCGCATCCGTCGCTTTGCCACCGACCCTAAGCTGATCCTCCTGCGGATCCAGCCCCGTCTTGTGATAGCTCCCCTTGCTTCCCCTGACCCAGAACCTCACCTGCTTCGACTCCACACTCACGACGCCAATCCTCACATACACCACCACGCCAGTCTCCTCATAACTTAACACCAGGGTAACACTGTCCGGCTCATCCAGCGCCTCCCCTTGTCCCTTAACCAACCTCCCCTCGCGCTGCCTCACAAACTTCGCATACACACCACTCGGCATGCCAAACAAAACAAATACCTGATCCAACAGGTGCGTTCCCAAATCAAACAACGCCCCGCCACCCTCCTTCATGCCCATCCCAGCCTTCCAGCTGCCAACCGGAGGCTGAATCCGCAGCCGATCAAAGTGCGTCTCCAACTCGACGACCCTCCCGAGCGTGCCGTCGGCAATCAGTTTGCGCACCGTCAGGAAATCCGAATCCCACCTCCGGTTCTGGTACACACACAACACGCGCCCTTTGGCGCGCGCCAACTCGGCAAGGGCGTCGGCCTCGGCCGAGGTGGGGACGAACGGCTTCTCGACGAGCACGTGCTTGCCCGCCTCGAGGGCGGCGCGCGCGAAAGGGTAGTGCGTGTTGGGCGGGGTGCAGAGGACGACGATGTCGAGGGCCGGGTCGGCGAGGAAGGGCTCAAGGGCGGTGTGGTGCGTCACGTTGGGGTGGTCTGCCGGGGCCGAGTTGCCTTGGGAGGGGTTGCGTTGCAGGATAGAGTGCAGGTTGAGGGAGGGTGTGAGGGCGATGAAGGGGATGTGGAAGACTTTGGCGGAGAGGCTGGTGTCAGGTTAGCATGGCTGTGAGGCGAGAGGTATGGGAGAACAGGAGACTTGCCCGTAGCCTACGATGCCGACATTGAATTGCTTTCGGGAGGCCATGTTTGAGGTGGTTGATGGCGAATACCGGGTGCGTTGTCGGCTGCCGTTGCTGAGATTGGTTTCCTGTACACTCGAGGGATATCACCCAGGGTATTAATAAGATGAAGCTTGAGATGACCGAGTCAGGTTTCTCTTGGTCCTGCGGGGTAAGAGAGGAGCATCTCGTGTTTGGTGGGCCATATTTTCCACAAATGCCCCGCTTCAGATGACGTCTCATCTTCGACGAGATTTAGGGGTTAAGGGGCTCCGCGAAGCTCGATGTCAGCGAAGCCTTGGCGACAGTAGTGTTTGAGTTCATCGATATATTTAGATCCTGGAGTTGCTACAGATTCTGTGCCCAAACCCGGACCCCAACCAATCCGGACGCAGGATAAGATGATAGGTGTTTTGGGAATGCAACTAGTACCATCCACAGCAAAGCGGTTGGGGGACGCTCAGGGTTCGGGTTAGCATTGAAATGCGAATTCGTTCCCGAGTAGCCCCTGAATCAGACCCAAAGACCAAGGTCAATACTCTATGTTCCAGCTGTGCGTCAGCGAGTCTTTGAGTAGTATGCTACAATGAGTAGCAAGTAACTGTTCTTCGGTACTTATCTTGTCAGCCATGATCTCTCATCGATGACAATGAGTCCACAATACGTACTGACGACCTCTGAACACATTTAAGGTTAGTCTCTTGAGATAAACAAAATGCAGCTCTGAGAACTGCCCTGACCAGCAACCTGTGGAATGACTTCACGATGTGTGCTCTGGCGATTTGGTACTCGTGCCTGAATAACAACATCTTAACACTGGGATACAACATGAAAACTCGGTGATTGCCTGCACTCCAAGCGAGCTGCTCACTCAAATAACTTCTCAGCCGCTTGTTTTCAAGTCAAAATCATTTGAGCTCGATGCATTTAGCTCAGATTAGCCGGATCTCTGTATGAGCCGCATCTCCGTCAGTCTTAACCCCCCTTAATCGTCGACAGTCGGCACCAGCCGAACTTCCGTGAGCAACAGGCCTATACCTGGTTACCGTGGGCCAGTCCTATGCTTAATGCTCGCTTTCACACGGGGTGTGTTCATCAAACAGTATAACACTGCACTATTGGCCTCCCTCACTCATTCATCAATCTTACCCCCATCTTAAGTCAAAGGATACCTTACTTCTTTAACACCTTGGACGAGTATCAACTCACATCTCATGTTTTAGAAGGGCAAAGATTCGACCCTTGATATTGATATCTCAGCTATGTATGTGTCATTCCAGTCAGTTCCAGAGGTGTCAAGGGCCGGTCTCGCAGCTCAGTGTGCTTTTCCTTCCTTTTCTCATTGACTCTTTCCAGCTCTTCCACGCTTCCAGCTTCCTCCCACTGTCTATCATTTCAAACTACTCAATTCTGGTGTCTTCTACAACCTCTTGTTGACTTTTAAGCCTACCTGCTCATCACTGGCCCGTGAGACACGTTGGTACCTGAGATCCAGGGGTATGGCCTCACGTTCACACCTCAGCTCCAAGTCTCTTCCTTCATCCTGCTTCACCGCTGAGAGTACTTTGACGCCCTCATCCATCTTCTCGCACATTCTTGGCACGCACCCATATCTCGGAGAACACGAATATGATCGAGGCGAGCTATTGGCCGATGCTGGATGGGCGGGTCTATGGTCACAAAGGCGGCCACTTTTATCACTTGCAGCCTGCTCTCTGTTTTAATTTCCTCTCTATTTCCAGACAATGCAGCACTAGCGTTCCTTTTCCTTTTCTTCTCCATTCTCTTTTTCCACTCCCCTCCGTCATCATTATCCTCATGGACAATCATGCCCACCTCAGGAACGAGGTATGGATATCGACTCGGCGTCCTCTATCTCAAAGGTATTTCTACTCCGCCCTCCATGTTCCAGATTCGCGTTGGCAAGAAGATCGTGTCAGCTGGATGTTATTCCCGACCTTCAAAACCATGGACTTCCACTGAGCTGCTCAGGGAACAGCGGTGTGGTGACAAACCGTAAACCCCGTGTTCTTCTCTGTTTTCTTCCTGCAACGGCATCGCCAATCTGATCCTCCGCGCACTGGATATGGGCGGCGAGGTGACACTCGCTGACCCTGTGTCGTTAATACTGCTCACGACCCAACTTGGAATTGGCCTGTTTGAAAGCCACCAGCACATGGGCGAGCTCAAAGCCCGAGTCGAAGACCTGGGTAAGTTCTCTCTCTGTTCTTTCTGATGATAGAACGGCGACTTCTGAAGCATGATTTCGTGATCACCGCAACTTTGGTATTTGTTCTGAGGCTCTCACACAACGCCTCCCTTAATATCTCCCGCATGCTTGGGTAGATTGCTGCTGACAAAGTTTACTTGTCACAGTTGAAATCCCACGAGATCTTCAGAGAGACAAACCAGGCATGTTGTCCCTTTTCTTCCTGGCCCACAAACCAGCGCATATGATGAGAGACAGATCATTGCTTCAGCCGGAACGGGCAATGAGCATCGACTTTGCAATACCTGGTCTGAGCGCAATCGTATGCTGGCCCAGTGCAATGCCGCGTCCACTTCTCTCCTCGATTCCAGTCGACTAACGAGAAATCTGATACCAGGGGCCGCTTCCACGTCTCCAGCGTTGAGCTCCTGATCCTGGGCGTGGTAACGATCCCATGACAAGATGCTAACTTGCTTCTGCTCCAGGACCTTCCCCATCCAGATGATGCTGGGTTACTCATCCTCCTCTCCACAATCGAGTTTCTGACCCCTGGCCTTAGACACAAGTAAGTACCATTTTGCCAGACACTATACCTTACAGTTGCTCAGGCATGATGACCGAAAATCTGAACCAGCCGATCTGAAGACCGATGAGAACTTACTCCTTCTGAGGCCCAGAGCACAAACCTGCACCATCCGCAACACCTGCTTCCGGCCCATTTGACTGACTTTACTATCTGTCACAGAGCACACATTGGGAATAGAACCCGGCGAACGGGGTGTGTTGCCACCGATCCTGGCCCCAAGCGGCCTCAGATTGCTCACCCACGCCATACCAGTACGGATTCCCATGCTCACTGCCTCGGAACACATCATCCTTCCAAACTGAGCCGATCAGTCAATTGGCGACTCCAGGCAAGTCTTGCCTTATCATATTCAGGGCCTCATCCGTCAACGCATGATGACATTGCAACACTGTATTCTGGATCTGATCAAACTCTGATGACCACAAGGCCTCTCGTTCGTCTGAGATACATGCCTCCCAAGGCCATGTTCAACGTTTATTTTTCTGGAGATTGAGCGATTTCTGACAATCTTCGAATGAAGGTCCGGACTCCTTCCACCACCAAGGGTTCCCCTGACTAAGGTTCCCCTGACTAAGGTACCTTGAATATCATTATCCGCTTCAATTGTCGTTCCAGGCAAGTTCCTCGTCTCTTTCTTCACATCACTGAACATTGAGTTTTCCTTGTTATTGACATGATGACCAACTGTTTGGTGCTTCTGACGGTTTCGATGAAGAATATTAAGGTGCTCTGAACAGCCATTACTACCGCGACCTTTAGTTCTCCTTCGCTCATGTCATCGGTCTTTACTAACTCATCGCTCAGTAGGTCCAATCTTCAGCCATGTCTTCCAGGACGATTCTCAAGCTTCTACTCCTCTTACAGAATTCACCGCTGCGCTCCATTGAGTAATATTTCAATTTGCGGCTCCAGCCTTCACTCCAGGCAGGCGGGTTCCCCGTTTTTATGTCTGAAGGACAATGTCCACCCCTGTTGGCGTGACAACAAGGCGTAATCGTTCTTCTGAAAAGACAATGTGACGAGCTTCATCGTTTTGGTCTGAGCTGCCACAACCCCTACATCGCTCAACCCCCTGTCTCCGGTTCATCAGCGTGCTGACAGGCCTTCTTTAAGCGATCTAATCTGTTCAGAGTAAAAGTCCTGGTTCCCCGGCACACCCAGTGAAGGGCATGCGGTTCTCCAGAAGGAAAGACCCAGCCGAGCCAGTGCACGCGGTGAAGGCTGACCGGCCGGCTAGGCCGTCTGGCACAGATCTTGAACCTCGGCTGCTCTATCTCTCCAGCTGACGAAAGTGCATCAGATGTAAGTATACCTCCAGCTCCATTATTTTTTGTGTTACTGACATGCCCAGCGTCTCGACCAGGCTCGCCCCTATATTATGTTGCTCTCAACAGCAGGACTTGGGCGCTACTGTAAACGTGAGTCTGCTGTCCTCACAACCCGTTTCTCTCCAGAGGGTGATGGATCTCCGAGTTCCTTGTTCCGAACGTCGATCAATGAGGACAAAAGTAGTGGGTCTGAACCACGGAGATGATCAACTCCCTTTCGACAGTCTCGTTTACCCGAATATGCCTGCTGGCCGAGTGTCTCGCCAGGATCGAGGACTGCCCAGGTACCACGACGAAGGCAACATTATCAGTACTGCACGGCCATAGCTGGCAACAACACACCGGCCGCCAATTGAGTTTTCCATCCGGATAATTGATTGGATTTTTGCCTTCGGCTCATCCTTTCTGAGCACAGAGCACATCTCTGACACCGTTTAGGCAAGTCCACGACGAACCCGACCCCCAACCGGCGATGATGACACAACTTCTATCATGATCTTCTTGCGCTGAGTCCAAGTGATGCCATCAAATGCAAGCCTCCATCTAGACGCTAAAACACCCGTCCTCTTCCAGTCAAAAATTTCTTGTTACGATGTTTGCTAACGTCGATGGTGGCTGTTGAACCATGGGTTCACACACTTCAAACTCAACCACTCCTGATGCTACCGCTAAGTCCTCTATACTCAAGCAGGCCCTGATGTCCATCCTAAGTCGAGTCCCCTCGAGTTCTACAAGGCACATTCGGCTTCGCAATGTTGGATTGCTAAAATATTTTTGTTGCTCAAAGATCTCAGGCTTCGCCCCTGACGAGATTTCACGTGTCTCAGCGGAGCCACTCCATACTCACTCTTCAAAGGCCGCTCGCCTGGAAACTGCTGACATTGTTTGGGCCGCAGAACTCGACGCAGAAACCAGACGGCTGTGTTGTGCCAAGCGAGACGAATCCTTGAAGCTCGCCATGCCTATGGTACCCGTATTGCTGCCTCGAGTTGGAGAAGAGTCACGGGAATGTCCAAGAACAGGCAAGTCCAGCAGGCAAGTTCCATTTCCAGTACCCCGACCAGAGCGATGATGATACGAACACTTCTTTAGCCTTGTGTTGAGGCTCAACAATGAGAACGTTTCCTGTACTGAGCCGCTTGAGCCCCACCTGCCGACCCATCTTCTCTTCCACCGGACGGTTTGCTGACCGAGTCTTGCCGCAGGAACGCCAGGGTACGTGTTTGTCCCGAGTCACGAAGAAGCAAACAGAGTCGATCCGGTCATACTTCCAAGACCCGTACGCAGCGCACGCTCCTTAAAAGAAACTGGCAGAGACACTGCGAAGACCAGGTAAGTTTCCCTCACAACCTGAACCCAAAAATTAGACTCTTATGATGACCAAACATCCAATCACTCCATTTGAGCTCTCGGGGCCGTGATGATACAAGTAAGCTCAGACCTGCCACGTATCAAGGGCGAGGATGATCCTTAATTTGTAATCTGTCATCTGAACTGCGTTTGATGAACACATCCTCTGCGATCTGAGCCCCTTACACGCACCGGCGGCCCACCCCTCTTTCCCCCGAGCTTGTAAATACCTGTTAACAGTTGTTCATCATGGGTCCGGGGTCTCGAGCGTTGCGGTCACCGGAGGTGAGTCCAGCGGCTTGGTCATGAGCGGCAGACGAGATGGTCATCGTACCTAACCCCTTTGAGCGCAATGTCTTGTTCAACCCTTCGTTGAGGTGATACACCCCCGTCTGTCAGAGGCACTCGACTGGTTCGTTCACAACGCAAGTGTCTATCTCCCGCCGCCTCTTCAGCGTCGATCTAAGAAATCCAAATGAAGACATCATGCCCTTTGAGCTCAGCTTGTTCCCCTTTTTTGGTGTCCACCTTTACCACTTGACATCTTGGACGCTGGCTAATTTCCCCTTTACGACATTCTAATTCCGGCTTCAGTTGTAAAGGGCAAGGCGTGAACAGGCGATGTCGTCCCAATGACCACATACTTCGGCACCGATACGCCATCAAGGGCCAGATTTCGTTTGAGGCACAGACTCGAACCAGCAGTTCCAGCAGTTCCGGCATTCTGTAGTCTTAGCTTGGGCTTCCCTCGTGCCCTGCGTGACACAGCCTGGATTACGCACGAGTCGTTGGGGTCGTATTGACAGGCAAGTCACAACTAGCGAGTCCCAGGCATTACTCCCTTGGTCATGATGAGTACTTGGCTACGGATTCTGTCATCCGACCCTTTGGATGTAGAGCTTCTCTCTCTTTCGGACTGCCATATGCACCTTGCCGCATTTACTATCCCTTCCTAGGGCAGCACCAGCTAACGAATCGTTCATGTTCTTCAGATTTATCCTCGAGCGACACAGCCTCCCTCTGGTCCGCATCAACAACACAGACGTTTGCCTCTTGTGTGCTGACACGTCTGCCAAGGACACACGAGTTGCCACGGAGTAAATTACAATGCTAGAAGCCGGGCCTTTTGGAATCCTTGCGTGCCTAGTAAGTGAGCCGCGCGATCCATACACCAGGAACTGGACGGCTTGCACCTGCAAAGATGAAGATTATCTCAGGAGAGGGCGGAGCAATTTGTTGCACAATGAATCTATTACCGGATCGGTCTGAGCAGATACAAGATTAGCTGTTAACACCAAACGATCGTCAACCCGAGAACGGATATGCTGACAATTGATTCCTACGGCACATGTAGATTTAGGTCTAGGATCCGAAACTTCTGTCCTCGCCAATTCCCCCCTACACCGGGCGAGGCCCGCTCATGCCATCGCGCCAATCGTTGGGTACGAGAGGCAAGTGACCTCCCCGCTAACCCCCCGTGAAGCATCCGTGATGCAGAAGAAAAGCTTTCTCAGAACTATCCACATGACGAGATACCTTGTCAGTGATCTGACCTGGCCTAACTCTCCTCTGTCCTATACACATACGGCGTCATTAAGTGAAGGGCTAACAAGATCTTTCCAAGCAAGGGAACGCTGCAGGTGTTTCGCTAAGGTATCTCCTGCTCACAAGCTATTCGACGACGGCATAGCCTTAAATTGTTAGTACAGGAGCTCGGGCCTCTGTGAGACAAGAACGATACCGATAAAGGACGATGGGTTTCCATTCCAGTCAAGTTACAACTTTGGCGGCGAGGCTCGTTGGATGCTGACTCCAAATTGAGCGTGCCATTCCCCAATTTGAGACGACCATTAGATTCGCGTTATGCAGATGGTGACCCCTGCAGATCGCCAAGGAGCGTGAATGCGGCATACCCGCCTCGGCGCCAAGACCTAAAGAAGCGGGAACACGAGGAACAATGATGCAAAAGGGAGAGAGTCGTGCAACTGTACTGCGCAGTAATCAGCACTGGCAACCCCTCATTGAAGGGAGCTCGTTGGGTTTCTTTGTGGAACGAGTGTCCTGACGGCGGATCCATTGTTTGGACTGCCATCCGAAGATCCGATGCTCTGCATTTCATCATCTCCTCAACTTCATCCACGCTCGATGTTGTTGGCCGCCGGGAGCATGGTGGAGCGCGTCAGGGGGCTGTGCAGGCCAAGTCGCCAGATCATCGCCGAGACTGCTGTGGCACCTGGGCAAAGTCTTGTTTGAAAGAACCAAGCATTTTCCAAGACTTCCAAGCCGGCCGCTGGCGATCTCTGGCATCATACCCACCAGCGCGGGGTTGTGACCACGTCATGTCACTCCGTAACTCATTCACAGTTGGGCAGGCGGGAGGAGGTGATTGAATGAGAGTGTCTGTGCCGGAAATGGCGGTCATCCCAGCCAAATCTCGCCTCGGCGTGGAGACCCTGGTCACATGGGAGTCGTGAAATGGCTGTCGGGCGCTTCACGGGATATTGTGTAGCGGCATCGGAAACCGTGCCCAGGACTGGCGGCGAGAATCAGGGATTGACAGTCGTAGTGTTTGATGGGCATGCAAAGTTGGAAACAGAGTTGCTGCTGTGCTTTCTGTCGTGGTCAAGTTCTTCCCGGCTTTCTGTGCGCTGCTGAGACCTGCAAAAGTGTTGCACAAGTGCGACGCTCGATTCCGGACAGAAACGAGATGAAGAGGGAACGTTGCCCTTGCTAGCGCTCTACTGCGCAGTGCAGCGTGGCGGCTGCAAGCTGTAGGTACCTGCATATCCATCCAAAGACCGCGTCAGCCCCCTGCGCTTCCGACCAGTGGCCTTCCAGCAGGAGGAAATCGACGATGAGAAACCTTGCAAGCCGTTCCACAATCAGTTTCGCCCTGGATCCAGCCTCAGGGACCGTTCGGTGTGGGTGGGGGCGGGCGACCGTGCCTGCTTTTTAGCGTTTCCGCGCTCCTGGTTCACACCTCCTGTTTCTCTCCCTCTTTCGAAAATCTGACGCTCTTCGAGTCCCTTTCGTTATTATTCGCGGAGGAGGTTGCCATTCTTGCCTTTCGCTACATATCTTTCGACTTCTGACACTCGTTGACAGACCTTGACTCTTTTTTGTTGCCTGCCTCTTATTTGCACTCTCCTTAGGCCGCATCGGAACCAGAAACCAAATACATCGAACGGAGCATCGAGTCTACCACGTACCATACCCTGCTTAAAACTGTCATTCCAGGCCAGCAGGTCTATCGCTACAAGATGCGCGCCTCAACCGCATCTTTGATCTCTGCCTCGCTCCTTTTGGGGCAGGCATCAGCCGCTCTTCCGCCCATCATCATGAAGGTCGGAGCGGCTGCCCGAGGCCTGCCAAGTAGCGCGCGCTGACTTTTTACTAGGGCAGTAAGTTCTTCTACGAGAACGGCACGCAATTCTTCATGAAGGGTATTGCGTACCAGCAGGACAGTGCCGCCAGGGGTGCCACCACGAACAGCACCAAGTACGCAGACCCGCTTGCGAATGTCGAGGCTTGCAAACGCGATATTCCCCTTATGCAGGCTCTCAAGACCAACACCATCCGGACGTATGCGATTGACCCGACGGCAAACCACGATGAGTGCATGGCGCTGCTTGATGCCGCCGGCATCTACGTCATTAGTGACCTGAGCGAGCCCGCGCTGTCCATCAACCGCGACGACCCCAAGTGGGACGTCGACCTGTACAAGCGCTACACGGGCGTGGTCGACAACCTCTCCAAGTACAGCAATGTCATCGGCTTCTTCGCCGGCAACGAGGTGACCAACAACAACACCAACACGCCTGCCTCAGCCTACGTCAAGGCTGCCGTGCGCGACACCAAGGCCTACATTAAGAACAACGTGAAGCGCTGGATGGGCGTTGGGTACGCTGCCAACGACGACGCCGACATCCGCGTTCAGATTGCCCACTACTTCAACTGCGGCGATGAGGAAGACGCCATTGACTACTGGGGCTACAACATCTACTCGTGGTGCGGTGAAAGCTCCATGTCCAAGTCGGGCTACGACACCCAAGTCGAGTTCTTCCGCAACTACTCAGTCCCCGTCTTCTTCGCCGAGTACGGCTGCAACCTGCCCAACGGCGCCGACGGACGCATCTGGCAGGAGACGGAGGCCCTTTACTCGAAGGAGATGACCGACGTTATCTCGGGCGGCATCGTCTACATGTATTTCCAGGAGACCAACGACTACGGCCTGGTCAGCGTATCAGGCGACTCAGCCTCCACCATGGCCAACTACGACGCTCTCAAGACCGTCATGTCGTCCGTCGCACCCTCCGCCACATCGATGGACGCCTACACGCCCACCAACTCGCCCGCCGCCTGCCCGGACCTGAGCAAGTCCTGGCAGGTCAAGGGCGAATCGCTGCCTCCGACCCCAAACTCCAGCCTCTGCGAGTGCATGTTCGCCTCCCTCTCGTGCGTCCCCGCCTCGAGCACCTCACCCAAGGACTACGGTGACATCTTCAACTACGTGTGCTCCGAGACCCCCGACGCCTGCGCCGGCATCAGCGGCAACACCACCTCGGGCGTCTACGGCGCCTTCTCCATGTGTAACGCGACCCAGCAGCTCGGCTACGTGCTCGACCAGTACTACAAGTCGCAGAACAACGCCGCCGGGGCATGCGATTTTGAAGGCAAGGCGACCATCCAGCAAGGCGCGGCGGACAGCACGTGCAGCGCGGCGCTGAGCAGTGCGAGCGCCGGGGCTACGTCGACGAGCGGGGCGGATTCTCAGACCAGCTCCAATGCGGCCGTTGCGCGCGGGCCGGTCAAGGCCTTGTTTGGGCTGGCCGATGCGGCGGTTGGCTTGTATGTGCTCATGGCCATGGGCGTGGGCGCGGGTATGGTGCTTTTGTAAGCGACGTGAGTAAGCGGTGTTGGTGCATGGATAGGCGGAGGCGGAGGCTGGGTGGGTTTTCCGTGTGGTTAAACTGGCTTTATTGGCACTATCTGTTTGGGTTAGTTATATTACATTGTACTTAGAGTAATTCGAGGTCGTAGGATATTCCCAGGTCGTTGAGTTATATCATGTGGACTTTCTGGCGTCTGGTGTCCTCCGCGAAAAGTAACCTCTCGCTATATCTTCCCGCTATTGTCCAGCCATGCAAGGACGTGTTTAGGCACAGCTTCATGCATGGCGGCTGCTTACCGAAATGGCTGTCGGCGTAGTCGCCGCAACGGCTTCCTTCACATTCTGTGTCCAGGCTGTTGAAGGGGCATAAGGGGGACAAGGCGTGGTTGGGTAGGACGCTATTTTGTGCTGCGTCACGGGCATGACTTAAGTTAGAGTGTTGATATCAACTCCTTTTGCCACACCTGTTGCTGTGTCCTACCGGTAGTGACTCTGCAGGAGCCTCTGACTGTGGCAGTGGATTGTACCACAAGTCCGGCAGCAATATCCCTTGTCCTGGGTACCATTGTATCGATGGCGAAACTTGGGCTTTCCAGGACATGCCGCTGGCGTGGAGATCTGCGGACGGCATCAGACCCAAAAGGGATGTCGGCTAGACATGTTGTTGTGATGACCCCGCTTGCCCTGTCTCCTTCCTCCCTCACGCCCGCAGCTTGATTGGCCCGGCCGACCTTGCCGACCGCCGTCTGGTTGACCTCCTCTTGAGTCGTGTGCATCGCTCACTCAACATCCATCTCCATCTCAGCCTCCCCGCCCTCCTTCTTCTTATCCTGCTTCTTCCCTTTCTCCGCCGGCGCATCTGCACAGCACAGCAACGTCAGCAACGTGGTCTTCCCATCTTAACAAGTTCGCAAAGAGCTTCCCCAAAATATGCGCTGGCAAAACTTACCCTTCATCTCAACCTCCCCTTCGGCTTCCATCTTCCTCCTCAGCGCGTGCCTCAGCTGTTTCTCCAGCTTTCTCTGCTTCTTTTTGCTGACTGCCGCGCGAGGTCCGCTGGTCGGGAGCAGGCCGGGTTTCGCGCCGCGACGGGCGTCGGCTTTTGCTATGGCGCCGCCTTGTCGCGCCAGTTGGCCCAGGGCGGCGGCCTTTTGCCTCGTTTTGCGCTGCTTGGCTGCGCGGGCGGCGAGGCGGTTTCTGGATGGGGCGTTGGGGTTCTTTACCGAGGGCATTGTTAGGACCCTTTTCTTGATTGATCGGCTTCAGTAAGCGGATGGTGAAATTTGTGGTTCAAGGCCGCGGATTAAAGCAGTCCGATTCTCTGGTACGGATATTGTTGGGTTTTCTCCTTGGCTGGTGAAGTTGCGTTGTCTCGGTGGTGTCCGGTGGTAAGTTCTAGTGGGGCCGGCGATAAGAGGTTAGGGAGGGTGGAACTGTGGATGACGGGAGTTTTACCTAAGCGAGGAAGTGGGCCTGCTGTGAACACCCGACGCCGCAGCATGCCGTGGGCCGAGCTGCAGCTCACACTTCATCATTCACATGGCACAGTCAACTCCCAATGTTGGTCCTGACTTGAGTAACCACCTCGCCCCTGGTTCTCAGTCCGAGATTTCAAGGGGCAAAAGTTGGCGGCATCTTGAAGTCTCCATCGCTCTGTCAGCACTTTATCCGATTGCCGACGATGTCTCTGCAGATCGTGCCTTGGCTACAAGGGCCTCAGAGCCAACACAAAGATCATCAAAACACCGATCGCGGCGGGATGAACAATCGAGACCGCCATGCGATGGACCTCATCAAGGCCACCAAACCGTTCATTTGACATCGAAGGTTGATGTTTGCACGCTAGCGTCATTCTAGCCCCAGATGATCCAGAGATACCCCAGACTACTTCCAGACAAACCCCATACCGTCCCGGACTAGGACCAGATACCCCGCCAGATCTTGGGGTCGACCGAGGTTCGATTTGCCCGGACCCCTCTCGATGACGTCCCACCGCGATTCAAATATGCCTTTGCTGGAGAGTCAACGAGGACGCGCCCCCTAACCCGACCCATTGACGCTGGAATAAGCGGCCATGCGATCGTATCCTCTCTCCGTCCTTGGGGCCGTCCTCGCCTATCTGCTTTACGCTGTAGGGCCCTCTCTCCATCGCAGATTGACCGTGCTCGGGGCCCTCCGCAGATACCCTGGCGCCGCGACCACCAACGGTGCGGAGGTGATTGCCATCCCAGACACAGTGCATTGCGAGGACATTCATTACCATGCCCCCAGCGGCTCCCTCTTTACGGCCTGTGAGGACAACGCCGAAACGAGGTTCAAGTGGTTCCCTCCGCTGGCCAATTTTGACGATCCCGAGCTGGCCGGTAAAAGCCGAGGCTCCATCCATGTGGTCGACCCAAATGTGTGTGTGCCCAAGAAAGCGCTCTGTGCAGTTTGCTAACCCATGGCCAGACTATGCAGTCACGGAGGCTCAAGTTTGAGAACTTTGACGGCCCCTTCGTTACTCACGGCATCGATGTGGTTCCCGACAAGGACAGCGCTGACGGAGAAGCCGTCTACGTCTTCGCCGTTAACCACATTCCCGAGACACAACCGTCCGGGGCAAAGGGACCGCATGCCCGCTCGCAGCTCGAGGTCTTCCACCACGTCCTCGGATCCTCCTCCGTCAAGCATCTTCGATCTGTCTGGCATCCGCTCATCAAGGCGCCAAACGACGTCTTCGCCGAGAGCCCGACCTCGATCTACGTGACAAACGACCACCGCCACCGCTACCATGGGTTGATGCGCACCTTCGAGGATCTCTGCTCCGGTGCCAAGTGGACCGAAGTGGTGCATGTCCAACTAGCCTCGTTGGCGGCATCGGATCCCTCTGCAGCCGTAACTGCCCGTGTTGCCTTGTCCGGTATGCACAACGCTAACGGTCTCGGTCATGGCCGCTCCGAGCGGGAGATTCTCATCTCGAGCTGCACTAGCGGGGTGCTCCACATTGGTCAAATCCCGGCCAACTTCAGCGGCAACATCACGATAAGGGAGTCTGTCGAGATTGACCACATCGCCGACAATCCCAGCTACTTTGCCGATCCCTACGCCAAGCCGGGTGACGACCGAAGCGGTTTTCTGGAAGCCGGTCTGGCCCGCGCTGTCGATCTCAGCAGTACTCATCGAGATCCGGCCGCCAAGGACCCTGTATTGGTCACATACGTCAGGCCGATTGCCGGCCGTTGGGAGAAGCGGATTCTCTTTGAGGACGACGGGACCAGGCTCAGAAGTGCCAGTGCAGCCGTGTTGGTGGCCCTCAAGCCGACTGCAAACTCGGAAAGTGTTGCTGCCGACACGAGAAAGGCATGGCTCTTTGCGACAGGTTTTCTATCAAAGGGCATCGTTGCCATCAAAGTTGATCTTTGATAACGCAAAGAGAACACTGGAACACGTTCCATGTTAACGTCCCAGTAAGGTACCTACCATATTTTTCAAGGTTGGCAGCCTGTCTTTGAGGCCGGTTACCGCGCTACAAGTCTTCAAGGATGTCCAGAAACAGATTCGGACATTGCAGCTCTGTAGGGTTGGAACCTTTCTGGTGATGTGTGGACGTCGACGAGTGGACTCCGCAGACAACCTAGGAAAGTGCTCTTCAGTTACACAGGTCTCACTGAGTCTAGCACCAAGATATTCTCAGCTTTAGTCAACATTGTGGTGTCACTGTGAGACGTACCTATTCACACAATACTTAAGGTAACTTTGCGTTGCGTCTGAAAGGCTTTGGCGGTAACCACAAGGAGCAGCCCCAAGGCAGGTTTCAACCCGAGACAAATTACAAGTAATGGGTGCAGACCTAAGTGAAGGCGAGCTTGTAAAGTTAGAAGTGCATGTTTGACATGTTGTGGCCGACGGCGGAGAGCCATATTTCGAAATCTCATGCCACCTGCGACCGATCCAAAACTTCAAGCGCGTATTGGATCAAGATTGGGAGTGCCGCACTTCCCAAATCCAAATGCAGTAAGAGATGGGTAACTAATTGCGAACGTAAACATATGAGCGCATCGGCTTATCTTGCCATGCTGCCAGCTGTTGCGCATTCTTTTCTTATCTACGGTACTGATGAAAGACTCAAGCAGAATCAGAGGGTATTGGACTCTGTCGAAGTGACAGATGAAGAGCTGACAGCTACCAGGTACTAAGATTGCATCAATAATACATAAGCTACAAGATGTGAAGATGTCAGACCGCAACTACTACTCAGAAGGGGGTGGCCAAATGGCCAAGTCCAGCTTGCCGAACAACTGTTTGAGTGGCGACGGAAGAAGAACGAAGATGTTCACACCGACCACCCCTCCCTATGCCATCTGTTTCCCTTTTCCTGTGGAATTTCTCTCTTGACTGTTTCGTTTCCTTACAAGCTGTTCGAAAATTCCTAGCCCTTTCCATCGTCGCACATATCCCTCTCCTCTTCTCCTTGCTAATATTGATGATACTGATTGTCTTGGTGGTTTGGGCCGACAGTGTCGCCCAGCCCGTTGACATCGTCATCGGCAAGCCTAGTCGGATACGGCGAAGGGGCAGCTTGGCCTGGAGCGGAGCCGACCAGACCGAAGCAATCGTTGAAACCGTCCGTGAGATTTCCGCTTATCCTTCCACCATGACCCCAATGCATGTTCCCTAGATGAGCTCTCCAGGGCAAGAGAGCAGGCTCTTCCTCATGATTCCCCTTCTGTCTTGCTTTTTTGTTCTTTCTCTTTTATTCTTCGAGTTCTTTCCGTTTTCGGTGGGTGTGTGTCCGGACCTTTGAAGAAGGCAAGTGTCAGTGGCATCGCCATTAGCTGGGCTGGGAACGATATCTACTTGGAAGGAGAAGGTGACGAGCCGAGAGACACGACCATCGATGCCGCCATATCGTCGCTGCTGCCAGGGGCCGAGAGACTTCCATGTCTGGTCACCGGTGGTCTAGGGCTGTAGGGTGCGGCTTTGTTGTTGACCCCATTGGCGTCGACGTCCTGATTCCAGCGTCACCTAACCTCCTTATGATGTGTTGCTGGTGCGATTCAAGAGCGATGGGTGTTTTCGAAGTTCCAACTTGTGTGATTCGCTCTCAATGGCCTCGTTGATATGTAGCCGTACAAACGCAGTGTCTAGGAGAGAAGATGTCAGGCGACTCTAAATAGACCGTCCACAACTCGAAGGCGTCTCGTAGACGTATAGGCTGGCGGGAAACTCCCTGAGTTGTAGGTATCCTAGGTAGTCTCGGTACAACTGTCCGGGATGCCACTGCTGCAAGGCTCTCCACTGTCTAGTTTCTCCATAAGCCTCATGTCATCTTGCAGTGTCCCAGGCCAGATGTCCTCTTCATAATCCGCTACATTCCTAGGTGTGAGGCCGCAGGTATGTTTGACAACCCAAGCCATCCCAATGCCTTTATGGCATATATTCTTGATACAGATTCTCAAAGAATCGGCATCTTGGGTTTTCCATCCGTGAGGTTGCTAGCTGGCCAAGACCATCCATAACAATCGCGAGAAACGTGTGCTTCTTGCAAAGGTAAAGCTTGCGGAGCCAGGAACGTTGGTGTACGATCCATTTGTTCTTCCGGCGCGTATCCGAATTGTCCCAGTCGAGATCCGCTGGACTCTCTACACGCCACCTTTTTCTTGACTCTGATTTTACGGCTGAAAAGATGCTCCTTGTGGGCACTACCTGCCGTTGCTCTTTCGAGGTCAATGAAGAGTCTACGGCCAAGACTAATGGTCGAATAGCTGCGGCTGATCCTGGAACATTGGCATCTTCGCGACTTTGCGGTGATCGACAATACAACGGAGAGCAAGATGCCAACTCATGCCACTTCCAGATATTTGCTCATTATCCTAATAGCTCAGCAAGTCTACTTACAAATCCCAGAAGCATAGCATGAGCCACAAGTCACCGCGCTCCGAACACAACGGGGCTTTCGAAAAGCCTTTATAGTACTTGTTAGCTCCAGATTATATCTAAATACTTCGGATAGAGAGAAATACCGATTGTGCTTGCTTCCCGGATAGAGTCATCGAGAGCCTCTCGAGCTTTGTTGTAGGTTCCTGGCTAACTGCAAATATAAAGCTGCGAGGGACATTTGCTGAACCAGCATCTGTCCAGGCAGAATGTGATTGGTGAGTTTGTCGGCAGCCAAGTGTATCTGCTAGCAATGTCCAATAGTCGTGCTGGATGTAAGGTGAATGCGCCGGAGAAAGCCGTAACTTGAAAGTGAAGGGCACGAGTAGTGACACAGAGGAACAAGATTGTAAGTTCCAATGACACTTCATACCACGCAGCAGTCGACCAGCATGTGAATGAGGCCAGAACTCGGAGAGATTGAGAAGAAAGGATTAATGGCTCGCATGGTTCATCCATTGTTGGAAGAGAATGGCCACGCAAGAAGTTGATACTGTCGGGAGATAACAAGGAGAAAAGATTGAGGAAAGTTACTCACAAAGGAATGGCATATTAGGCATCAAACGTATAGCAGCTGCAAGGCCCCCGGAAAGTCGGCGTGAAATGAAGTTAGACACTTTAGAAGAAAGCGCCAATAACTTGTTATAGTAACGTACATTATCAGTGAGTGAGCTATATCATTGAGTGGGCTACTCTCTACTACTCTATAAACGCCATCCTTAATCGCAAAATAACAATACTAACTAGCAACTAACTGTAAGGCAGCTTGTCGCCCCGTCATGAAGACGACGCCCGTATTACGGCCATTCTCATTTCCGCTCCCCGCCAAAGAAATCCGCATCCAAGATGACATCGTCCATACAACACAACATAGGCCGAAGGAGCCCGACTCAGGTCCACCTGAACTGAGCTTGAACTACTATACGACCTCCAGGTCTGAGTGTTGAGGTGGGAGTCTGAATCTCACCCTTGTCAGTCACGGTTAGTCCCTGTAACGTTGCGACTTATCCAAGGTAATGGAAGATAGGTATTTCGCCGTCAGCATTCGCTCAAAGGAAAAGACGTATCTTGCTAATAAACGCTTTGCTGATCAAAGCAATGCTAGTGCGGTGGATGGGCTGGCAGTCAGCCGCTGCGCCTTGGCATGGATTTGGTTTGGTTGGCAGATGACAAGATTCGGACCGCGGCAAGATCAATTTCTCCCGTTGGCAGCATGGCGTGGTCAAAGAGACACCAATAAGTACCACTGCAGGAGGCTACCATACAACGGCGGTTACATCGAGTGGCTGCAGTACCCGTATTGCACCTAACGGAGGTAACCCCCAGTTTGCAGTAAGAATCACCGGCGCGGAAAAACAAGTGTGTCAAAGTGATGCCCTCGAATTTCTTCACGAACGTGGGCCAGGATATTAAGCATGAGAGATGAAAACGTCGCCTCCGAGTCGCAGACTAGTCTACAGTCTCAAGGCATGTCGTCGGTTCTCATTTCGAGGGCGAAGGATCAGTCGCACCAAGTTGCCATTTTCAGCTGGAGTTGCCGTTCTCAGTTGGAGCTGGCACAAGGTATCTGCAAAACAGGATCTCCTGGGCACATGACCTTGACCAAGCCACTTGATCATGGCTGTTATTCGACAGTGCCCTGCAGGAATGATCCACAACAGCTGCAAGACAATTTCATTCGCGTCAAGAATGTCTCAGCCAACGCCAGGAAAGGATTGAAAATCTGGGATCTCCTGATCATGCTTAAGCCCGGCAGGCTGTCAAGAAATATTAAAGCAAGTGAGTGCCAATCAATTCTGCACAATAAACGAGATTTGTGGCTGGGGAGCTGCAGGGGTCTAAGGCGTAATACGCGTGGTAGCTTCGCGGAAGCTCCCAGGCAAACCGCGCCGCGGCGTTGGTTCTAGGTACGGTATTTGCCTGGTATTCTTTTATGCAGTGGGACACGTCAACCGACCATATCTCCGTGTCCGTACCTGAATCCACGTCCGTATCCGGTTACGTGATCCGATTCTGACCCTGGGTAAAAACAAAGGCCTGTGCCATGTGCCATGTGGTTGGTTTCTGGAGGCATATTTCAAAATCCAGATTCGGAACGCAACAAACGGTGAGGGCCCCAAGTGAATTCGCGCAACTTTCGCTCCTCTTTCGCTCCCGGTCCTCACCCGCGACCATAATTTGCCGACACGAAGTCTCTCGACACCATCTGAGACCGGGAAAAGCGTGTAACCCCTCAAGCCCTCCATGATGTGTCCGATGAGCGACACGGGATTGTATGTTGCTTGGAAGCGGAAGCAAAGGGAACCAACCCAGGCCCTCCAGTCCTGCAGGGAGTTCAGCTCATGAGAACTGGCCGAACCTCATGAGACCAGACGGAAAGTTTGGAAGTGATTCGTCCATCCTTCTCCGTTCGCCCAAGGCGTCCCTGCTCGGCTTTGTATGGTTTGCGGCTCTGCCTAACCCCGATGATCTCAGTCATGGAGGGGCAAGTTGGAGGAGTTTGGCGAAGCAAGCCGAAGGGATGCGAGGAAAGCTTCCAGACCGACATGAAGCGTTCGCGCTCGGGACATACTACACTCCACAGGCAGACAAGGCTGCATAAACAGGCCCTCGGCTGCAGGGCGAGATCTCCGGCACTGGCTGTTGGCGTCCCGGGACCCTTCCGGAATTCTTCTGAGAGATTTTGTACTAATCCCAAGTTCCCAACACCCTGGCACGTTTCGGGCGCAAGATAACGGCTGCGCCGGTGTCGTTAGAAGCAGGGTAAAGCAACTGTGGGCAACTGGTTAAGCAGAAACGGCTGAGGGAAACGAGGGGGTTTGGCAGCTTACAGTGGTGGCTCAGTCTTGCTGCTTCCAACCGGAAGCCGCTGGTGCCTCCCTGCACGTGGCGGGTATGCGGCCAAAGAAGGGAAAGCGAAACGGCGAGGTTGACTGGATTGTGGCTCAGCTTGCTCAGGATTGATATCCCACCCGGCTCAGAGCCTCATGCACCTACCCCACTCCTTCATATGGCGTTTATTATAGCAAAAGCAGCCTCCGCTATGCATATGCACCGGCACCATGCCCGTCCCGAGTCAATTTGCATTGCCCCGAGCCCCCGGGTCCGGCACCGGTCCCCGATCCGGTTGGCTGATGAGAATTGTCGTCCCAGCGTCACTGCTTGGCACATCTTGGACCGCTGCCCCCCACGGCACCATGACGTGGAAGAAACACACCGTAACTCAAGGGCCGGAGGGAGTAGCCCTAAATGCACATGAAACTTTTATTGGGGATGGATTGAGTCAGGGAAGCAGGGGGGAAGGGTTGCACATCGACCTGTGGATCTCAACACCGCTTCCTGGACATGGACCCAGAACTTCGATCAGTCGCCCGGACCCGCGGCTTGGCTATGGGGTTTCTCCTGTCTGCCCTGCGTTTTCGGGACTGGTTTTCCACTTCGAGCCGCATGATGCTCACTTCGTCGACATATAAAGGCCTGGAGCAACCTGGCGATGGGTTGATTCGGTCTAACATCGACATCAACTTGCCTCCTCCAAGCAACAACTAACGGAGCGCCGACCCAATTACCCAAGGGGGCACTTTGCGCCGCTGCAGCAAGTCACTATGTGTAAGTCGTCTCATTGCTCATCGGACGTGGATCATTCATGATTCATCTGCGAAGTGTGCAATCTGGCTGATAGAACCCTGGGGCAAACGGTGTAGCTGCTGGCTACAAGACGGGCAACATGCCAGTCATTGACCTCTTACGGGGAATCAGTATCTGGGTGGAAACGCGTCACGGCTTTTCGGTCGGTCCCGTTTTGATCATTATCATTTCCCCCTCGACCTGTAAGTACACCAAAACAGCGTACTTTAAAACACCTATAAATTGTGAACAACCTCAAATATCTCCGTCATCCTGACTGGTCTCAGCCTGGGCAACGCTCACATGCGAGAGCCTCATGGCCCGACTCTTGGGGTACTCACCCCTGGGAGCACCGCTGCGTGCGTACTACCGGCTTGGTTACGGTTACGGTGACCAATGGTACTGGGTCGAAATGGACGGGTACCGTTTTGTTGACGGAGAGGAAATGGGAGATCTGAACTGGGGTTGACGAAGAATGAAAGGTGGTTAGCAGGTAGACGGAGACTTGGTGGCGTATCAGTTAGAGGAAGAAAACCCTGGTGGTGGCTCGTTTGTGTAACGTTAGGTCAGAGTTCTCCGATAAGACGACGAGTTCAGCTGTTCAGGTCCTCGGGTCGTGTTCTTCTGAGCCCAAATTTCCAACCAATATCAGTATGGCTGAGCGCAGTGAATCGTTATCAAGATGCCTTGGGCTGAAAGCTTTCCGCAAGCTGACATTGATATCCTGCTGTTAAGCCTGTGATTCGTATGCCCACCCTACCTTACGGTATGTAAACAGCTTCCGGTTTGGGAACAAGTATGCTGGGCCCGGTTATTGGCAGACCTCGCCTGTTGCGTAGACCCCGGTAATCTGTGGGATCAACCTTTCTTCAGAACTATCTCAGAGGGTCTTTCTCGAAGGCGAACTAACTACACTAACGGCAACACTACACGAGACAGGGCAACTTCAATGGACCGGTTTGTAGTGAGATGCTCAGTCGATATCAAGCGATTGCTTCTATCACAAAGTCTTCCAGACAAGTCTATGATGCAATGATATTAGATTGGGAAGTCGAGGATTGTGGCCAATGGATAAAGCAGTCTACAGTCAAGGACTGTAGGGGAGGTCTCCCAATAACCGGGCCCAAGTATGCTGGTTTTGTCGTAACTCCACCGTGCGCACGTGGAGAGCTTGACAGCCCGGGTCCACTCATGATGCCGACAAAGGCCCCATTGGATGGTTTCCAAGGTTTGCAATGAGGCGACGGCACAAACGTCGCCAGGTCGTCTGGTCGATTATTCGGCGAAAGTGTCGTCAAACGGCTTTTCCGCCAAGGATGTCGTCAAACGGCTTTTCCGCCAAGGATGTCGTCAAACGGCTTTTCCGCCAAGGATGTCGTCAAGTCTCTTCGAGATGATACGCAAGCACCACGACTGCTGTCAAATCGCTTCCCGCAAAGCCCGTTCCCAGGTCGCTGCTCCGGCGGGAGATGCACAACGCAGAGAACGGAGCCTTCCATCTTTCTCGAAGACTTTTTTGTGGCTTCCATATCGCAGATCTCGACTCGAATCCCAAATCTTCACGCCGCCAGCGCGGTAAGCCTTATCTCGGTACTCAGACCTCCATTTTCAAGGCGTAGTGCCAGCCTTCGGCTGGCGTTCTCATCCATACAAAGGTGCCATGGACGTGTTACCTTACTAGCTTCTATACATTACCGCCCCGCTAACCCTATTGAGATAGACCCATATTAACAGAGATCGCCCTGGAAGAGTCTGGACCCCATTTTTTGAGATTGGGGGTGAATAATCCGCGCATGCCCATATAAACTGACATGATCTACTTGAATCATTCCTCATTTTCTCAAAACCACAACATCGCATAATGAGAAGATTAATATATAATTCGGATACTTGTAAACAGGTGCATCTAATAGTACCGATTTGTTGATATTTGTATTACATTGCTTCGTCGTAGTAGCCGACGGAGAGAATAGGATGACCCCCGCACTCCGATCCTTTAGTGACACCCCTCCAACGCCCACCCACTTGCTCCGAACTACAAGACAATTCGCAGGGAGCTTACCCTCGTTGACACCGTCCTCCTTACTCATTTTTGGAGTGGTGCGGCTAGTAGATTGTAGCCTAGGAGCCTGGGGGTGCAAGAGCCTGTTCAGGCGTAGGTAGGCAGGGCAGGCATGCAGTCCAGCTAGTTCTTCAACTCCAGGTACTTATCTATGTAATAATGCCGGGGTCGTACCCTGGTCAGGGGTAATACACGGCTGTTATATAAGGTCTGGCGGATACCCAGGTAACTAGAGGAAGGGAAGAGAACTCAATGGACAGATTCTGGGCTGGTCCCGGGTACTCGAAAAGTTCACTGTTTTAACGGCTCCCATAAAGCGTGTCACCGTTGAATCGTGGCTGTTGGCTTTCCAACAGATGCTTGGGTCAATCCGGCCAAGTCCCGAAAAAAGGACTTAGACCGTGTATGGAAAATATTTGATTGGTTGGACTGAGCTTCAGTGGGTCCTGGTATTGCAGTATAGCCGCATACGCTGGTCTGAGCACTGAGACAAAAATAAGCTCAAGTTTCTCAACACTACGGATGTACTGCCATGTGCAATCCCACGCGTGCTTCCGACCAAGGTCGAGGGCCTGACGCCCACAGAGACGGCTGCTGGTACAAGCTGCCATTTTCCGTAGTCCGCTCTGCTCACAAGTGGATTGCTTACCTGAACCGGAAAATGCAAGCGGATCGTGGATGCAAGGAGCCTGCACGGGCCGAGCCAGCCTCTCCCGAAAAGAGACGGAAATGAACCCAGACGCGAAACCTTGGGACCGAAACGCACATCGTCATCTGAGTGACAGCCGAACCGGGGTCGATCCCCGTCTCTGCTCACGTCACTTCCATACCTTGTCATTTTCGCGGCTCCTTCCAGCCCGCCGTCACCTCGGAGAGATTGAGATTGAGACGTTTCGTTTGCCCTGTTTCAAGACTGAAGTGACTGGGTGGCTCATTTCATGTCTTCTGCGTCGGTCACTCCGAGTCCTGGCTCTAACCAATCAATTCATCCATCTCCTTCCCGCATCACGTTTAGATTCACGTCTGCCAGCCGGGCGGGTGCGTTACACGCGTCGGGAAATGCCTCGACGGCGGTTTTCTGCAGCTCGATTGTTACGAGTTCTTGACCCTTGATGGGAGGCTTGTTTCTGGAACGTTCCCTACTTGTGCTGCGCTGTGGCTCCGACCTGGGGCTTGGCTTGGCTTGCTCTGAGCAGGCTCCCGGTCAGTGATCGACCGACGGTCGGGGAATCGCCTTCAGTCATAGAATCTGCTGTCGCTTCTTCATGAATCCCCGCCCTGCTTCCTTTTCTTGCAGCCGCCGAAAGATTGCCGTGGGCAAGTCTCCTGGCCCTTGTCGCTCAAGCGGGCCTGACGTCGAAAGGCCCGTGGGGTCCTCCCGGGCTTTGTCGTTCGCACGCAGCCGATGGCCAGGAGGCGTGCAGGTAGAGCGGCATTGCTACCGGTCTACTGGTAGACGCGCAGCGTACCCTGGCGTCCAGGGATCTCTTGAAGTGTCAGTGCCATGGCCGGCCTTGTCACTGATGCTGTGAGACATCAGGCTAGCACGCTTAAGGTGAGCGCCCTCGTTTACCAAACTGTCAATCCTCTGCCGGATGACAATGAGAGGCGATGGTAACGTGGACTGCTCCGAGACAAATCCGGTACCGTTACCCGGTTTGCCAGCAACAGAAAATCGAGCTTCGCTGTCCGCACCCGCATCAAGTCCCTCGAGTCCCGGTCACATCCCCGCTGTGTCACCCCCTCCCAACTCGCAGGTCGTTCAGCTCGCTTCACGCCGCTCAATCTTCCAGCGGAATGGAGTCGGCCAAGGTTACCGGAGGATTAAACCCTAAGTCTTCCATACCCAATATATAAATAGAATAAAAAAAGAAAGCAACATAGTACCTTTTTTTCCTTTACTTTATAAAATCAATAGTGGGTACAACTTATTTCGATGTTTTATTTGAAAGCAGTTTTGAGTATAGATAGGTAACAAAGGACGAGGGGTGTGACACAATGGGAACCGCCGTACTTGTAGCTCACCGGTGCTTAGTCTGAAGATCCCGGCCCAGGTGGTTAGTGGACAAAAGATGACACAGATCATTGGCCTGTTGGATGGTTCGCCTGTACAGGTGTGAATTCCGTCTGGTCACGTTCGTTAAAATTCGAGTTTCAAGCCGCAATAGAGAGGTAAGAAGCCAACAAGTCTATGGTTAACAGACGAGGATTTGCCCTTGGGGCCGGTCGTTGTCCATCCACCACTATAAATGGGACATTGCCGTCAGAATCAGTTCTCTCCCAGCTTCAACTCCAAGCTGCTTCTCCATCATTATTTGATCGTCGCAACGAAGTATCACCAGCTGCTGCGAAAGAACTGGTCACTGCCGATCCTTCTTCGCGTGACCAAGCATGGGCAAGTTCAATGGTTCCGCTTTGGGCCGCGCTGAGTCCTACGGCTGACGCCAGAGCTAACGAGATCGTTTTGTTGTCGTGTTTACAGCTTCCGGAGGTGACGAGAGATTCGTTGATGACCTGCTTCAAGACATTGGCGCGTGGGTCGACTCGGTTTCGGCCGAGATATTTGGAATAAGCAGTTGGATTCACGCCGTGTTGCTATCAGGTAAGCTTGCGGGCGACGTTAATCCCATGAGGTACAACTTCACTTCATGTTCTAACTATTACCTACTTGGGTAGAATTGAAGGATGACAGCGCCAGCAGTCAATCTTCGATATACTCTGCACCCTGGACACCACTACGGGGCGCTTACCAGCTTGAGAACGGCTGGCCTGATCAGTGGTGTAAGATTGAGGCCGGGCTGGAGCGCCGTCACAGCGGAGGCATTGGAGACGGGTTCGAGGAGCCGGACTCGTGCTGGAGCTTGAAATACATGGATGTAGCGGGAGATGAGGACACGGGAGGCGGGGCAGTGTCCATGTCTTGCATGGAAGCAGTCCAAAGTTGAATGAAACTGGCGCTCGCTTGACTGCCGGGGGCTGGACCCGGGCTACTTAGCAGAGCAGGGAAGAGCGGGCCTGACAAGCCTTGCTGGACGTCGCCCAGGTCCCAGCTAATTACAGCACAGGTCGCAATACAGGATATGTCAGGTAACTAGCTAGATGGACAAGGTATAATTACAATCTTGCGGACCACAGTACTGCCAGTCTTCAGTGTGTCTGCCTTCCCGTCACGAGCACGTTATTTAAAGTACTGTTGGATTCGTAGACCTTTCTCCGTTTCTGCTACAAAGCACGCACCGTTCTGCAATACGATTCTTGGCGGTGGTGTCCGGTTAAGCTCTCGATAAACACAGACGATGCAAGATGAGGCGCAAGCGACTGTTGACTGGTACTGTGTACCGGGCCATCTGTACTGTGTACAAGCACATGAGTGTAAGCCTCGAGGCACTGCATTGCCCTGGTACCACGTTGCTACCGCTCTGTCGGATTCAGCATGACAGCATCAGCCCTGGTATATTTTCGATACACTTCCCGGCCACAACAAATCCCTTGCCACTCCCATTTGTGTGCCGTTAAGGCAGACGACACGTCATGCCAGGGCGTTTTTGCCCTTCGGGAGTGGATGCCGGATGCTTTGGTTGCGTCCGGGCCCCGTCGCGCGTCAAGGTCGAGGCCCTCGTCCTCAGATGCATGCTTCCGAGTGCGGCATGTGTCCCAGGTGAAAACCCAGACGTGGCATTTGCCGCCGAGTTATCGACTCACCGCCGGTGTGGCGGGCGAGCGATCGACACGGTAAACGCAGTTTGGAGGCTGAACCTTTGCGGTTCACCCCGTTTAGAAAAAGGGGGAAGTCAGAAATTGGTCGGCCGTGATAAGCCAAGAGTCCAGGACGAGTAACCTTATGACCGTGATGCACACCGATGCTCTCCGAGCCCTGGAATTCTCCTTGACAAATAGCGCTGTAGTGGCCCGAATCGGTCAAGCATAGACATTTGGAAAAACCAAGCACTGTTTTGAGAGAGGTGTGATGGGCTGGTGTGAGTTTAGGCGGGGGGCCACACCGCGATTGAGCGGATGCGACGGGACAGGAAGGGCCGACGCCTTCCGAGAGAGTTCGCGAGGTGAGCGCTGTTGCTCGGAGACGGGGGTCGGGTGTCTTGCTCTGCAAATTCCAGTTTCCGTTTTGATGCTTCAGCCTCCAAAGCATCGACCACCTGAGCGCCGAGCTTCAACCCGCAGCAGTGCTGTTGCCTAGGACATTGCCCGTTCCATGCGCAATCTAGGCTCCCCGAATCCCAAGTCTTACGTTCCGTAGCGAACTCGACAGGGCGAGACTGGGAGAAAACGATCTACGATCTGCTCTCTGATCCACCATGACCGAAGAGGCGCCTTGACGAGAAAAGCCCACCCATGTAGCTGGCACGCTCGACATCACCACCTTTCACGGCCCATGAAGCGCTGCCTTCCCAACATGAGACAGTCGCGACAATGTGCCACGACGACTGACGCGATGTCTCGGACCACCTGGACTCCCGTTCGACGTTATTTCTTCCCTATCTAGCCTCTGATTAGGAAGCTACTACCTTTACGGTGAGACTCGTGGTTCTTCCATGATGAGTTCAGCAACTTTTCCCAGATAATCGATCGCATCAAACCCTCTTCTTGCGTTCCGTGTCACTATGGGCCCATCGATTCACTGAGCGTCGGTAACTAACGAAGAAACAGAGGCGGCCGACATCCCGTCACCCCAGGATGATATTCGACCACCGACCGTGAACCGTTACCGTTGCCGGAGAATTCTCTTCCCACCTCGCAGAGTCACTCGATAATATACCCGCGAAATGATCAGGGACAACAGCTCAGAGACAGCCTCCACTTGACCCCCTTCTGGCCGAGAACTCTGCTCCTCTCGGTTCAGAACAAAGGGTCAAAAAAGGGCAAACCACAGAAAGCCGACAAATCCAGCTGCACACCAGTGTAAGATATACCAACCTGCCGATAGGTCCGCGGGGATCGTTGTACATCAGAACGATGCCAGTCATCCGATACCGTGATGAGACGAGGAGCTCACCTGGTGATGCCCATGGTGCCAGGGAACCGAGCCGCCCATCCATCAGGTCAGGCCTTCCCCTTGAGTGCTGCAATTACCGGCCTGATGGCATACGAAATACGGGGCAAGGAAACTACTAGAGCTCGACATCCTTGGTAGCCAGATACCCGCTCAGACAGAATATGAGAAGAGCGCAAGTCAGATCGAGGCATACCTTTCCATTTCCATATCCAGTCGTAACAGATCCGCAGACATAATGCCGGCAACGCCTTCAAACCCATTGACGCCTGTGTCACTCAATGCCAGTATCCACCCCACACAACCCTACAATGCAACCTGAGACCTCACCACCACGAGTAATCCCTTCACTCCTCCTCCCGGGGTCTTCCATCCAACCATTTACTCATGTACGGTCCGTCCAACCAGTACCCCAATTTGGCATAGTAGCTCCTCACCCCAACCCCTGAGATAACACTGATCTTCTCACTACCGTGCTCCTCGCGGGCAATCCGCTCCGCCTCCTCCATCAGCAACGTGCCGAAACCCTGGTGCTGAAACTTCCTGGGATCGCGCGCATGCACCGGCACCGCCATGCCGTACACATGCAGCTCGCGCACAAGACTCGTCGGCTGGCCGACCAGCTCCTCCCGGAACGTGTACTTCTCAGTGCACTTCCTCAGCCTGAGCAGCGCAACCAGGATATCCTGCTTCGGATCCTCATACGCCAAGAACGTCTCCCACCCGCCGTTGGCGGTGTAGTCCCTCCTGACCAGCTCGATCTGGTTCGGCCGAATCTTGTGCTTGACCTCGTTGACGCCGACCTCCCTCGTGCGCACGTCGCGGCAGGTCGTGCCAAAGTCCTTCATCCGCGCCAGCGCCAGCTCGCGCAGGTTGCCGTTCTCGACGCCCGACGTCACCAGCGGCATGGGGATGTCACGCTGCACGCGGTATATGCGCGTCCAGGGGGGGACGAGCGCCAGGATGCGCGCCACCAGGTCGATCAGCCCGTTGGGTGTATAGTTTTGATAGCGCCCCGTGCGCCAGAGCTCGTACAGCCCCGTGCCGCGGATGACGAGGGTGGGGTAGATCTTGAGGCCGTCGGTGCGGAAGGCCGGGTTCTCGAAGTACTCCTTAAACTGGTCCAAGTCGCGCTCCATGCCGACGTTGGGCAGGTCGGGCATCATGTGGCTGACCACCTTGAAGCCGGCGTCCTTGGCGAGGCAGAAGGTCTCGGCAACGGCGGCCACCGTGTGCCCGCGGTTGGTGTCTCGCGCGACGTCTTCGTACAAAGACTGGACGCCAATTTCAAGGCGCGTGCAGCCGTACCGGAGCATGCTGGAGAGGTGGGGCTGGAGGCAGTAGTCGGGTCGTGTCTCGATGGTGATGCCCACGCATTTGATGCTGCTCTGCTCGCCTGCCCGGACGGCCTCATCCACGTTCAGCGTCCCGTAGCCGCTCAGCGCGTTGTGGAGCTGGGAGATAAACTCGTCCCGATAAGATTCCGGCAGCGACATGAATGTCCCGCCCATGATGATGTACTCAACCTTGTCGACCGAGTGGCCGAGCGCCTTGAGCTGGTCGACCCGCCCGCGAGCCTGCTCGAAGGGGTCGTACCGCGCGCGGATGGCGCGCATGGACGTCGGTTCATATCCAGTGTAGGACTGTGTGCTATACTCAAAGTCAGAATCCGGGCCGCCGGGACAGTAGACGCAGATGTTGCCGGTGTATGCGATATGCGGACATCGGTGCGGCTTGCACATGACCGCCACGACCGCGATGCCAGAGGAAGTGCCTAGCAAGTGTCAATAGCTACCCAACTCCGTCTCAGCAACCGGAGAAACTAACGAATTGGCTTGGCGATTAGCCTTGGAAGAATGTACTTCTTGTAGTGTTCGGGCACAGCAGCGATGATGGCCGTCAATGGGGGGACATTGTTGATCCTGTGCTTCTTTGCGAACTTGGATCGCAGCGCATTGAGGTTGATGTCCTTGCGGGGACGGCTAGAGTCCTTGGCCGCCTCATGGTCCTCAATCAAAGCGCTGGCGATGTCTGCGCAGCATCGGAGGAAGCGCTCGTTCTCTGGGGGCAGGTTTGCGTCCTTCTTCCGGATCGTCGCCGTTACCGTAGTCGTGGCCATCGTGGTAAACTATAAGGGCCTGAATGACGTCGGGAGATGATGTCTGTCAATTGTTCCCTGCCGTGAGGCGTCTGACGTGCCCTCTGTTTTCCTTTCCCGGTCTTGCCCCTCGAGTGTTACTGGACTGGAGTTGTCAAGGGTTCAAGATCTGAAGTCTTGGTGGGGCCATCTTCAAGATAACCGGTGCACGGCTGGCGTGCCTGTATTAATTGCCCCACTACAACTGATTGTCGATGCCCGTGTGGGGCCGAGTCGCCGGCACCGAATGCCGCATGCCAAGCCCAGCTCGCAGGTCGGAAAAACACTACCGCCGCCATTGCCGAGGCGCTCAAGCTTGGCCAATCGCAGCAGGCTAGCACCTGCGTGTCAGAGATGGATCCCGTTGGTGGAAGCTAGCGACAAATTTGGGCAAGGTCGCTGTTTGGAGAAATGACGAAGGCCACGGCTTCCAACGACAACACACAATCCTGCATCGCCGCCTTGCATTAGCTTCCCTCTCCGTTGCTCTCAGGCTTGTTCGGAAACTCTTTTGATCGATTGTTTCCTGGCACTTCCAGACACAGCACGATGCAGGCGTTCTCAAGGCAATCACGGCCTGCGGGCGCTCTCCTGCGACAGCTCGCCCAGAGGAGCTACAGCTCGTCCTCTACCTCCCCCTACGCCGCAACCATCAAGAACCTCCGCATCAACGGCGACACCAAGGTTCTCTTCCAGGGCTTCACAGGCAAGCAGGGAACGTAAGTGGCAGATCACCCGCCCTCTTCCTACTCCACCATGCGGCTTATCGCGCATCGCGATTCCCGTCACACTCCTCTCGTTCAGCGAGAGCACCAGGGCAGTATTGGGATTAACAGCGAGTTTTATGACAGTTTCCACGCGCAACAGGCGATCGATTATGGTAAACCCAATTTCCGCGAGCGGCAACGTTTTGGACGGAACCGAGGGAGCATCGGATCTGACACGCGGTATTTGCGCAGGCACAAAGGTTGTTGGCGGCACAAACCCCAAGAAGGCAGGCCAAACGCATCTCGGCCTCCCGGTCTTCTCCAACGTCAGCGAGGCTGTAAAGGAGACGGGCGCGAATGCCACTGCCATCTTCGTGCCGTAAGCCATCGCCGAAGATCTCACTGAGGCAAGCCGCGCTAACAAGCCGGGAATTAAACAGCCCCCCACTCGCCGCCGCCGGTATCGAGGAGGCCATTGCGGCCGAGATTCCCCTCGTTGTGTGTATCACCGAGGGTATCCCCCAGCATGGTGAGTCCATGGCCGGCCGAGTGAAGCACGCCACAATATATTGATCATTAACACGGCCGTTGCAGACATGGTGCGCATCACATCGATGCTCAAGGCGCAGAGCAAGACTCGCCTGGTGGGCCCCAACTGCCCGGGCATCATCGCGCCCGGCCAGTGCAAGATCGGCATCATGCCCGGCTTCATCCACAAGCGCGGGCGCATCGGCATCGTCAGCCGGTCCGGCACGCTGACGTACGAGGCCGTCAACCAGACGACGCACGCGGGCCTGGGCCAGTCGCTCGTCGTCGGCATTGGCGGCGACCCCTTCAGCGGCACCAACTTCATCGACTGCCTCAAGGTCTTCCTCGAGGACGAGGAGACGGACGGCATCATCATGATTGGCGAGATTGGCGGCTCCGCCGAGGAGGACGCCGCCGACTTTTTGCGCGAGAACAACACCATCAACGGCGGCAAGCCCGTCGTGTCCTTCATCGCCGGCATCTCGGCGCCCCCCGGCCGCCGCATGGGCCACGCCGGCGCCATCGTGTCCGGCGGCAAGGGCGGGGCAGACTCCAAGATCAAGGCACTCGAGTCGGCCGGTGTCATTGTCGAGCGGTCGCCTGCCGGCCTGGGCAAGGCCCTCCGCGACGAGTTCGTCAGGAGGGACCTGCTCTAAGTTTCTGGCGTCTGTAGCGAAATATTACTCTTCCGGCGCTGCTAGCCTTGTACATGTGATTGTTTTCATTTGTTATTGCGAGTGGTGCGGATGGGGAGTAGAGAATGGGGCAGGTTGTGAGCGTAGCAGACCGCTCAGGGGCGGATTAGCCCGAGGCATTTTGAGCTTATAGACTGGGGGACTTGGTGGTCGGCTTAATATGTTGTGCAATATGAGCCCCTATTTTGCTAAGGTATAATTTTCGCTGATCAAACACTGTGACCTCTTCGTGGAGCGCTTATGAGCCATTGGTGGTTCTGGGTTGCGGGTTGCCAGGGCTGGCATCGACAACCAGCCCTGGGCTGGGAGGGTGCCAATATGGATGGGCGGCATCGAGTCAGTTGCACAGGTTGCCTGCACCCTCCCGCTTGACATCAACTGAATTCAGATTGAGGCAGCAGATCACGAGATAGGCTGAAAATGCTCTTTCCACTTGCGTCACCTAGTCGTCACATGCTCGAACCAGTGCTTCGCATTCTGTGATTGGTCTAGAATCTCAGAGAAAAGAAAAGAAAGCAAATGCCAAATCCCATGTAAGTGTTCGCCCAGGTCCAGAGCCCTAAACCGTAAACTCCCGTACTGATGCTTATAGAGACACGGGATCGTGGGTTCTCCCCATCTAGTCTCCCTCCACCGCGCTGCTTTCCTATTTTCATGTCCAGACGACATGGTATCTCCGGAGGGGAATGTGTGAGTGATAAAGTGCGCCGTGCCCGATTATAATTCGAGACACCTTAACAGCGCAGCAAAAGCCTGCATCGTTACTGCTCGCCGAGGAGCCGAGCCGTGATGTCACCCATATATGCTTCTTCGAGCTCGTAGTCCTCGCCCCCGTTGCGGTCGATGCCCACGAAAATGAACGCGTCGACCACGGCGTCGACGTCGAAGCCCATGTTGACGAACCGGTCCACCAGGTCCTTGTTGTACCCCTTGTACCTGCAGGCAAAATAAAGCAGTGGTCAGCGTTCCAACTCGGCTCTTCATTCCCATTCCCCAATCATGAAGGAACCGGCAAAAGCCATCGTACCTAGACGGGTCATTCTTAGCCACTGGGGCGGGTGTCTTTTGGTAGTTATGTGTGGGCATCTCCTTCCGCGGGGCGCCGGCGTACTTCACGGCCCAGTCGTGGGCTGTCTGGGCAAACTCGTCGGGCCGCTCCATCATCATCTTAGCCACCTCGGCGTCTTGCGGGTCCTTGGGGTTCGGCGACTCGAGGAGCATGCGCAGCGAGAGGAGCGCCATCTTGATGGTGCCCACGGGGGACCACCCAGACCCGAGCGTGTCGAGGCAGATCGCTCCCTGCCGATAGTCCAGCGTTAGTTTCAAGAATTACTGTGGTCATGTAGTAGGAAGTTCCAGGGCCGGCCTGGTCTGCCCCGCGGCACCACCCCAACTCACCGTCACACTGCTGACGTTTGGGTGCCAGATTTTGGTGTCGAACTTCATGATGGGCGACTTGAACGGGTACATGTCTGGAATGACAATGTCGATCTGGAAAGTGCCCCCCGCATACGGCGTGTCGGGCGGCCCTGGAAAGGTGCCCTTGAGGTGTGTCAGGTCGGCGGGGTTGACGGGGTTCGCCTGCACGCCCGAGTTATCTTTGTCATTGTGAATGTCGGCCAATTCTTTTGCAATGCGGCGCTCGCGCGTGCTGGCCATGGTAAAGGCAGGCAAGAGTCGGGCCGCTGATGAAGTGTGGTTTATCTGCGCGTGGTAGTGTTTTATCGGTTCGAGGCAAGATGGGTTGGAGGGTGGGTGCAGCCTGAATGGGCCCAGAAACGCTTGGAGGGGTATGAAGTGGGATGGAACAGAAGGGGCAGAAATGGCACCACTTGTGTCCGCGAGCAGAGTCTAAGTCTAGGTAAGGTGAGCTTGATTGCGAAGATGCAGGCCTCGAATGGGCGTAGGACTCTACGTAAATGAAACACAATGTTGATAGTGAGAAACCGTATTGAGAATTAGGGGGGATGGCGGCTGTTTGTCTTGAGTTCGCTCCGTCTTTGACCCGCGTTGCTCGACGAGAGTGCCGGGTAGGCATGGAGCGCACCTTGCCGGCCGCTTGAGCCCGGCTTGTGCAGGCTGGGCGCTTCGGTCTCCAGCTCCTCGGGCTGATGTTCCAAGAAGAAAGCTTGGAACGGACACTTGTCATGCAGCCTGCCGGCGCACCATCGTCTCTCGGGCGATTAGTGGAGGCAAGCTTACAGCTCCTGCTGCCGTTGGATGGAGACGCCGGTTGCCCGTTTGCTGTGTAGAACTCCGGGCGAATTTTTGGGGAACGGTACGGTTTGCACCGCCGGACATTTTGCAGCATCGAAGACCCACCTGCTTGTGGTCTGTGCTTCGTTGGCGCGTCGTCTTGCCGCCTGGCTTCCCTGCCGACCAAGCTCGCCCCAAGCTTCGGAAGCCTTGTCATCATATCACATCACATCGAGCCAACAACTTCAAACAGTTCCTGGCGCAGCCTATCGTCCGCGCCGTCGTTTTTCGTACGGGTCTTCTCAACAGCAAGATTCTCGTGTGAGATACACTTTCGCACACCAGAGCAGTCAATACCTAAATTCATCGGCCGGGCCGTGGCACCGACACCATGGTACTGTTTGCCCTACAAAGTTTAGACCCCGAATTCCTCCTAATGAACCTCGCAGGGTCAGAATCAATCGGGAATGGGTGGGGGAAGGGAAGGGAAGGATGACAAGGACAAGAAGGTTTGGCTCCCCGGTCAATAGGAATGCCATGGATGGACTCCGCTATTGCGAATTGAGTTGCCACCGAAGCCAATGCTGACCGAGCATCATCACCGCGACAGAAGGAGAAGCCAAAGTATGAACCGCCCCCGAGACCTACGACTCGCATCGGCCGCAAGAAGAAGAAGGCCGGCGGCTCTAGCGCTGCCGCGAAGCTGCCTCCCGTCTACCCGACGAGCCGATGCAAACTCCGATTATTGCGCATGCAGCGCATCCACGATCACTTGCTGCTCGAGGAGGAGTACGTCGAGAATCAGGAGCGGCTTCGGAAGGCAAAAGCTGCGAAGGACAACGCAGCCCCAACCTCGGAACTGGATGCCGCCGACCGGATGGCCGACGAGCGCAGCCGTGTCGACGACATGCGAGGCAGCCCCATGGGCGTCGGCACCCTCGAGGAGATGATTGATGACGACCATGCCATCGTCTCCAGCACTACCGGCCCAGAGTACTACGTCAGCATCATGAGTTTTGTCGACAAGGATCTGCTGGAACCTGGTGCCAGCGTGCTGCTCCACCACAAGACCGTCAGCATTGTCGGCGTGCTCACGGACGATACGGATCCGCTTGTCAGCGTCATGAAGCTCGACAAGGCGCCTACAGAATCGTATGCGGATATCGGTGGTCTGGAGCAGCAAATCCAGGAGGTTCGCGAGTCGGTCGAGCTGCCCCTGCTGCATCCCGAGCTATACGAAGAGATGGGTATCAAACCGCCCAAGGGTGTTATCCTCTATGGTGCACCAGGTACCGGCAAGACCCTGCTGGCCAAGGCCGTGGCCAACCAGACTTCTGCAACCTTCTTGCGCATTGTCGGCAGTGAGCTGATCCAGAAGTATCTGGGTGACGGTCCGCGCTTGGTCCGACAGTTGTTCCAGGTAAGCTTCACGGCAATATTCGCTGTCAACTGGTACTGAATTCTCCGCAGGTCGCCGCTGAGAACGCCCCCTCCATCGTGTTTATTGACGAGATTGATGCCATTGGCACGAAGCGCTATGATTCCACCTCGGGCGGCGAGCGTGAAGTGCAGCGGACCATGCTGGAACTCCTCAACCAACTGGACGGGTTTGACGACCGCGGTGATGTCAAGGTTATCATGGCCACCAACAAGATCGAAACGCTGGATCCGGCCCTCATCCGACCAGGCCGCATCGACCGCAAAATTCTCTTTGAGAATCCGGACCAGAATACTAAGCGCAAGATATTCGCGCTGCACACCAGCAAGATGTCGCTCAATGAGGATGTTGATCTGGAAGAGTTCATTGCTCAAAAGGATGACCTGTCCGGCGCCGACATCAAAGCCATCTGCTCCGAGGCAGGTCTCATGGCTCTCCGGGAGCGCCGCATGCGTGTGCAGATGGCTGATTTCCGCGCTGCCAGGGAGCGGGTGCTGCGTACGAAGCAGGAGGGCGAGCCAGAGGGTCTCTACTTGTAACATCTTTGTATGTCGAGAAGTAGCTTGGCGACCAGCAGAATGGAAATAGACCAGCCTGCAGGCGGGGCCATTGCAAGATATCGGGACATGTTGCATCTATGCCTTGTCACAGTGCCTAGCCGTGAACCATGTCGATCGCATCTCAGCCACCCTAACTACAATGGAGAGAGAGCATGTAGTGTTGAGAATCCGTACAAAAAGCATACACGCAAATTATTGACAGATGACAATTGACAGGTGGCAAAAGCAAGTCCGAAATTCTTGTAACGCTTCCAGAAGCGAAGGATGATAAAAGGAAATGGGAACTGTGAGGCTCGAACTCACGACCTCAGGATATCCCGATCTTTGATCGGGTCACACAATTTGTATGAGACCTGCGCTCTTCCAACTGAGCCAAGCTCCCGTAATAGTAGAATTCGTCTGGCGAATCCGGTTGTCGTAACTGATTGACATAGAGTACAACGCCAGCCGATTGGGTTAGAGTCCCCGACTTGAGGAAGGTCGGTGTAATTTTTCCATCAAATCTTAATGGTTGGTGGATTTCGGAGTTTCCCCTTAATAGTAAGGGGGGGCCAGCTTTCAGGGGGAGCTAAGGAAAGATATCGTGCTCGACCGGGCATATATTTTTTGCAAAACTCTAACTAACGTTAACTAATCATTCATAATCTCAAGAAGGTCCTAAGTGCTGTCTTGTCAGCCAACATTCACTTCATTCGAGTCAAAAGCCTTCAAGTATGATTTCTTGGATTGAAGGACCAATCTACATAGGGCAAAACTCGAAAACCGTTCCCTTGAGCAAGGCGTCGATTTCGAGAACAGACTGTGAATTGGAAGTTGTCCGTATGGTTTAAGAGTCATTACAAATATACATGGACGCTACGATTGCTAGCTCTATCTATCACACATCCAACAATCGCCATGATGGGAGTGGAAGTGCGATTATCAAGGCGTCGCTGTCTGAATGTAGGAAGGTCCCACCAGCTTCAGATGCGGTTGAACTGTCTTTCCCAATCCAATCTGAACCTGACTATGCCTTCTCCGCAAGGCTGCCACTTGAAGTTGTCTAGATGACCAGGCCATGATATATTTTGAGCACTGAATGGAGCAAGCTTTCTGAATTAGCAAGTCTCTGCAAGTTACTGTCATTTTTTCGTTCTACTCAAGATTCAGCTCCGTGTCGCATTCGGGCTCGTTTCGCTCTGCCTGTACTTAATAAGGTATGGTCAAGTCCGGACAGTTGACTTGTGATTCTGCGCTATAAGATACGAAGAGACCACCTGGCCACCGAAGCAGCCACTGGCGTCACCGCTCGAAGGTTGAAGCCGATATTCAACCACGTCAGGTTACATTAGGTACTATACGTTACATGAGTAATTGGAACTAGGAAGACAGGCTGCATTGCCATTTGTAACGCCAGTCCCGAATCTCGGGCATATACGTAAGGGACTCGGAAGGCACAAGAGGTCCGCGTCTAGAAAGGTACTAGGTTTCCATTATTTTCGTTGATCCTAGTCGACGTCGGAGGAAAAGTTGTAGATCTGATCTGCATCATCGCGTGATGAAGACCTATTGAATCATTACTTGTTCTGGCTTGGAGATCACAGCGACACAACCAAGGCATGTATGTAGTTAGGTAAATCGTCTCGCCTAACAGCCATTCGTTCGCAAAATGGTTTGGCGGTCTCGAAGCCACAACAAGTAGAAAAGCTTGGTCTCCTGAGAACTTTGAACCGAAGCAGACTAGTTTAGCCAAGCTGAACCGTTAAACCTCTACTAAAAGCCATCCATCGCTTACAAGCTAGACTCCGTTTTTGACCATATTCTCACCATCAAACAACCATCGTCATGTCCGACACTCAGAACTCCAACCTCCCCAACATTATTGATCGGCACGTGTCACTGGTCTCTGGCTATCACTAAACAGATTTTGCTAGCAGCCCCTCCGCCAGTCTCAACGACGCAGTCCGTTATAACCCTTCGAGTCCCAGGGCGGTCAGGCCGCCAGTGGCGGTTCCACAACTGGCAGTACGAATCCCAACACGCAGACGCAGGTACGGTTTCCCTGATCCCTCGACATGCCACTCGAGACGTCAGCCCACTGATATAACCTAGCGTGACGATTCTTCCAAGGGTGGCGACGACCCAGATTGGTACAGCAAAGCTCTCAAAGAGGCAGCCAAGAGGGGGCTGCTCGCGTGCGCGCGGATGATGGGAGCTATTCACTCCGTACCGTTTAGGACAACGGGACTCTTTAACACCGCGCCCCCAAGATCCGAGCCAATCAATGCAAACCCAATAACCTATGTCTCACGGGCGCAGTCTAATCATCTGAGTTCCTACAAACATAATGTACGCCCTAGTGAACGAACTAGGACCGACCGACCAAGGTAGCGAAGGTCCGAGTAGTACCCGGTTATCCCGTGAGTTCCAGTCGTGAAGCCCTCGCAACAATTCGGATCACGAAACAAATGAAGTTCGTGAAACATGTCACGTAGCCATCAGCCAAGCGGCTAATATGGCGCGCTTTGGATCTCGCATCAAGATTGAGTTTGTTGTCGACCTCGCTTCTCGAACGAGAGTCCACGTCGAAGCTGCTCGGTTGGCCAGTTCCTTACGTGTACAACGTCTTAAGAGACACAGTACGTCATCGTATCCACCTCCCGGCTATGTGACGATCTGTTAACGCTGAGCTTGACGCGTCTCCGGGCAGGTCTGAACTAACGCGCCAGATCAGACCCAAAACCCGTACCTCATGTCCGGTCCGCGCCGCTCAAGAAAATGCCCCGGTCAAGATTATCGTCGCTTCCCAGGGCCAAGACAGCCACGAGGCACCCGACATGGCTTCACCAGCCCACCCGGGCTCATCCTTTCCATTCACAGCTAGCTGGCGCAAGTACAGATTATTGGTCATTTATTCAGCATGAGCGGGGCACTGGCCGAGGCACTCAGCGGTCATCTCGAGAGGCGTGACTCAACATCGCCCCTGCCCAACAACATCACGAAGCCGTATCCGCCAGAGCCGGGTATTGTTTGTTGGTTTGTGCTTTCGTCATCCCATGCAACCTCGGTCTCCATTGGTTGAACTCATGTATTTATGAGGTCCCATGCCTGGGACGCACAGTGAGTCAGATAGCCCTTGCCTATCCCCACCGTCCACGCAAATGAAGTCGATGCCCTGAACCGCCGCGCCAATCTAGAGTAAAATCGCATAAAGGACAAGGAGGTGTGCGAGTTGGCCACTATCTCTAGTAGCCGTAGGCCTTGAGAGCCTCGGTCGTCTTCGTGTCGACCTTCGCCGTCTTCTTCGCCTCGGAGAGCTGCCTCGCGGCCAGCTTCTTGCGCTCGTAGTAGGCAGCGCCCTTCGCCTTGCGCCTCTCCTCGAGCCTGTCACCCAGTCAGCATTGCGGCACGTTTGCGACCGCACGCGTAGCGCGGCCTCGAAAATTCCTTGTTGTTGCACGCACCTCTCAACAACATCCTGGTACTTCCAGCCCACCTCGTGGCTGAGACGGCCGACAGTGCAGTACTTGCGGCCGGGCTGCAGGCGGAGGACACGGAGAGCCTGGGGGACAACCATCTTCTTCTTCTTGTCGTACGGGGGAGGGACGCCCTCGAAGACCTTGAGGCGTTCAAGGGCGGCGGCACCGCGGGCGGTCTTGTGGGGGATCATGCCGCGGACGGCCTTGTAGAAGATCCGGGAGGGAGCGCGGAAGTGGAAGGGACCTGTAAGCTGTCAGGGTCGCGGGTCTATGAAACCGTCCGTCGCGGATGTTCGACTCACCGCCGCGGGTGGGGTTGTACCGGGTCATCTTGCGAAGGTAGGCGTGGTACTTGACTGCGGTCGACTGTCAGCATCTTGTCACCGTTTCCTCAGTATTGTTGTTCAGATATCCCAGTCCTCCAGTATGTCGCTCCAGGGCCTCCCCAACTGTGACTGCCATATCCTCTCCGATACCGAGCGATGAAAAGGCGGTACATACGCTTCGCACGGAAGAACTCGCCGGAGATGTTCAAAGCCTCGCAACGCACGACCACGATCTTCTGACCGTTGAGCAGCTGCTTGGCGACGATGCTGGCCAGGCGGCCAAGCAGGTGGCCCTTGCCATCGATCACGACCTGTTGCAGAGCCCTGTCAGCCTACTGCATTTCCGATCCCCACAGCTCCTCCCAGAATTCCATCGCCCAGTCGCCTCCGGCGCCGTGACTCGTTTCGTGTAGCTACGCGATCTGGGCGCGGCCGGCGTTGAGGGAGCTTGTGAAGGTGCGCCAATTGCGCAGGGCGGGGTTGTCAACATACCACAGACTCGAACGAAGACATTTTGCCGTGGTGACGTGGGCTAAAAGAAAGAAAGAAAAGGTTGATCAGTCAACTCCGGCTGATCGAGTAGCAGCTGGCTGCTTCCTTACCCTTGTGATGGTTGATGTCGGTCCTCGACTTTTTTGTGTGTGCTGAAAATTGGCCTTGTGCAGTCAGTCCGGCGAAAATGCGCTAGGCCGGATTCAGAGCTGGTGGAGTCTTCAGCCGAGCGCTGAATTGCTGCCTGAGGCAGATAAAATAGGGTTAGACCTATCTTGCCCAAGCCTCCACTTCCCCAGACCCATCAGCTGTCTTCTTGCGGCAGGCAAATAGCCGGCAACTTCATCCTTACGACACTACCTTATTGTCGACCTCATTGCATGCACGTTGACCGCTTAAGTTGTCCACCATGGAGTGCGGTCGCGTTAACGGCTCGGTCGCCTTGTCATGAGCTCGGCGAAAGAATAAGGTTTCCATGTCGTGTTGGTTATGTGAGAAGATTATGAGCGACCACCACGAGATTCCATCGGAATACCACATGGGATACCAGACATTTACCAAGAACCCCGTTTTCCACGCTCAACATGCCTGTTGATGCTAATGCCTCCATATGTGAAAAATCCCGAACCTACTTTGGCCATCTAGTGATGAAATAAACAGAACAAACCCAGTCCACGATGGCTGAAAAATGACATAATAGGCCGAAGAGCTGAAAAAGCAAGTTCCCCCTAGACAAAGAAAGGGGCTGGAACCCGAGGATGATGGGAAGTTGTAGAATTGTGTTGGTGCCAACTACTTGATCTTCATGGCTGCATCGATCTTGTTCAAGACGCTTTGAACTTCCACCACCAGCTCTTTCCTTCTTGCTCGTGCGCCTTCTTCTGCAGATGTCTCGATCGCGTCGAGCTTCAGCAATGTCTTTTGCATGACGGATTCGGAGAGCTTGCGATGCTCGTCGCCCCGTGTCTTGGCGTCCTTGGGTGGGTTGGCTGCGAACTCCAGGCACCGGGGTAGCCAGTCTCTCCTGAAGTCGGCGGCAATGGCGTTCACCTTTTCGATGGGGCCACCGGGAATGCCGACAGGTGCCGCGGCGGGCGCGCTGGCTGCAGAAACGGCAGACCCGGGTGACTGTGTACGGCGGACTCTCGATGCGGTTCTTCTCACGGTGTCGCCACCCGAAGACTCCTGGCCAACTTGCGAGCTGCTGTCCCGGGGACTCCGATCGTCCCACCTCCCCGACCTGCCAACCCTGGGCGAATAACTGGGCGAGTCTTCATGCCTCTCGTGCCTGTCTCTCCCGTCAACTCCAACAACTGAAATCTCCTCGCTGCTCTCGCCACTGCTTCCCTGATTGGGGTCTCCAAGGACCATGAGGAGCTCGCTGTTGTTTTTGACCCCGTACTCGCGGATTGGCACATCGGACTTCTTTAGACGGCGGCCCTTGTAGTAGAGCTTGATTCGCCTCGCCCGGCGGTCCGAGAGATCCATGATCATGGCGACACGCTCGCGCACGTCGCTGACCAGGAGTTTGGCGTCGCCGATGGAGTATGCTGGAAAGTGCTCCGGATACGTAACGCCCTGGTGCTTGATAAGCAAGACGTCATCTTCGGGCAGATGTCGGCCATACACCGGTGAAGGTGCGGAAGTGGAGTAGGAGTAGGAGCCGCTGATATGAGGATGGCTCTGGTATGACCGAGAAGGGACGTTGTAGCCGTGGTCTTCCAGCTCGGCAGAGGTAATGTAGCTGTAATCCTGCTCCGTCACATCCGGGACACCGTCCTGGGAGCTGAAGGGCGAGATGGCCCAGCGATTTGAGAAACCATAGCGGCCACCCATACTCCTTGCTTTCGTGTTGTTGGGTTTTTGTCCGTTGCGCGCTACGACGGCCGGAATGGCACCAAGCAACAATGCCGCACCGGCGGTGGTGTAGAGCACGATCGGCGAGAACCCGGTCTTTGATTGGAGGTAGTCGGTTGCACCAGTCAGCTGGTCAGCGGCAATCTCCAGGTACGGCTGCAACGATGCCGAAAAATGGGCCAGTGGTGAAGTAAGGTTGCCGACAAGACTTGCGAGCGAGGCACCTGGTGATGCCCAAACCCCCGAACCGGAAGCCACCTTGACGGTTTGTGTGTGGTCTTACGACAGGATGCCGTTGACCTGCTGAAGAAAGATAGAAGGGAGAAGGTGAACCCAGAGAACAGGATTATATCAACCTGCTCGTCGCCTGGTACGGTGAACACGGCGGCGTACGGGATCGTCAAGCTTGCTGGGCGGATGCATCAGTTGGAGGGAGGACGACTGGCAAGCCAAAGACCACGTTGACTGGAGGGCAGATCGCCCGGCAGATATCGCTATGCTGTGCTCACTCCAGAGCTCCGGAATTGGCAACGAAAAGACGCCTTCGTGACGATCGTCGGCTTGCCCTGGAAACAGCAGGTCACGCTGAGGTGCCGAGATGTGTCTTGAGAGGCTGATAAGGTTTGGTTGGGTGGCGGTCTGACAAGAGGTTCCATTCAGGGCTGCAGGGCAGTTACCAAAATTTCTAAGCTGCGACTCAGCGAACCTTGGTCCAAGACCCCGCTTTGATGCATCCAGAGCCCCGCTCAGCCGCCATTTCGTCTTATTTGAGGATTTGGAGTCGAGTCTTCAAAGTGCCATTGTTTTCTCAGTTACGGGACCGGCCTGGAATAAGTGTATTCCTAGCTGTCATAAGGGAGAGTGTATCGTGATGCTTTCAAGGGGTGAAGTTTGTCGACTCGAACTCATCGACGGACGTGAACTCGCTACCGGCTAGCTCGCAATACCTTGTCATAGAAGTTACCTTGCATGAGCTTTGGACCACCTGCCGGTTTATGCCCTGAAGTGCTGCTCGTTCAGCCCTCGTCTCAGCGCAACTGCAGGGTCTTCTTGGACGTTGATCATCTTGGCTGACTGACTGGAATCCCGCCAACGAGGCCAGGGGTGGACAATCATCTCTAGTCTCTGGTCGATCGGGTTTGCCTCTGGACATTCCACGCCTCAGCTTCGCGTCGGCGCATCCGACGATCAAAGCAACGTGCCTATGAGGTCATGCCTCTCTCCTTCTCAACACATGGCCAACCCAGTCTGAGAGGGATACCGAGCTCTGAATAGCCTCCCTTTTCCGGGTTACCCAAGGTCCACACATGACACAGTCCACCATTGCCATGCCTCACCTTGAGATCCCGGTGGAACATAGTAACTTATCAGCCTCTGGTCGCACGGACCACTTGCGTCATCGGGGTTCATGGTCTCACAAAGGGAAAGCCCAGGCGGATCACAAATCCATCGGCTTGGCAGGTTATCAAGTTTCATGACTCTTCAAAAGTCAAGACTGAAAGTTTAGTAATGAAATTTCGGAGCGGCTTCCGAGGGGGTTGACCTACTGTATCTTCGTGTTAAAAAGGAGCTAGCAAAACTCTGCCGCATTTGCTAAACCTCAAACTCTCCGTAGCTTGTGGAGCGATCGGTTATCGGCTATTCCCGCTTGACAAATCCGCTGCAAGTCGACATTCCGTCTGCAGTGTCGTTACCAACCCGTCTCGACGTGCAGTACGAGTTACAGTGTAGAGAAATAAGGCGATAAGAACCCACTTGCCCCTCATCTCGCCCTCTTTCTAGAACGCCGCCACCCCGCAACAAACCCATGTCCGTCATCTTTCGCAGACTGTTCGGTTCAGCCCCATCAGTCACCATGGAAGCAGCCCAGAAGAAAACCCAGCAGCTGATCGACGACAATGCTGTCAGTAAGTCAAATTTTGCGCTCTCAGTCGACGGCACGCTAGGCCCATGGCTAATGCTCTCCTCCGCCAGTGGTTTTCAGCAAGTCATACTGCCCTTACTGTAACAACACGAAGCGCATCCTTGACGGGCTGAACGCCAAGTACAAAGCCGTCGAGCTTAACGAGGAGGACGACGGCGACGACATTCAGAATGCGCTGCACAAGATGACGGGCCAGCGCACCGTCCCCAACATCTTCATCAACCGCGTCCACATCGGCGGCAACTCGGACCTCGAAGCGGTCGTTAAGAACGGCAAGAACGGCAAGAAGATCGAGGAGCTGCTGAAGGAGGCTGGCGCCCTCTAAGCAGGGGGCCGTGCTTGGAGTAGGGTACCCAAGAAGTATCATAGACGGCAATAGACGCAGCGAGGCCTGGTTAGGTGTACAGTTGTGTGTACAGTAGAGCAGAGGTCAATCGTAGCAACTTCACCAAATGCGCGGCCTGCTACCGTTTGTTGACATGTTCATTCGTACAACCAGAATACACGCGGCGCTGGGCACATCGATGGCGCCACGACCTATGCTTTCGCATCCACAACAGGCACGACCTGCGAAGCAACGGTGCCGACAGGCCGCTCCACAAACTCCATGATGCCTTCGACGATACTCTTCCTCGCCGGCTCGCTGGCGACCTTCTTTCCGGCCAGGTAGTTCAGCCACAGCGCCCTAGACAGCCTCTCGTCCTCCACAATCCCAATCAATTGCCTGCCCCCAAACCGGCCATCGTTTTTATACGACCCGCCATTATATGTAATACTTAACCGCCCCGTTTCATCCCTCACCAGCAGCAGCTCCTTCCGCTTGGGCACGCTGCCGCGGCTGAACACGGCCCTGAACTGCCGCATGGCCTCGCCAAAGGCATCGTCCGCCATGGTCTCGGCGCCGGCCCGCGCCTGCACGGCGCGCACGAAGCCGTCGCGCAGGTGGTGGAAATCGGTGTCGCGCACGGGAACGACGCGGAACGCGGACCGCGCGGGAACGCCCGCCGCCAGCAGCTCGTCCCAGGTGCGCTCCCCCTCGGCCGGGTCGAGCAGCGCGGCGCTCAGCTGCTCGCGCTCGCTCGGCACGAGGGTCGTGGCGATCGGGTTGACCTTCTTGGTGAGGGCGTTCTGGAGCGCGGCGATGTCCGATGTCGCGACGTAGTAGCCTACGACGTAAACTTGGAGGTTGAGGAATGTGACTGTGCGCAGGCCGAGGCCGACGAGGGTGTATTCGGTCGTGCCCGATGGGGTGGTTATCGTTTGTGTTGTGGTGAGGGCATGGGGCGAGGTCGGGGAGGGGGTGGTTATCGGGCTCGTGTAGGACGGTAGGTTGAGGGTGCGAGGAAAGGTTGGGACTGTGCTGTTGCCCGTCGGCACAATCTCGCGGCCTTCCTCGTCGTGGACAATTACTTTGCGGTCTGCTGCGCTAGGCGCAAGAAGCGGGTCTGAAGAGGGGAGGCTGGTGTCGAGCTTTGCGGGGTTGGACAATGCGACTTTAAGTTTCCAGGCCGTGTAGATGGAGGAGATGACGCCGGCCACGACCCCGGACCAAAGGAAAATGCGCCGGTTGCGGTGATACTCCTCCGACTGTTGTGACAGACGCCGGAGATTCAGGTTTTCAACGGCCCGTCCTGAGCTCCTTTCGCTCCGACGGGAGAATAACGTCCGACGGGGGACTTGAACTCGCAAGGAGTTGGCCGCTGTTGGAGGCCGGGCGAGCTGGCGAACTGTCGAGTGTCGGAACATGGTGTTTTCGTCTCTTCTGTACTCTCTTCTTTTCGTCTGTCCTTCTCTATTTCAACTTAATCCGTTCTTCATGTTATTAGTCGTAGTGTTGCTGAATCGCCCGCTAGCGGCGCGGGATGTCAGTCGGCGTTGTAGAGGTTTCGTGCTTCGATTTCAGATTCCGGTTGATGCCGCCGCCAAAACTGACATCTGCTGCCAAGCCTTTGGTTCGTCATCCTTAGGCGCACTTAGCGCACGTGCCCAAGGAACAGCCGTCGAGGTTCGATGGACATTTCCATTTGGAGATCCCGGTTCTTCATTCGCCATTTTCATTTCCTAGCCTTGGTTCTGGTTTTGTATTCGCGCCCCTTGAAAGTTGTACGGGCGGTTGCCTATGGTAAGGTAGCGGGGACACAAATCGATCCTCCGTGCAGGAACGGCCAACCCGGTTAGTTTGCCGTCATTGCTAGCAATGCCGCTTTTGTCATCTTCTAAATTCTCGGCCCTACCGCTGCTCCGGTCACGAGCCTTGGTTCGGCCTTGAGTCTCATCCTAATACCACTTATTTACCGCAGAGCCCGGCCAAGTTTCCTTTATGTCAGCCTTTTGCCTTGCTGGCAACCTGGAACCATCTTCTGTGGCAACTTTAAACAAGCAAGTTGAGCGCATCCGGGGGAATGCAAAGCAGCTACTCAGTAGCTTTGTGCGAGTTGAACCGAAGCGGCTGTACACAGCGATCGGAGAATCAAACGCCCGACGTCCGTCCATGAGATTTTGTCGCTCACGTTTCTTGAGACAGACAACCTTTACATGCACCGCGCGGCGGTCAGATATGCGTATCCCGTGGTGTGGATGAAGGAACGCAACTCCCGGCTTCGCCGCCTATTTGTGTTTGGTAATCCGTAAACCACTCAGAGTACTAGTAAGGTAGTGATTCATAGGAGCACCAGCGGGTTTAGCACGCCCCAACAGTGCTCAACAAGGCAGAAACCGAGCTCGGAAACCAGACGTCCTTCAGGGAAGGGGGTTTCTGAGAACGGGCTGTTGCAAGACTGTTTTGGTTGGAATTGACTGCTGGTAGCGGGAAGTGATTGAACATGGGCCTAACAGACTGAAAACAAGATGTTTTACCAACATTCCAAAACTGCGTTCCCAGACTGTTCAACTGATAGTACTTTAATACGAGAACAGGTGTTTTTCGGCAGGTTCAGACTTGCCAAGGCTAACAATCTATTTCGTAAATGATAGAGTATCTGGGCCTCAACAACTGCTACACCCTGAGCGTAGGTAGGTATATAGACAGCGACTTCCAACCTCACCTTCACGCATCGTCTTCCGTGATTCTAGCGTAATGCGCTTCTTTTGTTGACTTTCGTGAGGTGTCTAGTTTAATTCCTAATTGTTCTTCTCTTTACAATTCTAAAACGTAAGGAAAGAAAAGAGGGGGTAACAAATACCTCCTAGGAATTGTAGGACATAACCCTAGCCCTGATTTCTGCCCTCAAAATACAGCCTTACCAACAATATTTTTTCAGGCGAACAGCTTATTTTTAGAACAGCGTTGTATACTATGTTGCGAAGACACTCTGTTATAACATTTTCATCTTGCGTATCTACTCAACGTTACGCTCAAGTGGTTGGGGCAAACCTGTTCCCACTGACAGCCTGTTCCACACCTGTAACGCTTGCCAGTAGCTTCTCTCAGAAACCCTAGTCCCTCGTGGGGTACTTGCTTATACTTTAGGTTCCTCAGTAATTGAGATTTATTCCTTTAACAGTTTGCCACATCATGGCAACCTAAGGCATAGACAACCACTTGGAAAGGGGAATACAGCACTGCGCATCAGCCTTCAATTCGAGGAACAGCGAGCTGTGAAGGTTCCATTGGATCGCTTCATGATTGCAGAGGGTGCAGTGACCGGCAGGAGGGCTGCTCAACAGCGCCCCGCTCGCCTCGTCCCCAGTGCACGCCTTGCGCAGCCAGCCAATTCCTCTCCCGTCGTTTTGCCAAGCTGTGTTTCCCTACCACAATAAACCTACCAGCGCACCCTACCTAGCACACCTTGGCTTCGTTAGTTCATACAAGTTGGGCGCTTGCAGCGACGCACATACCTTCCCCGAAGTGCTACTTGTTTCCCCTTGCTCTCCTTGCATTGAGCTGGCGTCTGTTTCATGACCGCGCTTGAGATAATTCCGATCACCCTGAACGTGCACCGAAGCTCCCCTTGTGACTTGCCGGTTCTGGACGCTGTCCTGTGCCTCCTGCCAGCCGAGCCAGCCGCTGTCAGCAGCCAGACTATTCTGGGCCAGGGCAACCCACTCTGCTCACCTGCCGCTTGGTCAGACTCACAATCGACGGCCCCTTGTCGCACCAACGAACGCTCCACATCCCACCTCAAACCACCATCCTTTCGATCTGCCCTCATCAACACCGTTCCCACAACACTCCAACAGCCCGCGTGCTGCGCTGCGGGACTGACACAGCAAAGATGGCGAGGCAAGCACATTCTATCGGTATCATGGCCGGTGTGATCGATGATGCCCAGTTCGAGAGCCTGCCGCTCGCCCGACCGGTTGTCGAAGACTCTCGCTCAACATCATCGTCGAGCTCACCCGTCCCACCCGACAACGAAGAGTCCGACTTCTTCCTCGCCGCCAACGACTCACAGACTTCGCTGGGGGTACCGAATATTCAAGACATGCAAGTCAACGACGACGAGTGCCTGCCTCCTATACAGCGCCTGCCGAACGAGATCTTGATCGCCGTCTTCGCCAAGCTCAGCAGCTCATCAGATCTCCTACATGTTATGTTGACGTGCAAGCGGTGGGCACGCAATGCGGTTGATATCATGTGGCACCGCCCTTCGTGCTCAACATGGGAAAAACATCAATCTATCTGCAAAACCCTCGCCCTCGAGAATCCCTACTTCTCCTACCGAGACTTCGTCAGACGCTTGAACTTGGCTGCCCTCGCTGCTAAGGTCAACGATGGAAGCGTCATGCCCTTGGCTGAATGCAAACGGATCGAGCGACTGACCCTCACTGGGTGCACCAATCTGACGGATTCCGGACTTATCGCCCTCGTCTCTAACAACAGCCATCTGTATTCGCTCGACGTTTCTCTACCCCCGCCATCAACCGAAAACCCGGCTGTTGACCACATTACCGACGCGTCCATCAACGCCATCACAGACAATTGTCCGCGACTGCAAGGACTGAACATCTCCGGTTGCCAGCGCATCTCCAACGAGAGCCTGGTTCGGCTTGCCCAACGATGCAGGTACATCAAGAGGGTAGGTTGCCGTTTCTCAGCTTACCTGGTGTGGAGGAAGAGATGCTAACGCTTTGATACAGCTCAAGTTGAATGACTGTGTCCAGCTTCAGGACAGTGCTGTTCTCGCTTTCGCCGAACATTGCCCGAATATTCTCGAGATCGACCTGCAGCAGTGTCGGCTCATCGGCAATGAACCGGTTACTGCGCTCTTCACACAAGGCCACGCGTTGCGTGAACTTCGCCTTACTAACTGCGAAATGATTGACGACTCCGCTTTCCTTTCGCTTCCGCCTCACAGGGTGTATGAGCATTTGCGCATTCTCGACCTCAGCTGTTGCCCGGGCATCACAGACCGCGCTATCGAGAAGATTATTGACGTCGCGCCACGGCTTCGGAACCTCGTGCTGCAAAAATGCCGCAACCTGACAGACGCGGCTGTCTACGCCATCTCCCGTCTCGGAAAGAATTTGCACTATCTTCACCTGGGCCACTGCAACCACATCACGGATGATGGCGTCAAGCGCCTCGTCTCGATGTGCAACCGCATCCGCTACATTGACCTTGGCTGCTGCGTAAACCTGACGGACGACTCAGTGACGAAGCTTGCCAACCTTCCCAAGCTCAAGAGAATTGGGCTTGTGAAGTGTGCAAGCATTACAGATGCTAGTGTCATCGCCCTGGCAAACGCGAACCGCCGGCCTAGGATGCGCAGGGATGCCCATGGCAATCTGATACCGGGTGAATATAGCACCAGCCAGAGCTGCTTGGAGAGAGTGCACCTGAGTTACTGCACCAATCTCACCCAGACGGTATGAACCATCGTAGCTTTATCGAATTCCAGTCTCTCGTCCCTTACTGACCCCTTGGCCAAGAGCATCATTCGGCTTCTCAACTGCTGCCCTCGCCTGACACACCTTAGCTTAACTGGAGTCCAAGCCTTTCTGAGAGACGATCTGGAGAGTTTCTCCCGACCCGCGCCCAACGGTAAGGATTGCTCCCCTGCTACTCCAAGAGTAGAGTCCACTAACCATGGCTTTGCAGAATTCACGGAACACCAACGGTCGGTCTTCTGCGTCTTTTCTGGTCAAGGGGTTGTCAACTTGCGAAAGCACTTCAACCGCCTCATCGCGGCAGAGGAAGCGCGGCGCCGGGCTCCTATCCCCGTGTCGGAGACCCCGATTTTCGCTGCGACAGCTGGACCATCTCAGCCGTTGCCAGCCCTGCAAACCATTGACGCCGGGTTCGACGATGGAGAGCCCGACGCAATAGATGACGAAGACATTCTCGACGATGGCTCCGAGATGGTTATTGACACGCAACCGCTGCTCAACCACCCGAACACAGGACTTCCCTTTGACCCGGCAACACTGGCAAATCTACCACAGCACCCTGGCCGACCCGCGAGCCCAAACAGCCCGTTTGCCTATGTGGCTGGTCATTCACCATATGCCCCAGTAACCTTCTTACCCCGCACTATACCTGGAACGCACATCACGCCCGTACCGCTTTACATTCCGCCGACAGGCCAAGTAGGAAGCGTCGGTAATGGGAGCGCCAGTCAGCCACCCGCTAACGCCACCATTTCGAGCGGGACCTCGTCAAACACAACGGCGCGGGTTGATATTCCAAACAACCAGAACGATCCGTCGATCGCTCACTCTCTGATGGGCGGTATGGGCCAAGTTGCCCCGAATGGCGAGCTTCAGCATGATCAGGCACACGAGCCGCCTGCTGCTGGCGGTTCTGGCGGGGTTTGAGGGGAATATCACCTTACTGCACGACGAGTTTGTCGGCATGGCTTTCTATTTTGCCGTCTAGGGAAGGCAAATCGGGAATGGGAACTGGACAAGGAATATGGATACCCCGGCATCAAGCCACGCTTCATTGGCACAAAGTGGATGGAGGCTGTAATTGCCTGCTATTTCCTAATCCGGCTTGATTATACCATGGTTTAGAGCTGCAGTGTTTTCCAAGATGATGATGGTGATGGCCCCGGTTTTTTGCGGACAAGTTCGATATGGGTCGGAGTTCTCGGTTGCGGTTCACACCGCCTGGCTCTGTCTGGAAGATGTTAAGGCTGGGATCATAAGATGCATTATTCCGTTGTCTCTTAAAACCTTATCTCTTTTATTATTGGGGTCTGGTGTCCCGAGAATTGCTGGTAATATCTGCCACCCGCACAGTGCGCTCCATGTTGCCTTGATGTATGTGACATGGATTCGCATTTCGCTGGGAAAGGAATCATGATCGCTGCCACTGGTGCATGTGAAGGGGCAATAGGGGCGCACCGGTTGAAGGCTCGTGGTAGGATGACATGGATGCCTTGGGATTGGGAATGGAACAGTTTTGTTGGCATGCCTCCCTTATTTTCATCCACCGTATCATGATGCCCAAGATATTTAGTTCATGGTTGAGAGATCAATTCAGCTGGAACGCACCTGTTGGGACAGTTAATGACCTCACTGTTGATCAGATAGAACATCCTCGCCAACGGTCCCTTGATTCTACGATACCCCCTAGCAGATACATTCAACAAGAGCCCACCAGAGCCTTATATCATCGCCGCCTCTGAATCGTGCCAGCGGTTGTGCTCAGGAAAGTACTGGTTTCCCCGAGAATCCAAAAGGGGCCGCTCCCACCAGGCTCCTGTCATCCATATCGCGAGTCGACGAGCATCTCGTTGATGGCCTCCAAGACGTCCAACCGAAACGCGGCGACTTCGTCGTCCTTGAAGCGGAGCGTGCCCTGGCCGTTGACCTGCTCCTAGTGTCGCGATAGAGGTACTTGCCCAGGAACCAGCGGATGGGGAATGGAATTCTAAACATCGTGTCACGAGTCGCGGTGTAGTTGTTGATTCATAGCTCGCGAACTTGGAACCGGCGGTTAGTGACGTCTGCCATGCGTGGATCCATGACAAATGCCCACGATGTAGAAGTACAGCTTTTCCTCCAACAGGGCCCTCACAACCAGATCCTATGCCCAATCTGTCGGCGACAAAGTCCGCGTTCAGATCCTCCAGGAAACTGTACTCGATGAACTTGCGAGTGATCAGCGTTGAGTCGGCCAGTAAAAGCGTGCCTGCGAGGTGGCATTGCCAGCCCGGCCGTCGGTGATCTCAAGCTTGACGTAGGGTATCTTCTTTCTCGATCCTTTGAGAACATGCCCTTCCTCGACGTGGTAGTGAACGCTGCCGATGCGGAGACGGAGTTCAAGCTTGTTGACAAAGGGCGAAGGGGTGTAGCTTGCCTCAACAGGGAAGCCGCGGAAGATACTGATGGCATGGGCAGGGGGTAGCCTGCGGCCGCCCATGGTGGGCTTGTGTGTCCGCCGGTATTGTTACTTGTTATTGCGTGTGGGTTCAAGGCCGGATAAGTGATGCAGGTGAAGATCGAATGTCGAGAGTTACTAGGGGGGACCGGTGTGTTGGGCAATGTCTGGCACGGTAGACCTTCTGAGACTCGATTGACTGGATTGGGAAGAAGGACCAGAAGGTGAGAGGCCTACTGGCTAGAGTAAGAAGGAATCTACCTGAGGCATCTCGTCCTGGTTCGGTTTCGTCCTTCCAGTTTCAATCGCAAGTGTGATTCAGACGGTCGTAAGTACGGCACGCACTTTGGATACGTTAATATCCTGTAGGCATCTCAACCGGCTCGTAACCACCCACAGTACTCCGTAGGACTGATTTTGCACCTCAGTCATCTGGCGGTGTCCAATTACCCCGGATATGTACTGTAATGTGTTGCTGCTTTTGGCAAGTGGTCCTCAGACCCATTGGCTCGGACTTGCTCCCTGGTTTTGGACGTCCCTTGTCGTCTTCTATCTTCGGGAGGCTGAAGATAAGAAAAGAGCCCTCGTGTGACGTGGAACCTCATGTTGGCCGTACCTCAGCTGCGCATTCCCTTTTCAAGCTTCTTATTCTTGTGCAACGCGTGCTTAGGGCAGCAAAAAGCCAATCTCCCGACGACTTGGTGCCCGGTCTCTTTTCACTTCGTGGCTGTTTATACCAGAGATACGGTGTTTGTCCCGTTGCTTGTCCTCTTCCTGCCTCTATTGAATCACTCACGGTCTTCCTTTTTTTTCCATCATGGGATGGATGAGATCAAGGGTAGGGCACATCACGCCCTGCTACGGATTGAAGGGCTGGAACTCGGAAGGGCATGCCCTACGGCCAAGCCGACGAATCTTGCAGAGCGCAGCTGGTCAACATAGACAACTTGTGCTCGAAGATATACTGTAGTGATTTTGATATTATACTCAACGGTATGAATGGTTGCTTCTGTTTAATTAGAACAGGGCCACAGCGTTGGGCGGCGAGGCCACAAGGCCAGGGTGGTTCAGGGGCACCGACGTAAGAAGGAAACTGTATCTGCCAGTCTTCTTGGAGTACTCGCTGAGGGCTTTGAGATCCCAGAGCTCGCCGATGGGCATGCCGAACTGGTTGAGAAACCAGGGGTGCAGGACTGTAATTGTTAGTAGTCCACCCCGCTGAGTATTTGTTCTATCGATTCAAGGGCTCACCCAGATCTGAAATTGCACCGGGAGTGCCATCAGGCTTGTGCGCGGGGAGCGCCTCAAAACCATGAGCGTCGCCGGCCACGGCGGCAAACCGATGGTTCCACACCCACCGCGCTGTGTCCACGCTTCCGTGCACACCGGACAGCGTGAGAGCCTGAAGCTTGGCAAAGTCCTCGGGTGTCGGGGCCTCGAGCATCTCGGTGTAGCCCGTGCGGATGATCAGAATGTCGCCGTGCTTGAACTCGACGCCCTGGTGCTTGGCCACTTTCTCAATTTCTTCGGGCATGATCCGATACCCGTCGAGCGGGTGGTACGGCGTGCCCGTCGTCTCCTCGTGGTACCGCTTCCAGTCGATCAGGACACCCCGGCCGACTAGGGCGCCCCGTGAGTGCCAGTGCTCGATGGTCGGCAGCTCGTTCTCGGCCGTCGACTGCACCGAGAGACCCTCCTTGGTCGGCCTCAGGCCGTTGTAGGTGGTACCGTCAGTGGTGAAGTGGCAGAGGCTGTCCCACTGGCTGCTGAACTGCGTGTTGAAGTCGAGCTCGTCATCCCAGCCTTCGCAGTCCATGCCCATGTCCCTCAGCGGCTGGGGCCGGTGGACCGGAGGCTTGCGGCCCGGCAGGGGAAATTTGATGCCATTCAGCGGCCAGCTGGGTTTGCGCGTGAGCTATTGTTGTCCTTATTTACCACGTGGGCACTCTCTTGGAACTACCTACTTGAGAGAAATGGAAACGCCGTCCTTGACCTCCGCAGCAGCTGCGGCGACGATCTGGGGTGTGAGGAAGTTCAAGGTGCCAAAGACATCCTTCTTGCCGTCTTTATCAAAGACGCCCCAGGCACAACCTTGAGGCTGCCCATCGACCTTAGGCAAGTCGTCAAAGTCTGGGACTGAACTGGGATCCATCGTTGGTGGGTGGGTGCTTGAGAGCCTTAATGTCGATCAAGAGCGTGATCTTGAAAAAGTAAGTTGAGCCTTTAGGTTGTCCCACTCATGTTCAGATAGAGAAGCCTAAGTCAAAGACATGGAAACATCCCGGGGCAGACATCCGAGTCCAGCTGTATTTCAATGCCAGCTGCATTGCGGGTGGGGAGTAGTTCTTCGATGAACTGCTGTTTGTGGCATGATAGTCGGATGCTACCATCATCCGCTCGTGCAACAAGGATACCGGTGCCGATAGAGCGGAGACGTGTCGGTAATGCCGAATGCGTGGCAGTCATACATCCGTACTGCCGCGATTAAAGTCCCAGAAAGTTTACAACAGAGGAGTGCGCATGCAGGGAACTTCGTCAGGTTCCCGATCTGACCTAGTGTGCGGAGATTGGTCGGATGGGGTGGAGCCGAAGTGGATCCTTACGATGTCGATTGATCACCCGCAAGCACTCAAGGCAGCTCCCGTTGACACTTGCAAAGGGTACCGGCTTCCTAAGAGAATCCCTTCTGACATCAACAAGCTTCAACAACAATGGAGTCGTCGGCATGTCCCCAGTGAGCTCAATTAACTTGGTACGGCTTGGGGGGAGCCGGGAACACAGTTGCCATCGATCGGCCGCCGTTTGCCCCTCGGTTACATTCAAACCGAACTCCTTGTCCCCCGCTTGCCTCCTGCATACTTTGCGGTGCAGGATTGTGTAGTGCCACAGCTCGTCCCGCCTATTGGGATCCAGTGTTAATGCAATTCTACGCCGGTGCTCTGGCGATGCGGGAACGAATACGACAAGATGAATCGCTTTCGCTTTTGAAGCCTGGACCCATTCCGTGTCGATCTTCTTTCCCGGCCGGGATCCTCATGCGAATTCAGCAAGTCAAGAGCCAAATCCAGCCGCAACCAGAGTCGAGCCCGATATGATATAAGTCGTCTCATTGTCATGTTCCATACGGCGCTGAAACAATCTCACCCTTTCCCCCTCAACCATTCCGACCAAAATGACCGGATCGACTGAAGCCACCAACGGCAACAGCGCCGCTCCCAGTGAAGAGAACCTCAAGCTGTTTGAGCTCTCCCACAAGTACAGCACCGAAGCAGCCAAACGTCTACGTGCCGACGGACTGGGCCAGTTTGTCCGACTCAAGGAGGCCGGCAGCGAGCGATTCCGGTCTCTCGCCGAGGACCCGTGGGCGGACCATGCTGCACTAAACGCCAAAGAACCAGTCAAAGACGGAGCCAAGCACAAGTTCCTGATTCTCGGCGCCGGATACGGCGGCCTCCTCTTTGCCGTCCGCCTGCTTGAGGCCGGCCTCGCTAGCGGATCCGATGACATTCTGCTCGTCGACGCCGCGGGCGGGTTCGGCGGCACCTGGTGGTGGAACCGGTACCCGGGCTTACACTGCGACATCGAGAGCTACACGTACATGCCCCTGCTCGAGGAGACCGGCTACATGCCCAAGAGCAAGTATGCCCCGGGGCCCGAACTGCTGGAGCATGCCGAGCGCATTGCGTCGCAGTGGAAACTGCAGGACAGAGCTCTCTTCCGGGCGAATGTGAAGAGAACCAGCTGGGACGACGGCGCGCAATTGTGGAATGTCGAGCTTGCCGAGGGTCGAGGTCCCGGGGAGCCCCGCCGCGAGCTCAAGTTGCGGGCTCAATATGTCTTGATCGCATCCGGCATCCTTACCAACCCCCATATTCCCAAGATCCTTGGGCTCGAGACCTTCGCCGGACCGCTGTTTCACACAGCTCGCTGGGACTATAAGGTCACGGGCGGTAGTCCCGAAGATGCCACGCTTACGGGGCTTGAGGGTAAACGGGTAGGCATTCTCGGCACCGGCGCGACCGCCATTCAGGTGGTGCCCAAGGTCGCCAAGTATGCAAAGGAGCTGTTTGTGTTCCAGCGGACACCGTCGGCCGTGTCGTGGCGCGGCCAGCGTCCGACGGACTCTGAGGAATGGTGAGTCTTCGTACTCGCAAGTCCTAACTTTGTGTCGCGCGTCTCCTGACGTCAAGACACAGGAAATCAAAGATTGCCAACAAGAAGGGTTGGCAGCGCGAGCGCATGTTGAACCTTGACTCGTACCTGACCGACGCCGTTGAGGAGGGCCAAGAGGACCTGGTCGCCGACGGATGGACCGAGATGCCCGCTTTCTCTGCTGTCCTCGGCTCTCCCAGGTACGGCATCGTTGAGCCGACTCCCGAGAAGATTGCCCAGCACGTCGCGAGGTTGCACAAACTCGATGTTCCCCATAGCGAGCAGGTCCGCGCGCGGACCGAGAGCATCGTTAAAGACCGCGAGACAGCGGAAAAGCTGAAGGCGTGGTACCCGACCTGGTATGTGTTATTCGAGCTCGTTCAGCGCTGGGGCTTGAGAATCATGTCTGACTGGAGTGATCAGGTGCAAGCGTCCCACCTTCAGCGACGAGTACCTTCAAGCCTTCAACCTGCCGAACGTGCACCTCGTCGACACGGATGGCAAGGGCGTCGACTCGGCAACATCAGCCGGCCTAGTCGTCGCCGGCAAGGAGTACCCCCTCGACGTCCTCATTCTCAGCACGGGGTACGTGACCCCGGCTATTGGCGGTGGCAGCCCGGCGGTACGCACCGGCATCTCCATTTACGGTCGGGGAGGCCAGTCGCTGGACGACAAATGGCAGAACCAGGGCGCGGCGACTCTCCACGGGGTATGTACCAACGGGTTCCCCAACCTCTTCTTCGCGCCGCTGTCGCAGTCGGCGCAGGCCGCCAACAACGTCTTTACGCTCGACATCGGCGCCGAGCACATTGCGCACATCATCGCGCAGGCCGAAGCCCGGGCGGAGCCGAGCGGCGCCGTCATCGAGGTGTCGAGCGAGGCCGAGGAGGGCTGGTCGCTTCAGATCATGCAGCACGCCGGCTGGTTCGCGAGCGTCATGGGCTGCACCCCGGGCTACATCACGTCGGAGGGCGAGGCGTTGAGGCAGTCTCAGGACCCGATGGAGATGGCTAAGAAGGCACGAAGCGGCAACTGGAGTAAAGGGATGGCGGCGTTCTTGAAGGTCCTCCAGGACTATCGGGCTGACGGGTCGCTTCGGGGGATTGAAGTGACGTCGAGGGCTGCTTAGATGTATTACTGGGCTTGAGTTAGGTTCTTCTCGATGCCAACACTCTATTGGAAAGTGAGCAACCGACTTGTTATTCACCGAACCTTGATGCAACCGCGAAGCTCAGCTTGGCAGTTTGAGGTACTCGCCAGTCTACTCCATACTCCGTATCCGTGGATGAGGTCCTGAAACGTGGTACCCGGGGCGACCGCTTCCCTCACACTGCCAACAGGGGTGAGCCGGTGCGGGCTGAGCTGCTAACATGCTAGCCTGTTAGCTTGTACATCCTTGTCTGTCAGATGGGGCCCAAATACACGATCTGAACATGGCTGTGCCGCTCGAATTGGTTCTTTTCCCTAAACAAAAACTTTACAACCAGACGACAACTTGGAGGTGACTGAGGTGTTGATCTAGCGACCGCGTTTGCAATGCGCCTGTTCTACGCCGCCGCCGCGGCCCTTGTTGCCTCCCGACGGCTCTCTCGTTCATGGAGTTTCTCAAGCCTCCAGCATTCTCTGGCTCGGTAGATGCCAGCAGGAAACGCCGTCCTCCTCATCGGCATGACGGTCGACTTTGAGTGGGCGCCCGCACAGGACGGCAAGAAGCTGTCGGTGGTTCTCTACCAGCCCAATGCTACCAGGGCCGCGCACTTTGAAGGCCAATCTCACTTCACCGAGGGCCCCTTTGAGTTCAGCACCGTAAGAGAGAGACCATCTGGGAGGGAAGAGGAGAGCGTAGCGCGGCTGATGGATCTCTCTCTCCGCAGATGATCCAGTAGGCGCCACGGACTTCTCCTGGATTGCGGGGACGACCAAAGACCTCGGCGCTTCGTCCATGTTTGCCATCGATCGCCGCCTGGGAGGAGGGCGCGGCGGTGACTGACTCAGCAACCAACGTCTTGAACATCGCGCGGGCCGTGGCCGAGACGACGTCTACCTCTACATCGGCGGCCGCATCATCAGCCACCTCATCCTCGTCCGCATCGACATCCACATCCGCGTCGCCACTGTCATCCACCGCGCCAAGCACCACGATCACCGCTCCAGCTTCTGACGTCAGTCAGACTGCTGCCGTAGGCCTGTCAACGGGGGCGGCCGCCGGTGTGGGCATCGGAGCCGCCTTCGGCGTGGTACTCCTCGTCGGTGTGGGATGGTACTACGCTCGCTGCCGGGGCAAGAGGCGGCAGTCCATGGATTCGGATATCGTTGAGAACGCGACGCCACCAGCCGAGCTGCCGGAGACATACTACTACAGCGGATGACCCGCTGCGCCCCATCTTAATGCCAAGTAGCCGGCTTTTGAGGCGCCTTGTGCAGGTAGCGAACGATACGAGCTCTCATGAGGGGACGAACTAAGGTAACTAAGGATTCTGGCTGTTCTGCGTCTTTTAGTACTACTCGGCTATACTCCAAACATTGTGTGTGTGTGTGCATACAACATCACAGAAGGATTCCGTCACCCAGAAATTACTGGGGAACGATGTGTTTCAGCAAGCGAACTCAGCCACTTGTTCTGTAATGCGTTACAAGTCCGTCTCACCCCGTACTAGCTCATGTCCTTTTCCACTTCCAGAAAGCCCGGCATGGACTGGGAGCAGGCGAGTGTCGCGAGGTTCGTGGCTGTATTGGAACTAGTCGGGGGCGATGAAGAGGGAGAGGAGGATGTCGCGCCTTTGGGCGAGGAGAGGGCTGCGGTCGGGGGTGGTCGCCCTCTCGGGGATGGGTATGATTCAGTAGTTGTAGTAATAGCGATGATCATGGTAAGCTATTATGTGCTAGCTGGTTGGGCAAAACCTCATCAAATAGAAGTGGGTTTGATGGGACGCATGTTGAGATGGAACAGAGGGGGGGATTGGGGTGGTTTGCATAAGCTGCGACTACGAGGTCATACTACCTTAGCTACTTAGGTATGTAGGGCTTGTGGGTTGCTGAATTGGAGACGACTCACGGATAACAATAGGTATCAGTATAATCTTCATACTTATGCCGAGTGTGCCCCTTACAACGCTACACGGACAATCGATACGATCATGGACGGCTAACACTCCCGCGACCAGGTTGCACCCCATACGAGAGAATCTTGCATGAGGGATCAAAACACCGTTGGTAACAACAATAGGGACTGCCGGAGCACGGCAGACCGTATCGCCGTCGTAGCCTGCACGTGGCTCCCCAAGAACGGGTGTGGCTGCAATTTATGTATCGGTAAATCCTTCTGCTCTCCCATGTTCGATATTCGTACATCTGACTGCCGGATTTGACGGGATACCTTACATGAATTCACCCTGGCAACTCTAAAGGGCTCTCTATTTCCTCCCAGCTCTCTGCTTTTTCCACTTTGGTTCGAATTTAGGATTAGGAGTGCCGCTCTAAACCAGAAGTATGGCTCCGGCCGAGCAGCGAATCAGGACAAGGAGGTATGCTGGCCGCGGGATAGTACAGGTAGTATACATGGGAGTACAGCTGGTAAATTCATAGGCCAATGTCAGCTACCGCTTCTCAAGGTCGACGGAACATCACGGCCAAGAAGGGGACTAACTGGTCTCTTCCAAAGTTCGAAGGTTCGGTGAATATGAGTTGTAGTCGGGCTGCGCTTGTCCCGGTATAGGGGGCCGAAATCACCGGCGTCTTCTTTCATGACGTCGAATCAATGACTTCTGTCATTGGGCGTCTAAGGCTACCGATAGGTATGATAACCCAGGGTTAGGAAGGCTAGACTGGTGTTGACCACGGAAACCGTGACGGGTGGAGGATGATGGCGCAAGGTAGAGGTCTCATCTGATGTCCTTTTCCGTGGGGGAAGCAGGCCGGTCTGTCTCGTCTGGGAAAATAGAAAGGTAGGCAGATGGGACGCTAATGGTGGATAAAGTCGGGGCGCGCGAGGTACTCAGGACCAACTCTGGTAAGCAGGGAGAAGGCGTGGAGGCCCTTGGGGTAAATTCCTTGGTGTCCAATGGCTCGAAGCCGATTGGGCTCAGGGGCAAGGCCTGGGGGTTCCACGTGGACGTGGAGGGATGGCTGGCTTCAAAGGCTGCCTTGAAGCGTGCTGCGTCCGATTCGATGGCGCCGGCGTCTGGAGTCGCGGGTGGTGTCGGGACCTTAGACTTTGATCCAAACTTCCACTTACCTCTCGCAGGCTTCACCCTTGGCTGTGGACGGAACTCAAGGGTGGTTTTCACGCCACGCGCCCCGTCCACCAACTCGACTCGGTCCCCTTGCAGCGTCGGGCTCCGGTGGAAGTCGGTGAGTGGCCGTTCATATGGCTTCTGGTCCCGTCCGATGAAGGAGAGGGTTGTCTTCTGGAAAATGTCCGATACCTTCTTTTTCCATAGCCGCACAACCTTTTGCTGGGCAATCAGTTCGCCCCTTTCCCAGATCTTCTCGGCGAAGTAGCGGCCCAGGAGCTCGCGCTCGCGCACGTTGACCAGAAACAGCTCGCGGTGCTCGACAGTGCCGAATTCGTAGAGCGAGTAGGCCCGGTAGACCTTGTATCCCTCGGCGTTTTGCACCGTGATGTCGTGGGGTTCGAGGAACGAAACGGACCGGTCTTCCATGTCTTCATCTTCGAACCAGATGTTGCCGCGGGGAACTGCCGGGTGCCGTCTCAGCACCGCTCTTCATGTAAGGGACGACGGAACCTACTTCTATGCGTGATGCGGATTTCGACACCCCCTAGTCCGTGGCCGACGTACTGGATCCTCCGCCAGGTATCGTCCCGCTCGAGGATGGTAAGTGTCTTGAGCTTGAGTCTCTCGCCGATGCGTTGTCCGTAAGGGTTTTGCAGGCACCTGGATCCGTCAGCCGAGTGACGCGAGAACGAGGGGCCGGGGGGTGAACCCGCGTGCTGTCTTACAGTGTGGTAGGGAGCTCCAGTGCTTCGACGGATCCTCTTCTGGAATTTCGTCGGGAACCTAGGAAAGGAATAGGGGGAGAGCCTGTAATCCATCAACCTCTAAACGTTGAACGGCATAAAGGCCGGACAGCCATGCCTACCTGGGGCAGACAGGGTACTAGGCGGCCGTACGACCGCTTTTGCTTCTAGATACGGCGACGAGGACGGCGGTGGTACAAACGCTTGTGCTTCCAACACCGGCGACGAATACGGTGGCGGTGTTCGTATTTCAGGAGCGCCGGCAGAAGACGAGCCTGTCGCAGGCGGCGTTGTTGGACTTTCACGTTACCGAAATGAGAAACACGCCTGATGTGAATGAAGGTAAATGGCCGCTGGGTTTGTCACTTACAGGCCTGCCCACAAGTGCACGCGGCGCAGGATTCGGTCCAGCTCGTTCTCGAGCTCGTCGTTGTGCTCCTTGAGCTGCTTCTCTGCGTCGGCCGACCAGAAGAACTTCCAGACGCGGCCCTTCTGGCTCGTTGTCTCCCTCTCAAGAATGTCGGTGCACCGGTTCACCATGTCGTGAATGTTCTTCTGCTCTTCAGGTTTCGCAAACCTCTGAAGCCGCTCATCTTGGAGCTCGGCGAGGATCCGCGACAGGCGTTCGACCTGGCGGGGCGCATTTCGCTGTGACCCAAAATGCTTGATGACCTTGGCCACGATGGGGACGGCGCTCACAATGACGCCAACGATTTCAAAGCCCGACATGTTGAACGCTGGTGCCCCTTAGGGGTGGGCGATGGCCGCCGGGCCGTGTCTCGGGCGGTTGAACAGATGGAAGCAGATCACGACGGCAGGGTGTGGGGAACTGGGGATGGGATGGGCAACGCCCAGGGAGGACGATCTGGGGGAAAAGCAGAGCGCAGAGCCGCAGAACAGTGACTCGTGTGTCTCTCCCAAGTCAGCCTGACACCCTGCCTTGATTCCAGATTGGCATGCCACGTGGATCCAGCATGGCCACGCTCGCTGATCATTTCGGAAGGACACCGTGGGGGTGGTTCCAGGAGGGCCAGGACCAAAGATGCGCAGCACGGCCCCAATATTGCCCCGTTTTGGAGTTGAGCCTCTTGCGGAGGAAGACCGGGCATATTTAGCTTGTGGAGGTATTGAGCCAATGATGGAGGCCCCTTTGAGCCCGTGGCTACCCCTGCCACCCTAGCCGACTACCACCTTGTTCAGCTCGGGCACAGGGGGGAGGGCGCATTCACACCCCATGGATGGCTGTGCCTGGGAAAACCATAAGGGCGAAGCCGCCGCTGCAGTCATCGTCCGCGACCCGTGTCGCGTAGCCTTGCCGATGCAATGGAAAGCTAAAAAAGTCATGGCTCCTCCAGGCCTCCAAGTCAGGGGCTGTCACTCCGAGCCGCTCAACACCAAGCTTTCGCTCCATCATCATGGACACCTTTGTCCGGAAGATTCGAAATTTCTGGGCCCCCGTTGACATTGGGCGCGATATTCAGCATGTTCGGGTGAGTTCAGTCGTCTCTCGGCCTCCACCTCATGAGCTCTTTCTGATAGAATGGCATACAGGGCCGACAACGGCGAGAGCAGAGGGTTCTCCGCCTGCTCGACCGCATTGGCTTCAGTTGGCGCGTCTACTCGGTTGCCTTCCTGGGATTCCTTGCGTCCAGCTGGAGCTTGATCGCCACCGGAATTGTCTCGCCCGCCCTCTACTTCGTCTACCCACCCACGGGCCGCATGGGATCGACAGACGTTGTGCAAGTCCTCGACCTTGTCACCCTCACGGCCACCGTCTTGGGCATGATCATGTTTGGCCAGCTCGCCGACCTCTTTGGCCGCAAAGCCCTCTACGGCTTTGAGCTGCTGATCGTCTTGGCCGCCATCGGCGGTGCTGCCTTTTCCTCCGAGGGTTACATGGTCAAGGACCCGAGCTACCACAGCTCCATGGACATATATGCATCCCTGACCTGGTGGCGGTTTACTCTTGGCTTTGGCATCGGCGCCGAGTACCCCATGTCTGCAGTCATCGCGGCCGAGTTCTCGTCGACGGCCGGGCGCGGATCTCTCCTGGCCGCCGTGTTTCTGGCACAGCCCATCGGCCGCCTGCTCGCCTACGGCCTGGGGCTCGGCATCCTTCACGGGATGCAGGACGCCGTCATCGTCCCGGAACACTCAGACCAGAATTACATGCTCATCATGGATAAGTTCTGGCGTCTCGTGCTCGGCCTTGCCGGAATCCCGGCCATCTTCGCCATCGTCCTCCGCCTCTTCATCCCCGAGACGCCCCGTTTCTACTCGGCTGTTCAGCGGGACCTGGTCAAGGCTAAGGAGGCAGTACTCAAGGTCGGGTCGCGGTCGCCGAGTCTGGCGGCACCGGACATGGAGTCGCTGAGTTCCGATATGGACGGGGGCGAGGCAAGCGAACAGGAGCCGTGGCGGCGCAGGGCCTACGCCTACTTCTTCGGCAAGACACAGGGGTGGAAGCCGCTCCTGGCCGTCTCGCTGCAATGGCTGTTGCTCGTAAGCCAACGATTTCTCTTGTTAATGCAATACTCGGCTGACATTGACGGGTAGGATATCGTTTTCTACGGCACTGGTCTCGACAGCCCCGGCACGCTGGCCGCCCTGTGGCTGAACGAAGCGCCCAACAAGGCCTACGACACCATCGAGGGGTTTCATGTCTGGAAGGAGGACTACCGCTACCCAAACGCTACCATCGTCGAGACGCTCGAGAACAACCTGGTCCGGACCCTGCAGCTCTCGTCTATCGCCGCCGTCGTCGGCAGCATCGCCGTCATCTTCCTTGTCAACTACGTCAGCCGCAAGACGCACTACGTGTGGACCACGGCGGCGCTGACCATCCTCTTCGCCGTGACGGCCGTGTCCGTCTCGCAGACGTACGGAACCAGCGCCCACCTCACCAGCATGGTCTTTTACGCGCTGGGCCAGTTCATGTTCAACCTCGGCCCCAACACGCTGACCTTCATCCTGGCGGCCGAGTCTTTCCCGACCGAGTTCCGCGGCACGTGCTACGGCATCGCCGCCGCGGCCGGCAAGGTCGGCGCCATCATTGTGCGCCCCATCACCGAGAGGGTCGGCAAGAGCCAGGAAGGCCTCGTCGGCATGCTGTCAGCCTTCTCGGCCGTCCTGGCCCTGATGACCCTGCTCGCCTGGCTTGAGCCGTGCGGCATCGGCTTCCCGCGTGTGCAGGAGGAGAGGGACAAGGCCGCGGCGGCAGGCCCGTTCCCTGCGCGGTTGGCCAATCTCAGCTTGGAAGAGGCGGCGCCTTGGCCTTTGATGGACGACTCGGAGAGTGATCACATTGGACATGAGGGGGATGGCCAACAGCACGTCAATGGCGGCCTGGAAAAGGGCGGCGCGGGCGTGTCGGCGGGGACACTCGGGAATGGGGATTCGGCGCCTGTTTTCCGGCTGCCTGAGCCGTCTTGGGGCAGCGAGAACGAGATTCGTTAGTGGTGGCTGTTTACCGTATTTGTCAGTTCGGGTAACTACTTCATTATTGTCTGCATCGTTTCATACCTCACCTGCGTCAATGATAGCAGACGGTGAATGATTATTATGCGAGGCGAGACCCTCCGGCATACATGATATGTACCTAAGGTAGGTTTACATATATCTGTCAGGGGGCGGACATGGACCTCGATCTGTTACGGTATACCGAACAGGATCCAGAATTTCTTCCATGGGTCTTACAGCCTTGAATGAGGCAGGGCCAACACACATGCCGCGGCTATGTGTGCGGGGCCAAGGTTGGGTATATGCCGTACCAACACTCCCGATGCTGCCTGCGAATTGGTTTGAATTGCCTCCAAATCATCATGCAGACTCTGCACTGCCTCGGGCTAGGCGCTGTTTGGAAATTTGAAGGGATATGACCAACGTCCCTCTCATCTTTCAAGGGCAAAATACCAATTTCCTGGTTCCTCTCGAAGCAGAGAGAGGAACTAGACTTACACGATGGCCTCTCCGCGGACCTACTGAGACCTCTTAGAGCAATGTTGCAAGCCACGATGGCTCAGGCTGGAGCTCGCTTCTACATCGGATCTTGGAGGCCTGGCCCGGTAATCTAAGAACGTACGAGCGGGCAAAGTCCTTCCTAGAGACCTGCAGATATCTGGATGACTTTCTGCGCCGAGCATCAGAGACACTCATGTTTTGGTTTTTCCAGCGAAGGGAGGCATTTCTGAGACAGAGGACCATGGCCAAGTGGAACCCGCGTCATCTGGACGGTTACATCCTGTTGCCGGCTCTTTCGGGATTCGTCACAAGGAGCAAATGCTTCTTCGTCAGCCACGCTTCTGGCGCACCCAGGAGGAACCGGATCCGGGGGGCGAGTATCTTCGCCGTTTCCGGAGAGAGCTCGAGCCACAAGAATGGTCATACATTCGGGTCGATTGAACATGCCTACCCCAGCTTCCGCGGAACTGAGACCGAAGAGGCATACTTCCTACGCGGGCTACCAACCACTCCAGCCGTCATTCGGAACTGCGGATTCATCTAGTATCATCCGCCGTTTGAACCACGCCTGTAGATCTTGTACGAGATCGCAGAATACAGCCTTACCTGCTCCGGCAGCCCGTTCCTGCGAACCGAAGATATCAGGACGTTTGCGGGGCACGTTGACGAGATGTGCCAGGACGGGGTGGGCCAAACGCTCGATAAGTACGGATATTGATGCTCGTACGGCCCGTGACAAGGAGTTGTGGGTGGTGCCCCACATCCTTGGCAGACCGGATTGCCCCACGTCTGGAGCAGGGGTTTCAGCCCTGCCCACCAGAGCCATCACACATCCAGCAACACCACGGTATGAAATAACCTCCATTGATGATCCCCATCTTCTGCTGTCTCTGGTTGTACATCAGGAGTTCCTCACCTCCTAGCTAGAGCTTCTGGTTCTTTTGAAACAGTTGCTCGACGTCCATGGCCTAAGACACATAATAGATAAAATGACGTGTTACCCTACAGCAAGAGATTACTTGGTGTATACCGTCAGTGACCTCGTGAGGCTCCACAGTTATGAGGGGAAGTTGATTTTCAACCGAAAGCTTTACACTTTCACATTTTTCCCTACTTGGGTAAGCTTTCTACAGTAATATACCGTCTATAAAATCTTTGGCTCTCCTTCATGAAGACTTACCTTCTGAATAGAAAGATGATAAATGCTCAATCAAACTACCTTTGCAACCAGGATTGCCGGCAGGTTGTAGAGTGTGTGGGAAAAAGGAAAAGCTTTCTGAAGTGTGGCAGGTGTGAAACTGCAGAATATTGCGGGAAAGAACATCCAGATTGAGGACTGGAAGGGGCACAAGGCATCTTGTCATAGGATACCCGGCACGTGAAGCTGTCTCTCTTGAGATAGTGGGAGGAGCGGACGACATACCCCAAGGCACCCTCAAGACTGTCGGCAGGGCAGCAGGCACAGTCGTTCATGCCGCCAGTGAAAAGGCAGCCAGTGTGGTCCAAGCTGTGTTGAATACGCGGGCTGACAGCACTCAGGCTCTGGAGTATGGCAGTTGGAGACCAGGTATATTACTTGGCTCTTGCTCGCAGCTGACTTCGTCACCGCTGAATTCCAGATATATTTGGATAGGAAAAGAACACACAGAGAACATTATCCAAAGACAACTTGAAGATGACAACCCCTGGATCATTGTGCAGTCTCACACGGCTCCAGAGATACCTCATACCAGTACCTGAGTAACTCAGTGTGTTCGCGCAGTCTAATCCCACACTTTCGTCTCAAACTATGTCGCCTCTACTGACATCTGCACATTAGAACGCAGCGAACTTGGCACTCCGGCGGATAATCTTGCCATTGTTGCAGGTTGTGCCGGGGCCTACAGGTTGCGGGATTGCCGCACCGTGATTGCAAAGGCCGAAGGAGGTTGGGCTGAAGCAGACGACGGCGCCGTCGGGCGAGCAGGGCTGGCTGCCGGACGGACCGAGGCCGGAGCCGGCGCCCGATGTGGTGTTCGGGATAGGGGATATCTACGTAGCGAACATCAGACGACGGAGTGGAGGAGGTCGTTGCCGAGGTACTCACCGAGGTGCCGGTGATGGGTATGACAACCAGCGAGGCGCGTGTAGACGTACTGGAAATCGGCACCACAACCAGGGACTCAGTGCTCCGCCCACGAAGAGAAAGTGCCTCGCTATTGCCGCTGTCGCTGCCGCTGTCCCTTTCCAAAGCATTGTGCGTACGGCAGATTCCCAGCTCGCCCGGAAATCCGTAGATCAGAGGGACGGTATTGATGTTGTCGGAGCAGCTGCCATATCCCACCGCAACTCGGGAGTTGGCAGCATCGGGGTGGTTGTCCGTGAAGGCCTCAACTCCGGACAGGGGGTCGCCTCCATCCAGGCTGCCATCTGGGCGGTGGCAACAGCCGTCCCGGATATGGCAGCCTCTGATGTACAGAGCCCTGGCTGATGTGCGGATGGACCAAGCATTGTCCTGTTGCAGACAAACTGCATCAGCATGTCACCTCCTCGAGTTCTCCATCGGGATTGGAAAGGGAGTTTCTCACATTGCACCAATACACGCCCGTGTTCTCGCCGCAGCCGATCCGGTGACACCGCCCACCCTCAATTCTCCAGGTGCCTTTGAGAGCGCCGAGCCTGGTCAGGATTCTGCTGACCTCGTCCGAGTTGCCAGTGGCAATACCGCTGTCGGCTCCGCACAGTCTGAAGCCATTGTCAAGGCTCGTCCCCTGTCCGAGGTTGGCAATTTGCATGACCCATCCCGGATTCATGGCCAGAACTCTATCCCAGAGCTCCTGCAGTTAAGAAGTCAATGATACGTCGACAATACTGAGAAAACCTGGGACCTACATCAACATCCTTGACATCAATGATCACGTCCGGCTTATCAGACCATACCGGACCCTTCCAGCGAAGTAGGGAACCATCCCGTGTGGCGACCGCTGCGGCAGATGCAGCCTGACCGAGTTAGGTACCTGAGGTTTGTGACGGAAGATGCAGAGAAGGGTCTCACTCGGAGCGTCGCAGCAGCGGCAAGTAGCCGAGCTACAAAAGGGCTGAAGGCCATCCTAATAATTCGAATCCGAGAACGATGAATTGATCAAGAAAAGAGGCCACTGACGAGAAGAGCGGTTGCCCGGAGAATCGAACTCGACTGGACACAGACAGCGCTGACTTCCAGCGGAGTTGCTCCATCATCTTGAAGGAAAATATCAGATGTTTCTGCACAGTGACAGGGCTTGTAAGTGTGTATCGCGCAAAAAAGTTGGAAAGAAAGCAGAACAGGTAAATTTGGAATTTGTTTGCCCATCTGCCGACTATCAAAGAAACCTGCAGAACAAAACCTGTCTGATAGCACCAAAATACTACTGGCTGACACGACAAGCAAGTCAGGAGCTCAAAGACGCGGCGCAAACATTCACTGGGGCTGAAGATCGCGCTCGCACAAAAAACTGATGGCATCATACCGACGGGAACTTGATAGATTCCTCGAAAGCACGACATGTACCATGATTTTAACGGTCCCTGCTCAACGACGCCCAAATTCTATTTCCGTCTCGACAGTGACTGCTCGATCCCTCAATGACGCGTTCGGTCCAGCCACTTCAACTGCCCTCCATTTCACTCTGCCACTGCTCACTTGGTACTGGTCCGGTACTGTTATTCTGAGAGCAAAACTCTACTTCGCCGCCTCTCTGGCGTCCGGCGCCTCGCTCTTAGCCTTGAGCAGCTTCTTCGAACCGGTGTGATTGCATCCGGACTGGAAGCCGGGCATGCCGAACCCGTCGTAGTAGACCATGGCCACGATCGTGGGGGCGTAGCCCACATATCCCCAGCCCTGCTTGGTGGCCGCGCAGTCCCACTTCACCATGTAATCCATCATGTCGAGGATGTCGTCCCACGGTCAGAAACCCCGGGAGCACGTGTCCTGGTTGCGGATCGTGAGCCGGAACGAGTACCACGACCAGTTGACCTGCTGCATGGCTATTGTGGAAAAGCAAGCGTCAGCTACTTCTGTACATGTAATTATAGTGTCCCCGGAGATCCACATTCCTTTAGGCACAGACGTAGGGACGGAGCGAAGGAGAGAACTCGCAGCCGATCCAGTTCAATCCCAAGCGGTCGTAGCCCTGGAAGATGCTCTGGGCGTAGGCGAAGTCGTTGTAGTAGCCCTGGCGCTCGTTGGCGGTGACCAGTAATTCCAATCGAAGTAGCCGCCCTCGTCGGAGTCGCGCTTGGCCAGCAGCGGGCTGTTGCCGTCACAGGGCGACGTCCGGGTGAAGACGAGGTCGTCGACGCCCGGCGCGAGGATCGCCGAGGCGGGAATCGGCTCCGTCTGGTTCCAGTTCTGGGCCTCGCTTGCATTCACGGGCGCGGGCGCAGCGGCCACGGTGCTGCCGAGGGCAAGGAGGGTGGGGATGGAAGCGAGAATGCGCATTTTGGCCGGAGTGATGCAAAATTGGTCCGAGAGGGAATATGACTAAGGGGATTGTTGGTGTAATTGATGCGGATGAAGACCAGCCCAGGAAAGCTCGGCGGCCTTGATGATATTTATACGCAAAGATTCTGAGATTCAAGTTTCAACTTTCAAGTTCCCAACAGCCATCCACCAGCCTCATGGGACCAGAGAGACGAATCCACATCTACTTATACACCTTGATACCTGATCCACTGTAAAGTGTAAAGCTCTCAGTTCTCGCTTAGAGACGTCGTTGTCATGATTAGCCAACTCCCCTTCCGTCAAACCCATCGCACTGATTGAGAAGTTGTGAACAACGACACCAAGGCATGGAGGAGGTGAAAAATTGAGGGTTGCTGAACTGAGTAAACGCTCGCTGAACCACCCAGGTACACAACCTATCCACAATCGTTGACTGATGGCGAGCTCGGAGGTCCGTTCTTTCAGACATCAGAATGATTGTACGACCAAAATGCAACTCCTACTCCACCACGGTCGCCGCCGCTGCGGGCGCTCCCGCGATGGCTTCCAAGCATACGGTCATGGCGAGCATCAGTTAGCGTGAACACAGGCGCCCCTTTTTGCCGGTGGGGTGGTACAAACTACGAAGATTGACAAGCGGGCAGGCCGTCGGAGGATTTCCGCCTTTCCAGTTTTCTGCGACTAAGCAATGGGAGCAGAGAGCCCAAAGCAACGCGGAGCCGGGTTTGGTGGTGAGGAAGTCGGCCAGGTTTCCAGGTTTCCAAGTTTCCTTGGTTTCGAAGATGTGGATGGGGCCTGGGACCCGGGTGTAGAAAGTTTTGAGGGATGTGATAGTGTTGCGCTTCGCGTCCCGATGGTTGGACGGGAGAGAGTGAATCGGCCACGGGAGGCACGAGGAGCGGACAAGGCAGGGCCCAATTGACTAAAGTGAAGGTACCTGAGGGCTAGAAATTTGAAAAGGTCGGCGTCTGAACACAGATCTGAACCAGCAGTCTTCACCGGTTTAGTCCGCGACCACCTACTTGTTGAGATTGTTGGTCAGTGCTAGAGGCTAGAAGTTACCGGTACTGTGACGTTTAGACTTTCTTTCGATTACTGGAAGCTCCCTCAACGTCGTCGCCAAGAACCAAGACAGTAATTAATGCCCTCCTTGAGTGTTCCCAACAATGTCCCTTGTAATGCACCTGGACGACATGGAAGGTGGGAGGCTGTACACCCAAGTCGAGTCGATTTCAGGTGAGGAACTATGAACGAAGTTTAAGGGTGGAAGCCTTGCAAGGAACATACAAACCTGTTGCTTTTGGTCCGTGTTACAGAATGCGCAGTGCCACGAGCGAATTGGAAGTCTTAATCAATCAAGTTCGTACGGACGTGACTGTATCAGGGGATCTGGATACCCAGACTGAGGCTGAGGCCCTGAATCATGCAGTGTCCTACTGCAACTTTCCTTCCGCCTCGCACCCCTAGTGTGGCCAAACAGGCTGCTGGATAAGGGATCTTAGGTAGGTAACTTATAAGGGACATTGGTCCGCATTTGCCACCGTCGTGTGACATGAGAATGATGAGGTGATTCTGTCCCAGTGTTCGCATGCCCATTGGGGTGAGCGATAAAAACAGGGCCGTGCCCTCAGCGACCGGAAATATGCACCCCTATCCACGTATCGTATCGTCAGGGCATTGTGACTGCAGGCCGACAGTAGGCACTTGCACACGGGCAATCTAGCGATCTAAATGAATAAAAAGTGAGCTGTGATGCGGCCTTGGCTATCTGTCTATCTATCTATCTGTCTGTGCCAGGAGCTCGTGATTATCGGCCACCGCGCCGCATGCCGTCCCTCCTAACTATCGGCTCTGAGAGCTTCCCGAGTCTTCCTGTTGGCTCGGAGCCGCTTGCAATAAAGGTCCAAAGAGCAGTTAGACTGCCGTTGTTCGGCGCCGACAAAGTGCATCGCGGATTCCTCGCTTATCCGCCGTGCCCGGGCAACTCGCCGGATCTCCCGGATAACTTCGAGCCGTAAGGAATACCACTGCACTTCGGCCTGGCGGCCGGCCCGCCACCGACACCCCCACCGGCGGTCTAGTGCCATGATCGAAGGTCCGCCCCGGAGGCCAACGGTCCACTCACGCCATAGGTCCCTCACGGTCTTGACGTCCCGGCTCATGCGATGTCTTGGCGGATCTGCCCCTGCCTCTGCTTCTGCCTCTGCCTCAAGGCCGTGGTCCTCCGCCGAACCGGCTATCCCCGGGCTTACGGAGCGGCTTGCTGACAACGGTGCTGAACGACGAAGACTCCCCTCCACAACTAACTCGCCGAGCCTTCGGGGCAACGGAATGAGAGGGGTATAGGCCGGGACCGGAGCTGGCGCTGGCGTCGGTGTCGAGGCCGGTTTGAGCTGAAAGACGCTCTCGGCAAGGAAGGTCTGGAAGGAAGACTGATAAGCACCGGCGAGCTGTTCTTTTGCCGTACGGATCTCGGCCGTCAGAGCCGCCGAAAGCTCAGTTATCTGCGCCTCGCGCCGGGCATCGGCTGTTTTGAGGTAGTCCGTGAGGACCGGCAAAGCTTGCGTCAAGATGGCCAACTGACTGGGCTGTTCGTCTTCCTCCATCAACGCCATCACCCGGCTTGCATACGGCGTGTAATCTTCATGCTGAAATACCGGGTGACTCCATACCACACATTCCGGGAATCGGCGCATCAGGAATACCGAGTCCTGTAGGATAACCTCCCGGAGGTAGAACAACAAGGCTGTGAAGCCGGCCGCCGCTAAATCGTTTACCTGCCCCGGTTCTGGACCGAACTTGCCGGCCCACTTGTTCAGGTCCGGCCAGATCAGCTGCAACAGTGAATCCGGAGGTGATATCCGCGCCCGGCGTATCTCAAAGCAACCCATCTGCGCCGGGTGACCGGCCATGGTCCGCATGAATTTCCGGGGCAGCGAATTCAGGTAACAGCCGATCATTTGCTCCTGGTTCCACCGGCCTGCGCGCCGAATCTGTGCTTCGCTTATGCCCTTCAACTCGGCTGTCTTGGCTCCGGAGCTTCGGCCGACGTGGGTCTTCTTGTTCGACTGGATGCCGGCGTACGTGAATGCCTTGATAACCCAGTCCCGTTGGCTGTTGTATGCGAACTCCGAAGTGGGACTAGCGTCGGTGCTCTTCAACAGCCGAATGTCGTACCATTGGGCCCGGTTCTGGAAGTCCGGGAACGGCTCGTCGCCGAGGTCCCAGCGAAGAAGCAGGTAAAAGGCCACGGCACCGAGTAAGCAAATAAGCGGGTCACGGTTCCGAAGTGCGCCGGCAGTTTCCAAGCGGCCATGCTGGGTTTGCTTCCCGGCCCGCGTGGTTATGATAAGCGGCATGCACCGACTGGGACCCTCCCCGGCGAACTCGAATGTGAAAAGGTCTGAGATCTCAAGGGCTCGGCGGTCGCCTCCGCGGGTAAGCATATAGTGGCCCAGAAGCAAGTCGACCAAGGTCCGAAGGTGGCACTCAGCCGATTGTGCCGTGTGGCCCCATAGTTCGCCGGCAATCCGCTTCAAATCCTCCTCGGAATACCCGTCAAGAAGCGTGTCTCGGCCCTTGTCGGCGTAGAGGGCTTTCTGCCGTTCCGCATCCCGGCGCTGCAAGGATTTGATGTACTCCCGCGCGTTGTCCTCCCGCGACGAGGGGTGGCTGTTCTTACCGAGAGCCTTCTGTGAGCGGTACAGGTCGGTAACCGCCGTTATATACGACCGGACTGATCGCCACGAAAGCCGAGTCTCCGAAAGGGGGGCGTCTTCAGCGGCCTTCCGGCTTCGCAACCGCAGCGGCCGATCGACGACTTCCTCGACAAGGAAAAGAAGGAGCTTATCCTCTGTTACCGTCTCGCCGTCTTGGTACTGCTTCCGCTGGCAAAACCGTCGGAATTCTCTCTGCTTCGGCTCGTAAGCGGACGTTGTATTCTTCGGGCGGGCCGCCCGGATCATTGAGAGGACATTCTGCGAGTTGGCGCGTAGCTCAGCGTTGTTGACAATGGCGCGGTCCACGTGTTGGCTGCGTGCAGCGGCTGAGGGCGGCGCCGGCGCCGTGAGCGGCTCCTTTTGGCTGGCCAAGAGTTGTTCCACAACGGGAGGCAAGGCCACGGTGATCAAGCGGTCGTCGGCCGTAGCCGGCACCGGCGCCGGCGCTCGTCGCTTTCGGGGAGCCATGACGGGGACAAAGGAGGAGAGTGCCAGCAGCCTTTCTTCGCTACCGTGCCGGGAAGAATGAAAGGTCGCGGAAGAAGGTTGGTTGGCCGCTGTGGCGGAAAAGGCTGGGCGCGCGCAAGGCGCTGAAGATGCCGCATGGCTAGCGGTAATAGTGCCGTAATGCCCTGTAAGCCGATGGGTATTACGGGGGGCTTGCCGCGAATCAGCGGGGGAGTCAGCGAAAAACGTACAAATCCGTAGATATTCCAAAACAACTACGGAGCCAGGTATCGGCATTGCGTAGATATCCGTGCATCTCGGCGGCAGAGGGGTGTGGGGGTTAGGGTTCGGCGCAGCGCACGCATCAGCGAGCCGCTGACTGGCACTCAGCGGGGCCGTGAATACCACCTGCCATCAAGGCCGGCTACATCAAAGTGCGGAATGCTTGCGCAATCGCTCCAGCCCTGGGCCACGAGTGGCTCTGGGCCGACACGGCATGCATCGACAAGACGAGCTCGGCTGAGCACTCCGAGGCCATCAACTCCATGCACGCCTGGTGCCGTGATTCTGTCGAGTGTCTGGTCTATCTCTCTGGTGTCGAGCACCTGGTCGACGAAGAGACTCTGTGCCCAGGACGGCCTGAAATTACTGGCTCGCGCTGGTTCACGCGCGGCTGGACTCTGCAAGAGCTTTTGGCACCCATCAACCTGACATTTTACTGTTGGAACCTGCAGGGCGACGACCGCTGTGATATGCGCTGGAAGAAGCTATTCCCAGTCAAAGCAGTGGATTGAATCTCTAAGGTGATAAAAGTGATTGATTGACCATGCTGTTGATGGGCATGGGAGAGGACTAAGTATGTAAGGAAGAGGGGTTGCGGTGCTGGCACCAATCAACCACCGAGGTCCGTTGAATGCAGCCATCAAGGCGGCTTCGTTCCGACATTTACGATCGACAATAACGACGCCCCGGCACGAAACTTGATTACGCCGAGGCCATCTTAAGTTCAACAGGTATCCTAGCCTACATTTTCACATCCCAGTCCGTCCAGACAAACAGAATCACGGTATTGAATCGAAGTGTTGCCTAGCGCATGTCGTGGATGCCCCGCCGGCAAACCACGCGTATCGAGCATATGGCCTACTGTGTGCTTGGCCTGTTCGTCAAGGCTTCGGATGGGAACTGTCTCCCGCCTCCATGTACATGGTTTGGAGAGACCGTCTCCCTACTCCGTCGCTAGTTCTTGGGCTCTCTATTCGTTTCACCAACACGCTGAACCGCTAGACAACTCATTGTTATTCTGGACGCGAGGTTTGGATTAGCCCGGGGCTCATATTGCAATTCCCTCGCTATCACGCTGGGGGATCCAGCACGGAGTGGACGTTACCCCAATATGCATCTCGAACCATGCATTTTCGATTCTGTACCAATCTTCCGACACTGAAAGCGGCTGATTTATTTCTGGCCAGACGGCCGGACAGCAACGAGGCCCGCAGACGACCTTGACCACCAGCACGAGACTCTGTTCCAAGACAAAACCCTAAGGAGACACGACGGCCTCAACAGAGCGAAGAGTTCACTGTTGATTCAGATTCGAACCGGGGCCATAGGCCTTCGGGCTTTCTTATTCGAAAGGAGAGTCCCAGAGGTACTGACGCCTATATGCGAGTGTGGAGAGGGGCGAGAGACTGTCGAACACCTTGTGATGTGGTGCTTGGCCCCACCGTTGACTCGAAGATGGGAGAGAGCCGAGATCAGAACGCGAAGGGACTTTTATTCTGTCCTACAGGGAATCAGTCCCAAAGCTGCACGGCTAACGGGGAGGATCCTGGACTGGCTGATGGACTCGGGGAAACTGCCGATGTACAGTCTGGCCAGGAGGCTGGAGCTGGAGCTCGCAGTCTAATACCCTTTCCTTCGAAGGCCAAGAGGCCTTCCCACTTTGTATTTGCAGGATCGCACACTGATCGTTTCCTTGATTGTCGATATGGGTTTTTCACCCGGCCCACGAGGGCGCGGTTTTCCTGTATAGTAAGTTGTTGAAGGTCCGGCAAGCCCAAGGGCACAGCGGTGTAGGAATAATAATAATATTTCTGGCCACGCAGGGAGACGATCATCGACTTTGGAATAGGCCCTCGCGAAGTCGACTTCCACGGTCTCGCCTTACGACTTCTCCAGATGAATATGGATTGTTTCTGACCCTCGAACATCCGATTTAGGCACTCGGAGCACAGCCCAGTTCCTGACTCGCTGCCGCAGCGAGCCTCGTTACGTTTCTAACCCATGCCGCCGCTTGGAAGGAGATTCCCGCCGCACCTGGCGAGCCTCTTACTTAGATCCGCTCAACCGCAGTAGTTCTTTGCGTGTCGACTAGGCCTGGATACCAACGCCAGAGGATACACCCGAAAATGGTGTCCCAGATCTCGCGCTTATATTCACATTGTCAATCGTGAAGGTGCATGAGAGAGACATGCTAAAAAGAATCGTCGGGTTTGGAGACGGCATCGAAATCCAAGTCAAATGGCATCCCAAGCCACAGATCTAATCGCCTACCGCCCCAATGGTGGCCAGCGACTGAATATCGACAGCTGGCTGGACCATGATCCGCGTCTGGGAGAAGCTTTGGACTAGGAATGAGGCGCATTCCCCGGGCAGCCGACGGGAACTGTAATGACGATTGGCTAGAAGAATGTTTGAGACTTGGAACTGCAAGCCCAAGGGAAAAGATGCTGTGCGCGTCGGTCGCTGCGATGTGGGATATCCACTTGTTCCAAGAGACTCGGATGGGTTTGATAGATCTGCGAGCCGTCCCTGGCGACTTGCGGGGCGGTGAGGCGAGGGTCTAAACTTGTCTGAATTTAGTGTACGATGATCCGAAGGGCTCAAATTTTGATATTCTGGGTCTTCCCAACCTGTCAGGTATCCCAAGATCTTGGGTTGCACGTGGCCTTGTCAAGAGCCGCAAGATGATGACGCCAACGTTCCAGATGCCTCGGCGCCGTCGGAATGTCGAAGTTGGTCATTGAAAGAAGCTGTAGGTCGTTGATGTGAAGGAAGTGGAGGCATTTGTGAGGCAGAAGGTGTTACACTTGGAGCAGCTCGAGGCCGACATTGTGAATTCGAGGCAATCGGTTGGCCAAGTGGCTCGTTGACAGTCAAGAGCGACAAACTGTCGCGCGACGTATTATCGCTCAGCCCCAAGGTCTTCTGGCCGATAACCGGGGCAATGTGTATTTCTCCTAGGCTAGGCGGCGTGGAACTACTGTAATTCACTCGAGGCATTCGTAGCGCTCCTAGAGTGCAACACTGGAGTTCCATCTGTAGGATCGCCTGGCGGATGTCAAAATGCCTGCCGAGGGGCGTCCAAAGGTAGAAGCGGGGCTGTCCTGGAAAGCACCCGCAGCGTTGGAGCTTGGGCCACCTCAACGAGGGAGCTATCTGAGAGGTGTGAGCTGGAAACATTTCTGCAATCGCTGCTCATTAACCCAAGAAATCACAGCATTCATCCTTTTTTAGCTGCATTGAATAGTGCACTGACACTTCATTGGGCGAACCCCAGCTTTCTAAATCAGGGCAATCAATCCCAGCAGTCGACAGTTCCTCCACCCACAATGAGCCGAGTAACCCCTCGCCGGTCGCGACACCGGCACCAGGCTAGCAACAGCGGAGCGCGCCAGGCGGCCGCCTCCGACTACGACTCCGACGCCGCCCAGCACCTCGAGAGTCGCGAGGCGACGAACCCGCAGCCTGCGCGCGATAACACCGAGCTCAGCCTGCGCGTGCTTCGCCGCTACCAGCCCAGCATCCGCTCCATCCTGGCCATCGCCGCCAACGCTGTCGCCTACACCTTTCTCGAGTCAACACAAGGGTGGGAAAAGCACGGCGCAGAGGGTACCCTGTTCGTCTGCGAGCAGGAGCCCATCGTCGCGCCCACTGGCCAGGTGCTACCGCGCGTGTGCGTGTTTGTGCTCAACCGCCGGAGCATGGAGAACCTCGAAGTGGATCTGCTGCGCGTCACGGATTGTGAGGTGGTCGGGGAGCTTATTGTCTTTCGACTAGAGGATGACGTCGCCGGGAATAATCACCAGGGCGAGGAGGCGGGAGCTGGGAAAAAGGTTTTGGGCCTTTGGATCCATGCGGACGAGAGCAACACGCGGGAAGTCCACGCCAGCTTGATTCTGGGTGCCTGGCAGCAGAGTCGGCAGACCTTGGAGGTGTGTGCTCAGGCGGCGACGGCAGGGCAATTGGACAGCGGCGCGTTTGCGCCCGAGGAGGCCGGGGCCGATTCCGCGGCAGGGAAGCGACTCAGCATGACGGAGCTGTTTGGGAAGAAGAACGGCGCGTGATGGGCGGCGGGAAGAACAGTGACCGAGATTTGGGGGCAGCAAACCGAGTCTTCCTCTGCCCGCCACAGTGTCCGTTGTTCGACGTTTGCACTGTGCTCGCGATTCAAGCTTGCTTTGGTCACTCATCAACCGTCTCAGATCCTCGCCCTTTTCATGCTCGAAGATGACTCCCGCTATGGCTACAGGAGGCGACGCCACACGAGACGCAAATCACTCGACCGCCAGCGACAACGTTGTTGGCCCGGCTTTGGAGAACCAAATCTCTCTCGTGTCGTCATTCGAAAAATGGCTAGCCCAGAGAACGGAAGCCAATGCTAAGCACAACAGCATTATTGCCAAGGTGCAAGAACGGCTGAACAGCTACAAACGGTGGCTTCTTGAAGCTCAGAAGGCACAAGAGAATGTGTCAGAGAATACCGACCTCTGGGCCATGAATGCGCGCGTCCGGCGTGAGAGCGATGGTGCGCCAGTCATCGTCGTCACCGGACCAGGCGCCGATGAGCCAATTGAGGTGGCGCCCAAGGACGAGAAAGAGCTTGAGTATCTCATTAATGTACGTAGCGACTTTTGACAATGAGAAGCATGCTTGTTACACCCGCTGATCAGTTGTGCTTTTCAAACAGGACGGTTTCCTGGGCTACATGATCAAGATCGTACGCAGCCATTATTAGATTCCGCGCAGCAGTGAACTAACTCGCTCAACCCAGTGCCACGCATTTGCCAAAGCCCAAGGCACCATGCAATCGCTGCTTCGGACGGCAAACGAGGTGGAGCAGGAAAGATTGCTGCTCAGGTACGAAGCCTCCCGTCCAGCAGTATTGCAAGTTTGTTGGCTAATAATCTGAACAAGCCAACCACCTGAGGTTACAGTCAATACATACATCCGCCGTCTCCAAAAATACAACGATATCAAGGATATCGGTGAACAGCTCATCGGCCTCGTCGCTGAAAATCGAGGGATTCCTGTACGGACGCTGTACGAGAACGGGGAATACGGCGTTGGTATGCCGAGGTAGGAGGGGTCTTGATACCAGTGCAGTATCTGAAAGGTGTTGGCTTCATTACCTCATCGAGCAAGGTGCACAACTGCTGGGAAGACCGAACCAGTCTCGGGCAAAGCCCAGGTTGGGTGTATTTTGGGGCATTGCTTATGAGCCGACACGCCTCGCTTGTGCATGCGAGCTACCTTAGGTCGGTACTATACCATTTCCTTTAGCGCTCCCTTAGATCTCCCTCCTCCCAGGCAGCCTTCATCGCCCCACTGGGGCATGTCTTCAAGTCCCGCGAAACGATCCATGGAGGGAACACATAGGGGCGCACAAACGCTCGCCACTGAGGCTTGAACGAGGTGCGGCCGCTCCCGAGCCGGTAATGCGAGACGATAGTGATGACACAGTATGAAATCTCCCTCCGAGTGTCGATGAGCCGTTTCGTTACTCTTGATAAGCATTTCCGCTCCACCATGGTGACCTAGTCGGTGAGGCAGTGCGTGCACGACTCAACCGTGTCTCGGCATGGCACGAAGGCTTCCTTCGATGGAGGAGCTCGGCCGCGGCGGAGGGCTGCGGCAGGGGCCCAGAGGTCGCTCTAAAGCCTCCCGTCCCGACATGGGGCCAGAGCCCGTAGCGGTACGTGTCGACGGCCTTCCTCATGGCCCAGTCGGTGAGAGTGCGCCTGACGGAGAGATACAGCTCGTCGCCGAGTATCCGTGCCGACCACTGCTCCTTCCAGCGGACGGGGTCTGCTGAGGTCGTCTTGAACTGGAATTTGTCCAGGGACAGGCCGTGCCACGGACCGTGAAAGTGGCGGTTCATGGCGAGATGGAGGTGCGAGTAGCTCACCGACACCCAGCGTCCGTGCAAATCCACCTGGCTGGGGCAGCGGTCGTGGCTGGCACCTCTCGGCAGGAACTCCAAGCGGTGCAGGATGGAGCAGACCTAACGATACCACCGTGGGTACCCCAGATCTTTCTCCAGGAGAAGCTGCAAAGCCATGCGTCCTGTCTTGTCAAGCCTCACTACCGCGATGGGTAACACGAGGTTGTGCAGGCTTTTGCATGTCAGGTAGAGCGCCACGGCTGAGACCGGCTGTAAGTGGCTTTCACAGAGGTCGAGGAGGATGTCAAGTGGTAGTGCGCCCGAAGGGCGATGGCCTGGCTTCGTTGTGATGGATGGATGGATGGAATTTATTTCGCCCGGAGGCGCGAAGCCTAAAGGGCCTTGGCACGCTAACTACATCCGATTCGTTGACGTTCAACCATCAACTCGTACAAGCCCTCTACTCTCTCCCCTTTTCTCACGCCACCTGTTGCCTCTTGACTTAGTTTAGCAGATCGACTTGGAGGCTGCGTTCTCCAAGTGTTCAGCGTCCTATCTTCAGCAGCTAAAGCGGGATCTGCTGGCTGAGGCTGTGTAGTGTTAGTGGAGCTCCGCTACTGTGATTGTCCCAATCTTCGTCGTTCCTCGTCAAGATCCAATCTCCCTGTCGCCATTGCGTACTTGATCGTTGCCCGGACTGCTTTCATGTCTGGCGACCACATCTTTGGATCCGATGGTGCTTTCCCTCCCAGGTAGAATGAGAGGCTCCCTCGTCTTGCCACTGTGCATTGCAACATGTCCTCCCTCAGAGCTTCCCATCTCACGCATCGCAATAGAAAATGTTCCACGGTTTCCCTCGCTCGGTTGCAAGGACAAAGGTCTGACTCGACCGCTCCGATTCGGCTTAGAAAGCCGTTCAGCCTCGCCATTCCTGTTCGGAGTTGTGCCAAGATACAGGCCTCTTCTTTGTGACGTCGTCTTGTAAGCCATGGAAGGAAGCGGGAGACATGAGTTCGGCCAATCAAATGCTGACTTTTGTTCAGACGTTGGGGACCAGTCGGTCTGGGTCGGATTCATTTGCGGAGTGGAGCGGCGCACGAACGACCAGCTTGAATGAGTCAAGGGGCAGCTGCAATGAACCGAAAAGGACCTGGTGCTGAGAAGCGGACAACTTTGCTAACTTGTAATGAACGTCCGAGGGCTGCATGGCCTGACCCTGTGCAACGTATTCGTGACGTAAAGACACACAGCAACACATCCATTACCAACCTCAAGGCCCTCCAGTCCATACCTAGGTCATTGCGCGTTCATCATAACCTCGCCCTACCCTCTAACTCGACAAGCAGATCCACTCTGCTTGTCTAACCCGTCCTGCAGGCAACGAAGTCACCCGAGCTCGTCCCGGTGTGCGTGATGAGGGCATCCAACGCCCCGCGCGAATCGAAAATGATACGGTCTGGTCCCGGCGAGCCCCCGGTATAGACCCTGTAACTCGACATGATGGGGAACTCATACCACAGCCCGGAGGTGGGGAAGTCGAAGCCCTCGTAGTTATTGTAGCGATGGGGGTAGTTGTCTGCTCTAGTTGGTCAACATTCATGCGGTAAGCATGGGTGAGGAGCAGAAAGAAGGCTAACTGATGTCGTCGCCGCTCTGCTGCAGCGAATAACCCTTGCTCAAGGCTGCTTGGACGTGAGTGGTTTGGTAGCAGACGCTGCCGCATGTCCAGGCGCAGGCGCGGGCTTCGACTTGGCCTTCAGCTTCGGGTTCGGCGGGCAGAGGTGCAGCCGATACCGAGAGCAGGGCGAACAGAGCTGGAATGAGCTGGGAGTTGTTAGTGCGGATTTCCGATGTTTGCTTGGGCGTGGAAACATGAAGGAGGCAGTCTCACCTTGACCATTTTGGTTGACAGGGTAGACCGGTAGAAAAAGGGAGCACAGGTTTGAGGCTGCTACAACTTGTGAGGTGCTCCCCGTTTATATGACCATGACTTTGAATTGGAACGGAAGGATGTGGTTGCTGGAGACTGTCCAAGAATGGAAGGTTCTTGGGACGCCGATCTCCCACGCTCCGGTGAGTGTCATCGAGCGCTCTATCACCGATGATACCTCGGTGGCCTTGTAGGAAGCTTATCCGTGCGAACTTTCATGCCGAACGTTCCTCGCAAGGTCGGACATCTTTTTCTCCTTCATCTTACCGTGAGCTCCGCTAGCGTCCTCTGACCGGTCGCGCCGAGTGAGCTGTGCCTGCCCTTGAGGTTCGAAACACAAAAAGCCATTTCAATCATCGAAGCGCCTTCTACCACGAGTGAGTTCTCTGGCATTGATTGGGCCAAGACGTGACGCTCTCCCCAGCGGAGTACTTGCCGATCGGTAAAAGAGTGTCGCTCAGTCGGCGAATCACCGCCGACAAGCTGGTGGGGGCCGAGAGCTGCCCCTTACGGAGCCGCTTTCCCAACCGGGAAGCTAAAGTTGGGTTCCGAATGTAACGGTCTCAGGTAGTATCTTGCAACTAGCTGATGACGACTCTACGAGTACACTGAACTTGGAGAAGAAAAGGAGAGACGACAGACTCTGGTAGCTCGCAAGCATACTTATCCTCGTCGGCGCGCTGGTCTGAGCGCGTTGCTAGAAGGTTCGGTGTGCTGTGGGGCGAGTGGGAATAGCCTCATCAGGGGTCTTGGTATTGGCCGAGAGTCGCCGAGGCTCGCACCGGGCCCAGCCCGTTACAATACCCCCCTCCTCCCCTTCTT